TGTTCTCGAAACTGTCTCAATACTGCTGGTAGCTGATATTTGGACTGTTGAATGGTCGATTGATGCTGAAGGAAAGTAAAGTTAAAAAAGAACAGTATATTCGCTAGTTTGTAGTTGATACATATTCAGACCTACACGACTGCTATAAAACCCTTTGCTTGGATCAAGATGAAGTTTCATCCCATATGTCTCTGTTTTGACTTTATGGAAATCTTTATTAGTAACCTGAACACCCTTTATATCATCTTCATCACTGAATTCAGAGGAAGGGTTATCAATAAGATATTGAAACATGTTAGCATCATCGTAACTTGATATGGAATGATTTAATCTGACGTAATCTGACGTACTTCTCATAATTGGTCTGACGTTCGCATTATCAGAGATCGTTTTATTGACATAATTAATGTTAGCAGTATAAGTGCTTTCGTGTGATTGAGGCTCTTTGAGAGTTATGATACTCCTTCTATTCATATTGAGATTGCTAGTCATTGCTTTGGAACCAGCAATTCTCAAAAAAATTGTTCGTTTTTGTATCAATATACCATTTGATTGAACCGCCTATTATATTTACTTGGTCAGCGAGATTAGAAATTTTGATTCCTTTCATATCGTGACCTTTTGATAGATCGAGAGAGAAGGTTTTTGAGTCCACATAATTTTATTCACGACGTCATGGTTATTGTCGTAATCTGTTACTTGTAATCTTGATTTTAAAGTCTGGGTAAGCAAGTTATTCAGGTCAACTTTTTTTTCAGTTATTGATCTGCAAATTCTCCAGTTTGCAAATCCACTCCATAATTTTTTTCAAGAGTTCTCAATACTCTAACCGACGATGGAACCATTTTCACCTCAATGCCTACTTTTAAATGCTTGTTTGATTCAAGTGACCGTTGTACGAAGCCGCTGATATCACCATATGGAAAGTTTCCATTGAGTAATATCACGGTTGCCTGAGTAGTTCCAATGTCATGACTGTATTTCAATGTATGTACTCATGTTGACAGAGTCGACGGCAAGATAATAATTTTTGTTTTTGTCGAGCGTCAATTGCGGGTTGAAAGTGATAGTGAAATCATGGCTTTTAAAGTTTCTTACACCATCTACTGAATTAAAAAATCTTATGAAGTTTAAAAAACGATCTCTGGCTAAAACTTTTAAAAATACGAGCTTTCGGCTGTTTGCGCTACAGCCTTCAACGGGTAAAAAAAGGCTGAAGGCTGTAGCGCAAACAGCCGAAAGCACGTATTTTTAAAAGTTTTAGCCAGAGATCGTTTTTTAAATTTCATAAGATGTTTCATCCTGGCTGCGGCCCCTTTATCTTTTCACGAATTTAAAAATATTGGTATATTCATATGTCATTAGCTTACATGAAATGTTGCATGATGTATGCGTCATGTTTATGTTTTAGTTATCACTGACAAGTTCAACAACTCATCGAGTATCTGCCAAACCTCATTTCTTGGTTGCAAGTCATTGTTGCCTACACGACGGGCACCAGTCAAAAGAGTCAACCACTTCAAATCCTTTTGTCAAAGCCAATTCATTGTCTTTAAGCTGTTTGATAAGTTTGTCTTGTTTTTCATCAGTGGTTCTGTTTACCTCCTTGTGTGAGTCAATGACTGGTTTAAGCGATTCTCTGTTTTCATATTACATCACTTATCTTCCATTACGATAGTTCTTGATTTCTTTTGATACCTTGTCTCAGAGAATCAGCTTTAATACGCCTTTCAGCATTCTTTCTTAGTGTGTTTATGTCCATATATATTAAGATAACATAATTAGGTGTCTATTGACAGTTATTCCAAAAGATGTGTGGAAAATGACAGTTATTTTAACTTACTCATATATTATGAAGATTCCAAACTATGATATTGATAAAAAACAAAACAAAAAGGAATACATTGAATACATTGCAAGCACTTGCCTGTTGATGGAGATAGTCAGATCCATTACAACTACTTGGAACCCCAAACAGTGCAAGAGATGTGTTCCAAAACAAAAACTCTTGAATACAATGAAAGCACTTGCCTGTTGAGGGAGATAGTCAGATCCATTACAACTACTTGGAATCTCAAACAATACAAGAGATGTGCTCCAAAACAAAAACTCTTGAATACATTGAAACACGATTCAAATGGCACTTGTCAAACAAAATTAACCACATTTTCAAACACAAAAACAGGAATCCATCAATCTAATTGATTATTGCACTCCATCATGTGATAAAAAGAGTCTTGAAAATGTTGAAGGTTCTCACACTGAAGAATATGCTCAGAAATACGGCAAAAAGCTCTTAAACGTTCGTTAAAATCCATTAAAAACTCGTAAAAAGGTCGGAAACAATGTAAAACAATTTAAAAATAGAAAATGAAAAAGAACTGAAAGAAAGAATGGCTAACTAAGACAAGAAATAACAATAAAAGGCGATGAAAAACGCTCACAATTGTACTTTGACACCATTATTGACAAAAAAAGAGGTAAGCAAGATACAACAAATGCTCAAGAGAAGAAGGAATGACAAATATCAGCTATGGAAAACAAAAATTGGTTGTAGAACTTATCCTTTGTCTTGATTAACATTCAGTTGATATCATTTTAAATAAAATACTTAAAAAGATAAGAATTAACAAGAAAAAATTAAAAGGCACGCTGAGACATGTCAAGAACATAATTTGGGTTGTGACTGGTGAAAATTATGCTCATTTTTACGCGATTGTGCCAAATTGCCTCACATACTTCTTATCGTTATTTGTGTTATGACTGGTGAGAATTGTACTCATTTTCACGCGATTGTGCCAAAGCACCCCTCCAAATGCATTTTTTGGAGGCTTGTTCACTTTTTATTGAGAAAAACTTTGATTTAATTTGCGAGTCTTGTTTAATTCATTACGGAGGGTGTTTATGCGATATCATTGGTTGAAGTGCGACTCTTGGCGTGAGTTTTCAGTATTACAGCACAAGTAGTTAAGACAGAGAGGAGAAGTTGTGATGTGTTATGGATCTGTAAAACTTGCACTGGGCGCTATATTCTTTAAAGCACCCTTAAATTTTTCATTTGCATCCTTCAGAGTTGCTTCTCCAACTTCCATGTCGTCTTGCTGAGCTGTTTCTTGCCTTTACAGCTGTTTCTCTTTGCTTTTCTCTCTGTTTCGCTCTGCTTTTGCTTTTCTCCTTTCTTTAGCAAACATTTTCTAGGCACCATTTTTAGTGCTTCCTCTTTTTGTGGAGTAAGATGCTTCTGAGCCTCTTCCTTTCCTTTGCGCTCCTTTTCCAGACGTAACATAGTGGGCATGCGCACAACGCCCATCTGAAGTACCTATTTTGTGACCGGCACAGCGGTCATGATAAAACGCAGACTGCAGACTGTGCAGACCATGTAGACCATGCAAACCGTGCAGACCGTGCAGACTGCAAGTTTTTGTCTACCTTTTTTTCTTAAACTGTGATTTATATATGATTAATGTGTATACACCTTTACCTTACTCTTTTGGTAACGTTTGAACTGTTTCCAATTTTTGGACACCCTATGAGTTGACGAATTTTAGGAGGTTATTTCGAGCTCACGTTACCTAGCAAATCGCGGGCTCAAGTTTCTCGAGCACATAAAGATTGGTCCACGCGGCAAGATTTATTGCAAATGTAATTTGTGTGGTCTGTGACTCTGAATTAGAGGTAAGGAATGGGCTGTGTGAACAAAGCAAATGATTACCTGGGTCTTCAAGAGACAGCCCAAAAAGCTTTACAGTAAAGAAAGTGCTGCAAGTTAAATCGAACTTACTAGGAGATAAATGAATAAAGGGGTAAGTTTCTAAAGAAACTGTGGTGCTGCGTCGGTGGGAGAGTATAGCAGGTAATTTAGTGTTAACAACTGGGTTGAAAACGTAAATTAGCCATCGTAAAGGGTAAAAAAGCTGACGTTTCGAGCGTTAGCCCTTCGTCAGAGCGATTAGAGGAATTGTGGGTTGTGTGTGGATTTATATGTAGGAAGTGGAGCTACGCCATTGGTGGGAATGTGGTGACGAGAAAACAGGAACAAATTAGTTGAATGAAAAGCGCTCGTTGATTCCATGGGGATTAAGGGTGCCGATTTGGAATATAAATTTTTGTTCTAGTGTTTTACGGCTTTCCGAACTGCCTAGATGTAAGGAAAGGCCGCAAACTGCCATATGCTGTTTAGAATGATGAGGAAGATTAAAGTGTCTAGCGACTGGTTTGGATGCGTCCTTGTCATTTCTTTCCACATCGCGAAGGTGTTCTCGGAATCGGTCACCCAGTCGTCTCCCTGTTTCGCCGATGTATAACTTATTGCAATAAGTGCAAGTTATGCAGTAAATAACATTGGCGGAGGTACACGTAAAGTGATCAATGATCTTAATGGATCTTTTTGGTCCCGATATTTTCTGTACGTTATGAATGAAAGGACAAGTTTTGCATCGTGAGCGAGCGCATTTAAAAGTTCCAGATTGGTCATAGGTTGAAAATGAACTCCTGACTAAAAAGTTGCCTATGTTTTTGTCGTGTTTGAATGAAATAAGTGGGGGTTGCGAAAAGATAGTGCCAGTCTCTGAATCGTTTTGGAGTAATTTAAAATTTTTAAGAATGATAGATTTAACTGCGTGGTTGTGAGGGTGAAATGTAAGAGTAAATGGAATGCGGTCAGTGTTCTCCTTCTCGGCCGTTTGTAGTGCTGCCTGTCGATCGATTAGTTGGGCACGGTGGTAGCCCGCTTGAACGACAGAAACAGGATAGCCGCGTTTATCGAAAAACTGGCACATTGCCTCTGATTTTTCGGAAAAATCAGAGTCGTCACTACATAAACGACGAAGTCTGAGAAACTGTGAAAAAGGTATGGAGTTCTTGACGTGTGATGGATGTGAGGATGAATACAACAAGTAACTATGTGAATCTGTAGGTTTGTAGTAAACACTAGTACATAAGCCGTTGCCTTCAATAGAAATTTTGATGTCTAGAAAAGCCAAAGAAGAGTCGGAAATTTGCTAGGTATATTTAAGGGCCGGATGAAAGGAATTGACGGCGGTTATAAATTGAGTGAGCTCCTCCTTGGTAGAGGAGGTAGCGCCGATGCAATCGTCAATGTAGCGGCCGTAGAGTTGAGGTTTTGGGCCGTGGTATTGGCTAAAAAATTGGTGTTCGATAAAACCTACAAAAAGATTGGCGTAGCTGGGTCCCATTTTAGTACCCATGGCCACGCCATTAGTTTGTTTGTAGTAGTTACCACCGAATGAAAAACAATTGAGTGTGAGTACTAGTTCGGCCAGACGGAGCAGTGTTTCAGAGCTAGGTTCCTTAACAGTGCGTAGATCAAAAAAATGTTTGAGGGCCCGGAGACCTTCGTTATTGGGAATGACAGTGTAAAGAGATGTTATATCCATGGTGAAAATAAGTTTGTTTTGGTCGAGGAAACTAAAGTCACGAAAAATTTCAAGTGCGTGTTGGCTGTCCTTAATGTAAGACGGTAGAGTTTTGACGATAGGTGCCATGATTTTGTCTAAATAGCTGCATGTGAAAGGCGCCAACATGGCTGCCACGTTTTCTGGAGCTCTTCGCCTATCTACCATTTTTGGTGTTCTTTTCGTTTTAAATGCTGCCCAAGAATGCTACAATTGTCACTATAGGAGGGCTGAAAGTCCTTGGCTTTTCAAACATATTTTATCCAAGTTTACTACTCCTAAATTTAGAGTTCGCCGGCCGGTGGTGTTGTGGGGCGTCCATGGTCTAACCTTGCTTGCAGTACCGGAGAAATATATCACGCTAGATATCACTATAGATATGGACGTAGAGTCACAACCGGGTCCAGAGATAGACAGGAGTTTCGGAGGAGTTAATAAGAACTACCCGATGTTAATGCGAACTAAGCCAGCGTCTTTGAAATGCTCTGAACTCTTGTCTCTCCGAAACAAAGCTTTCAAGCCATCTCCGGCCGTTCTATCTCAGTTCAAGTCACTCGGCATTCTGAAATACCGTGGGCAACATAGTGCTCGAATCTCACGATCCATCTCAACCAAGAAAATCCCGGTGATGCAAGGCCGCCGTTTCATCAAGGCTGAAGGTCAGAAAGTGGATCGGAGTAACTTAATTAACATTCCGCGTGTCAACACAACCGACAAAACATCCACCTCTAAATCAAAGGGTTTCGCTGTCCCAAAATGTTTGTTTACGAACATTTGTGGTTTGTCGAAAACAAAAAATCGTGTACGAGCACCTGTGGCGTTTGAGGCTGACCTGAGATCTCAGGATATTGATGTGTGTATTGTCAGTGAAACTCATCTTTCCACTAATATGCCGGACGCCGTGGTGAATATCCCAAATTACAATGTGTTCAGGCGGGACAGAGGTTGGGCAGACTTGGACAAAAGGAAAAAAGGGGGTGTTGCGGTCTATGTGAGAGACAGTCTTAAAGTCTTGGATGTCTATCGGTCCAATTTATATGAATTTATTGCTTTAACAGTGCAGTTGCCGTCCGATCACATTATGCTAATTTGCGGCCTGTATAATCCTCCCAAGCATAGCTACCGGGATCTCGACTTGATTAATTATATAATATCCTTTGTGGACATTGTGTTGAACAAACACCCAGAAACGGCTATTGTCTGTGGTGGCGATGTAAATCGTTTGGATATGCAAGAATTTAAGGCTTTGTCTGGCTGGGATTTCGTGGTTGATTTTCCCACGCGGGGTAACGCGTGCTTGGATAACTGTATGACCAACCGAGCGGATCTGTTCGGTCAAGCATATTCCATACATATGCTTATTAAGACAGACCATGAGGGCTTTGTTTTACCGGCGGGATTAAAGCTTAAACCTATGCGCCGCAAAGTTCTCGTGCGGGACTGTAGGGAACATCGGAAACAGTCATTTTATATGGCACTCACTGCGCTGGACTGGAGTGACGTCCTCAATGAGGTGGACATAAACAAGGCGGTCGAGGTGCTTGAGGTAAAGATTCGTGCAGTGATGAATAAGTTTATGCCGCAAAAATCTGTACGCATGTCATCGCGTGACCCAGTTTGGATGTCCCCATTAGTCAAGTGTATGCTGAGGACTAAGTCCCATATATCTTTAAAGAATAAGGAACGCCTGTCTTTATTTAATAAGCGCATTTCTGAGCTGATAACCGAGAACAGAAGAAAACTGGCTGCCATTGGTAGCGGTGAGTGGTGGAAGGGCGTGGACGCCCTATCGCAGCGTCGCAGGTCATCGTTGATAAATTTGGACAAGAACTCTCTAGTTCGTCTGAACGACTACTTCGCCAACCTGTGCTATGATGACACTTACGTTAGACCTAGTGATATGGATATCCCGGACAGTGTAAAGCCCCGAAAATATCTGAGCGGTGTGTCTGGAATACCTTAGTTCATGTAAAGAAAACCGCAACGGGACCAGACGACCTCCCGTACTGGATCTGGAAAGACTGTGCTGAGCTACTCACACCAATCGTCACTCACGTTTGGAATCTGTCGCTGTCTACTCATACATGGCCAAACTCCTGGAAAAGGGCAAATGTTAACCCTCTCCCCAAAGTGAACATGCCTATAGAGGACTCGGACTACCGTGGTATTAATGTTACTCCCGTTATTGCCCGGTTGTTTGAGAAGGTCGTGTATCGTACACAAGCACAGTCAGTCATTGAGAGCAACCTGAGCCACACCCAATTTGCATATAGACAGGCGGGTAGTTGCACAAATGCCTTGCTCGCTATCCAGCACCAGACATACAAGTATTTAGATAGTAGTGACTATAGCGCAGTGCGAATTTTTACCATGGACTTCAGTAAGGCTTTCGATTTTGTGAACCATGCTATTTTGTCTGCCAAACTGAAACAGCTACCTCTAAATCCGTACATTATCAATTGGTATCATAGTTTCCTCTATGCAAGACAACAGCGTGTTGTTAGTTATAATTTTTTAGGACAGTGGAAACTTGTCAATAGAGGAACCACACAAGGTAGTGTAAGCGGACCGTATCTTTTAATATATTTTTTTGACGATTTGGAGATTTTTTTTAATGGTTGCCCTGTGCTTTTTAAATATGCCGATGATTCCACTATTCTTTCGCCTATCACTAGGAATAGTGACCCGTCTGCCGACTTAGTAGGACAGTTCTTAACATGGTGTAAAGACAATAGAATGGTCTGCAACCCTTGCAAATGTAAAAAGAGCTGGTTGTTAGAAAGAAAAATCATAATGTACTCTACTCTCCAATTAATAATATTCCCCAATGTAATAGCTTCGTTTTATTAGGAGTAACTTTACAGAGTGATGGAAAATTTGATGAGCATGTAAGAACTAAGCTTGTCAAAGCAAACAAGTGTTTACACGTCCTACGAACATTGAGAAAGGAACATTACTCTCAGGCAGAGATTGATCATCTTTTTATATCGATTGTTTTGGCTAATTTTAGCTATGCACTTTCAGTCTATGGGGCATCTGAGTCCGATCTTACGGTTGTACAAAAATTTTTTAGACCGATGTCATGAACGCGGTTTTATCTCATTTCCAGTTTTTATCAAGAACCTTTTAAACAAACAAGACAGAAACATTTTGAAGAAACTAAAATCAACGGATTGCCACCCCCTGAAAGATATCATTCCTGTCCAAAAGACATATCTACACAATCTCAGGAAAAAAGGCTGCGCGCGCCCGAAAATTAATACACAGCGCTTTATGAACACATTTGTAAATAGGTTGATATTTAAGCTCCATTTATTGTGATGATATACTTTTTAATTCATAATATGTATGTAGATTTTTGTAGTTTTTTCAATTCATTGTAACATAAGATATGTAGTTTTATCTTATGATGGAATAAAGACAATTTATTATATAAATAGCTGGAAATAAGTTCAGTGGGACAACTGCAGGCAGAAACGATGGGTCGACCTGGGTTGTTAGGTTTGTGGATTTTAGGTAAAAAGTAAATACATGAAGTTCTAGGAGTAGTAATGATGAGATTTTTAGCGGTGGCCGGCAATTCTTGTTCAGCTATAAGATCGTTAATCGTATTTTTGACAATGTTTTGGTTAATTACAGTGAGGTCTTTGTCGACTTTGGCATAAAAGGAGGTGTCAGAAAGTTGCCGCAAAGCTTCTTTTTGATAGAGGTCGGCCCGCCAAACAACAACTGCGCCGCCTTTGTCGGCCGCCTTAATGACAATGTCTTTGCGTTTTTTTAGACTTTTTAGTGCCGACCACTCTTCCGAAGAAAGATTGGAAAATTTGGTGTTACGCTTGAATTTAAGTTTGTTGATATCGTGGCGACATTTTTTGAGGAAAAAATCTAAAGATGAGAACTGGCCCTCTGGGGGAGTCCATTTAGACTTTCGAATCTGGAGTGTTTCGAAAGTATCTTTGTTCGAGGTGTTAGAATCATCCTCTTTGTCATGAAAAAAGGCTTTCAACTGAACGCGGCGAAGGAATTTTTCAACGTCTTGCTTAACTGAAAATTCGTCGGTTTTTTGTGATATGGGAACAGAATTTAAGCCCTTGCTGAGAACTGATTTTTCTGAATCGGAAAGTAGTAAATTTTCTGGAATGGTAACTACAGTTTTGAGGTTTTCAGGCGATGAGTCGTTAGTAACTTGAGGGCCGATAAGTTGGTCGAGTTTTTGGGCCTTAATTTGGTGCAAATGTTTAAAAAGTTTAGAATTGGCATCCTGAATTTTGGCACGAATGGATTGTACTAAAACAGCTGGACAGACTTTGGAAAGTTCAGAGCGGCAATGTAGAATTTGTTCGGTGAGTTTGTTACGTTTTTGGCACATAGCTCTGATTGTGATTCTTTTACTAGGAGATAAGCTTTTCGAATCGGAGTAGAAGACTGATTGATAGCTAGTAAGGAACTGGGCATGTCAGTTGTGTCCAACCTAGTTTCCGATTCTATCGCAATGCATGTACTGAGTGTGTGTGAAATGAAAATTAATGGGAAAATTTCCAAGTGAACAGCAGACGTGACCTGGGGTTTCACGAGTATTTTTTTTCATTTTACCAGAAATCGAAAATATAGAACAAAAAGTGGTACTGTTGGTTTGCATTTATCGCTGTTTAGAACTTGGGTTATGACGAAATAATTTGATGCGTTTGAAAGGTCGACGTCGGCTACGATAAATTGCCATCAGATGGAGAATAAACAACAAATTATAAGTGCACTTCCCCTCAGCTCCTCTTTAGTTCGTAAGCGTATTATTTAATCAAGAAAGAGGCAAAACGCTTTTCCTAGATTAAGGTTGTCTACAGTATTTGAAATTTGCATTTGACACACATCAGTGACTCTCCCAAACTTGCAGAATGTTTCGCCGAAAAGTGATTCAAGGTTTTTTCTTATATTTCGAGTCGCAATGGAAGCCTTTAGTTTTGTTTTTTATTGTAGAAGCGAAAAGAAGTGCTTTAATCTGGTTCAGACTTGAGTTGTACTGGTTGACTCACAGTTCTAGAGAAAAAACAAGGCACGCAACGCATCATGCACCAACAATGTTGCGGCATTCAAGAAGGCATTCGTTTGTTGTTTATTTCTGCTTATCATCCAGTCAAAAACCAATTCCAGCAAAGTTTTTTGACTTTCGTTTAACGTCCACCGAGACGTAAATAAAATTTATAGGCGGGAAAACGTATTTTTTCTTAGGCTGAAAAACCGCATAATACTAGTGTCAGTGTCTCGTGAGCTGTAACAGTCGAAATTCTCCAGAGAACAAAGATCGCTCTGCACGCTCTGCACGGTCTACATGGTCTGTATAGTCTGCACCAGGACCTTGAAAAGCCTTCAGTCCAACAGTTGTCGCACGAATTCCATTGATTGAGACTAAATCCAATCCCGCCCAGCACTGTGAGATGTCCCAACAATTGAGTGCGCTTTCTTTTCTTTTTAACAGAATTTGAACGTGTAATACAGGCCACGACAAAGCCCACAAAAAAATAGTCTTGTGCATCAACATTTTCATTGCCAGCACCATGAGAAAACTGCAGGTCTTCTTTGTGGCAGTTGTCATCATAACCCTCACCTTAGTGACATTTTTCTCATCGTATCTTCCCATTACAACTAGGAGTCGTTGTGAGTCACAAGCACTGGCAAGTGATTTAAGACGTCTAGCAAAAGACCTTTCTGAGACACAACACAGCTTGGTACATTTTCCATTGCAGTTCTACAAAGTTGAACGAAATATTGAGCTTTTAAAGCAACTAATAAAATCTGTGGATGGACAACCACTGCAAAAGGACACCGTTTCCAGCGATTCCTCACCAGAAACTTATGTTAAGAAGAGAGAGGTTTGTCCCGAGAAATTTATGGGAAAGGATTCTTCTTATGGATCCCCATTTTATAGGAAAGGTTTCGAGGGAGAAAATTGCACAGACTTTGTTCCAATTGATGAACTTGTGACTATGATTATGACATCACCAAAGGAACTATCACCTGAAAAGCTGAGAAAAGTGTTTGAAGGAATTGCCACACATTATCCAAGCGTTCCTGTAATATTTGTGTCAAACAAAACATTAAAGTTCAAGAGGCTAAGAGACGAAGGTTTAAATCCAACGTTCATGGCATTTGATGACCTTACACATGGAGAAACATGGTCCAAGTTACTCAAGATGGTGGCCACACCCTATACATTGTTTGCACCGGATATCACCTACTTCACGGACGATGTTAATCTTGAACGCCTTGTACGGGTACTAAGTGAGAACAGGGATGTCATGATTGCAGGAGGAAGCCAAAAGAATCAACGGGGGGAGTGGGACAATAGCTGTCGTCAAGTGCAATTCAGAAATTGGACCGCATATTTTGAAGACGGCTATTACTACTCGTTTAATGATTGTATAAGATGTGATGTACTGCTTGGTCCATTTGTGGCAAAAACCAAAGAACTCCAGGATCTTGGAATCGATGAAAAGTAAGTATAAACTACGATGCAGTATAAAGATTTAAGTTTTACTGGGGGAAGATAAGAAACGGAAAGGAGAACAGTTTTGGGTGAGAAAGGGTGCTTCCTGAGTTGTTTGGTTGTTTTTTAATTACTGTGAATATATGAAAATCATATATGTGAACTGCAGATAAAGACGTGAAAATGAAAGTGGTCTTCGCAGTAGTGAACACTACTTGAGTGGTAGTGAAAACAAAACCTGAGAAAAATTCAGGATTGTACGGGATTTGAACCTACTCTTCCAACTGAACTAACAAATCGTTTTCATTCGCAGTTCACATGTATGATTTTCATATCTTCACAGTCATTTACTCATCACTTCATGGGTTTATTTGGAACCAACATAATGACCAGTTCCCAGTTGGCTTGTTAGCTCAGTTGGTAGAGCACTGCACCGGTGTCGCAGAGGTGATGGGTTCAAATCCTGTACAGGCCTCACTTTTTTCATGCCTTACTTTCACTACTGCTCAAGTAGTGTTCATTACTGCGAAGATCACTTTCATATTCACTGGTTGTTTTTGTTCTCAGGGATGGAAGGTGGTCAAAATTTTTTGGGTAGCTTCATTTAAGATGGTGTACCACCTTAGAGTAGAATTCTAAGGAGTCTTCTTAAAAATGCTTACAGAAAGTTTTCATGATGTATTTGACTTCTACCTCCACCCTCTGCTATTTTGTGGACCGTTAATGAAAACTGTCAATCTGGTTTGATAAGCTCAATAATTCGACTACTATTTCTTGTTTTCCAGATTACATTTCGGTGCCTTTCAAGGCATATTCTGGCGATTAAAACTCAAACGTCCAGAGAAAGTTGTTGCCAGCTGTCCAGATGTCATGTTCAATATATATGAGCGAGAAGTTCCAGATGAAAAATATGATGCCTTGGCCCAGAAATGGGATGTGAAGAAATGGGTGGAGTCTAATGGGCAAGTGCGTTGGTATGGGTGCTGAAGAGGAGGGCATGCCCGTGATAGTAAATCGTCCTGTGGTATACCAGCCACAGGACTCGCTGTTCCTCCTTGTGACTTGGAGAATCTTGCTGACATAGTCAAATTTATCATGAACGAATGTGAAAATGCTGGGATTTACTGTCAACTTAATGCAGGAACTCTATTAGGTAATGTACTCTTGTGCCTATTTTGTAATAGGGAGGTGCAGTTCAAATTGAGTCTGTTTCCCCCCTTTTGGGATTCAAACAGGTTTGTCTTCAGAATGGAACAGACAAAAAAATTCAGAAGAAGATAATTTTGACCTTGGTCACTCCCACATATTCAATAATTTTGTGTACCGGTATAGGGTAGAAATACCTTTTTGTTGCAAAGAAAGGAAATTTCTTTGAGTGTGAGTAGCTGTTGTTTTAAGGCTGTTGTGTAATATCAATTATCAAGCTAAATAAAAATAAATTGATGTGAAACAAACATCATGCAATGAAATGAAGGAGGTCAAGGAGACACCATTGTTATGGTCATGACCACCACCATCATGGTGGTTGAACAAAATTGACATCATTTTCATGGCATCATCTCCTATTACTTAACTTTCGTTTGCTTCTGTTTTAGGAGCTGTTAAATTCAAAAAGGTTTTGCCATGGGAGCGCGATGCTGACATCTATTTTCTTTCGGAGAACTACACAGCAGTTCAAAAGCTTCGTCCAAGATTCGAAGCAGCAGGCTATAAATTTGATGATAGAAAAGGAACTGAATGCTGCACAGATGGACGAAAGACATCCGGCATTTTTGTAATCTATGGAAATGGCTGGGGTGTTGACTTTTACGGTAGACCTAGACTTGAGTCCGAGATGCTTGTAGCTGATGGTCAGCAGCCAACTAAAGTGATGTTTGCTGGTCAGTGGGTCATTGCCACGCGCAATCCAGGACTTTCCTCTCGTAATCGATATGGACCCAACATGTATCATCATGTAGAGCATTGGGCAGTTGTAGGAAACGCAAATGGGGATGCGCTGTACAAATCGGGTGTCTGGATCAAATGTTCCAGGCCTGGACACATGGGGTGTCTAGACCAGTTCCGCACTGATGGCGATCTTCAATTTGGTGACTACTTCATGACTTAATTTTTTTCACAGCAAGGACATGGAATGAGCAAACAGCGGCAAATTTTATGAAATGCATCAAGGTAGCTGTTTATAGAAATGATCTTTAAAAAGCTAAGAAGTAGGGTGTCGTTTGCACAAATTGTTTAGGAATATTACAAGGGTTAAATAAGGGGCCCAACATGATTTGTAGTAAATAAAGGTTGAGTAAGATAGAAGATAGACAAACAAGGACATGGAGGAGGGCTTGTTGCCTCCACATTCTCTTCGCTGAGTATCAATTAAGATGTCAGTGAACTTGTAGAATTTTTAGTTGTTGTGCTCTTAAAATATAAAATTAGCATGAAAGGTGTTTATCTCCTTATATACATTTATACCTGTTACTTTATTTTGGGATTGAAGTACCTTTTTACTATGTGCAGCTAACAAATAATCATCGACATCAATGAGAAATCAATGAGTGTGTGATAACTCATTGATGTCTTTATGCAGCGTTTACTGATTAATTACGAGTGACCAAGACAGAATTTCTCCTTTCGATATCAACATAATATCAAGCAGACAAGTGATACGAATAACAAAAAGTACCAATTAACAACATGAGACAAACAAAATCTATGAAATAAAGCTCTGAAAACTGCATATCTAAATTATATCCCGGTTTAGAAATATCACAAATGTGTTAATTAACATTTCATTTAACTTTACTGAAATATTCAGCCTGAGATGTAATTTAGATATTCAATTTTCAGATCTTTATTCATAACCCACATAGATTTTGTTATGTCAACGATTACTAACTAAGAACACATAGTGTGGTCTGCCCATGATGTCAGTATCTGAGCAGCTGCATACCTACCCCTCCCCAACCCAGCTTAACTCTGACTTGTTATCAGTTTACTGTTGTTGGGTTAAGGGAGGGGAAGGTGCGCAGTTGATCAGATACCGGTATTGATCCACTTAATCTTGGGCAAACAACGAGTTTGTCTCACCAACAATGGAGCCCAAATTACACAACTTTCATGATGGCGGACGACGCGCGGGACTGGTAATTACTCAAACATGACATCGAGGTCAGAAGATAACAACTGTAAACAAAAGGTCAACAAAGGTTGAATAGGTTATCTGTTTTGACTCGATTCGGTCGAATTATTTCCAATAAGAGGAAATGCCTACTCCTTGTTGTGTTCCAGAAAGTAGGAAGAAAGGATAACGGAAAGACGATGGGATAAAAGTGTCTTACTTTAAATTTCCGACCAAGAATCCGGTGGAAAAAAAAATGGCTACACGCAAGAAGAGGAGACGAGGGAATGCTCTTCAAGGTAACTGAAGATAAAAAGATGTGCTCCCGGCATTTTAGGAAGGTGATATTAAAAAAATCTCTCGCCGGCAAGAATGAATTAAGAGATGGAGTTGTCCCTTCTGTGTTTTCGTAGAACCTAAGTCAGTGCGTTTTCATGACTCAGCGGTCTCTCAGATAACGCTTACGTTTGTTGGGTAGGAGTGCTATCTCGCCGAGCTGTTTCTTGCCTTTACCGCTATTTCTCTTTGCTGTAGTTTCTGTTTCTCTCTGCTTTTGCTTCCTCCTTTCTTCAGCAAACGTTTGCTTCTGGGTATCCATTTTCCGTGCTTTCTCTTTCTGCAGAGTAAGCTGCTTCTGGGCCTGCTCCTTTCCTTTGGGCTTCTTTTTGGGCGCAACGCCCATCTGAAGTAGCTATTTTGTGACAGGCACAGGACCGGACCTTGAAAAGCGTTCAGTTGCACGAATTCCATTCTCTGAAATCCCCTTTCGACCTCTCATGTCTGAGAACACGAGCTGTCTCTATGACATTCACAACAGGGGAGATTTCTTTTCACACGTGGTATCCTTCAGGTCATCAACTTCTCTCCAAAAGGGGTCTACTCGGATTGGATTTTGTGACTCTTCACCTTCCAAGTGCCAATCCTCATGGATAGTTTCCAGTTAATGCAATCCCCAATCGTCACCCAGTTGGTCAAGATCCACCCCAACATTCACTTTGCCGGCCAAAACGCAATTCATTTCAGAATAAAAAAACGTTGGATACAATATGATTTTTGATAATACATCCAATAGGTTGAAACTTACAGTATTAGCTTAGCGTGCTTTCTCCTTTTCACGTGACGCGTGATTGGTTAAAAGATTCTGGATGAGTAATTTTAATAGGAAAATTCAGCGTGATATGTAAATGTATTTTGCCACCCTCATCTTTCATCCTCGAATGGCAGAATAATCTGAACGGGCGCATTTGCTTGAACATTGCGAACTTGTAATTGGTTTCGCTACTCGATAAATCTAGTCATGGTGGAATTAATGAGCTTCTCTGGGTACTTCAATCTCAAGAGGATCCCTCTCAAGTTCTCATGCTTCAGCAAATAGATGTGGTGAGAATGAAAGACAGTTTTTGCACGGTTTTGTGTATGGCCTTTCCGCTCTAGCGGACAAAACTAGATTTGTCCCAAAGGACAAACTTTGTCAAATTAGACAATTGGGGCAAATTTGTCGGCGCTGCGTTCGAAGATTTGTCCGCTTCGGCCAAAATTTGTCAAGTCATGACAAACCATCTGCATTTTTAAATGTTCATGATGAAAAAAAATTTATCTTGTAAACATCTTTTTCGCCCGAGCGGAAAGGCCCATAGTCATCGGTAATAACACACATATATTTTTCTCTATCTTTCTTTCGTTATTCGCTGCAAATACTGAAATGACCGGCAGCCGGGCACGGTCTCAAATAGACTAAATGCCCGGCAGTTAGTAATGTTTACAGAAGACTATCTTATAATAGTTTATCTTATTTATTGTATTGTAACCAGCAGCGTAAAAGCGACTTGTCTTTATTAAGAACCTACGAAACTAACAACGGGCGAGCTGAAAACAACCCTTTGGGAAACACCGCGGGGTTCCCATGTGCTGACACGTGCTTCGAGTGATAATAAGTTATTAATATGACAAAAAAGTTGTATATGACTCAATAAACGATTCAAGTCTTCTTTCGAAAACGTCATGGAGATACAATCGAAGTATGAGCAATATTGCGTGCTTAACCAAAGGTATTAGATATATTAGGAATTTTGATCTAAAACTAAGTTTACAAGCAGAGCTCCTTATGTTTTCTTTTCTTTGCACGTGCATGCGATCTATTGAGTTAAACGCTATTGGGCTTTGCACCTACTTAGATAGGTCACTTTGCTCAAAGTGGCTAAGACTGGGAGACACTGAACTAGGGAAATTGATTATGGACGGTGCAATGTCGAGTCCACTGAACTCACTTTGTACTCATTTAAAAGCCATTTAGATATGCCCAACACGACTTAAAATTAATGTAGGAAATTGTCATGGCACTGAAATCTGGTAATTTATCTGCAACATGTGCCATGCATACACCATGCATTCCCTTCTCTTCCTGCCCTGTACTGTGAGATGTTCCAAAAATTGAGTGCATTTTTTTTCACAGAATTTGAAGGTGTACTGAGAGCCACGACAGATCCCACAAATTAAGTCTTGTGCATAGCCATTTCAACAACCAGCACCATGAGAAAACTGCAGCTCTTCTTTGTGACAGTTATCATCTTAACCCTTGTATTAGTGAAATTTTTCTCATCATATCTTCACATTACAACTAGGAGTCATTCACAAGTACTGGCAAGTGATTTAAGACGTCTAGCAGTAGACCTTTCTGAGACACAGCGCAGCTTGGTACATTTACCATTGCAGTTCTACAAAGTTGAACGAAATATTGAGCTGGTAAAGCAACTGATAAAATCTGAGGATGGACAGCCACTGCAAAAGGACACTGTTTCCAGCAATTCTTCCCTAGAAACTTATGTTAAAAAGAGAGAGGTTTGTCCTGAGAAATATATGGGAAAGGATTCTTCTTATGGATTCCCATTTTATTGGAAAGGTTTTGAAGGAGAAAATTGCACAGACTTTGTCCCAATTGATGAACTTGTGACTATGATTATGACATCACCAAAGGAACTATCATCTGAAAAGCTGAGAAAAGTGTTTGAAGGAGTTTCCACATATTATCCAAGTGTACCTGTGATATTTGTTTCAAACAAAACATTGAAGTTCAAGTGGCTGAAAGAAGTTAGTTTAAGACTTACTTTCATGGCATTTGATGACCTTACACATGGAGAAACATGGTCCAAGTTACTCAAGATGGTGGCCACACCCTATGCACTCTTTGCACCAGATATCACTTACTTCACTGATGATGTTAATCTTGAACGCCTTGTACGGGTACTGAGTGAGAACAGGGATACCATCCTTGTAGGGGGAAGCCAAAAAGAATCAACGGGGGGAGTGGGACAATAGCTGTCGTCAAGTGCAATTCAGAAATTGGACTGCATACTTTTCAGACAGGTATTACCACTCATTTAATGACTGTGTACAATGTGACGTGCTGCTTGGTCCATTTATGGCAAGAACCAAAGAACTCCAGGATTTTGGAATTGATGAAAAGTAAGTAAAAATTACAATTCAGTATAAAAATTAAAGTTTTATTGGGAGAAGAAAAGAAATATAAAGGAGTACAGTTTTAAGTGAGAAAGGGTGCTTCCTGAGTACTTGGGTTGTTTTAAACAATTGTGAATTTATGAAAATCATATATGAGAGCTGTAGATACAAACATGAATATGAAGGCAATCTTAGTAGAGAACTGTGGATACAGACATGAATATGAAGGCGATCTTACCAGCAATGAACACTACCCAAGCGGTAAAAAAATGAGTATGGAGGTCTGAAATGGTTAGTGAGGCTGGGTATTAATTTTGGGTAAGGAAATATCATTAGCTAAGTCTTGAAATGAGGAAGAATTCTAAAGAGTCTTTTTACCTCCACCATAAGCTAGTTTGAGGACTCTTCATGAAAACTGTCAATCTAGTTTGTTCGGCTCAATAATTCAACTACTATTTCATGCTTTCCAGACTACATTTTGGTTCCTTTCAAGACATATTCTGGCGATTAAAACTCAAACATCCAGAGAAAGTTGTTGCCAGCTGTCCTGATGTCATGTTCAATAAATATGAGCAAGAAATTCCAGATGAAAAATATGATGCCCTGGCCCAGAAATGGGATGTGAAGAAATGGGTGGAGTCTAATGGGCAAGTGCATTGGTATGGGTGCCAAAGAGGAGGGCATGCCCGTGATAATAAATCGTCCTGTGGTATACCAGCCACAGGACTCGCTGTTCCTCCTTGTGACTTGGAGAATCTTGCCGACATAGTCAAGTTTATCATGAAGGAATGTGAAAATGCTGAGATTTATTGTGAACTTAATGCAGGAACTCTATTAGGTAATGTACTCTTGTGCCTATTTTGTATTGGGGAGGTGCAGTTCAAATTGAGTCTGTTACCACCCCTTTAGGATTCAAACAGGTTTGTCTTCACAATAGAACTGACAAATAGTTGGTGACAGATAGTTTTAACCTTCATCATACCCATACATTCTATAATTTTATGTACCAGTATAGTGTAGAAATACCTTTTGGTTGGAAAGAAAGGAAATTTCTTTGAGTGTGAGTAGCTGTTGTTTTAAGGCTGTTTTGTAATATCAATTATCAAGCCAAATGAAAAGAAACGGATGTGAAACTAACATTATGCAATGAACTGAAGGAGACACCATTGCTATGGTCATGACCACCACCATCATGGTGGTTGAACAAAATTGGCATAATTTTCAGTGCATCATCTCATACTAGTTAACTTAAGTTTGCTTCTGTTTTAGGAGCTGTTAAATTCAAGGGGGTTTTGCCATGGGAACGTGATGCTGACATCCAATTTCCTTCAGAGAACTACACAGCATTTCAAAAGCTTCGTCCAAGATTTGAAGCAGCAGGCTATAAATTTGATGATAGAAAAGGAACTGAATGCTGCACAGATGGACGCAAGACATCCGGCATTTTTGTAATCTATAGAAATGGCTGGGGTGTTGATGTTTATGGTAAACCTAGGCTTGAGTCTGAGATGCTTGTAGCTAATGGTCAGCAGCCAACTAAAGTGATGTTTGCTGGTCAGTGGGTTACTGCCATGCGCAATCCAGGACTTTCTGCTCGAAATCGATATGGACCTAATATTTATAAGCATGTAGAGCATTGGTATGACATAGGGATGAAGAGTGTGGTTATGCGCTACAAATCAGGTGTCTTCACCAAATGTCCACAGCCGGGACACATGGGGTGTTTAGACCAGTTCCGTCCTGATGGCAATCTTCAGTTAGGTGACAGCTCTGTCACCTAAATTGCTTTACATGCCAACTCCAACATGTAACAAGCAAACAGAGGCAAAATGAAATGGTCTTTCACAGGCCAAGAAGAAAGATATCTTTTGCACAAACTATTTAGGAATACAGCAAGGGTTAGACAAGGGGCCCAACATGATTTGTAGTAAATAAAAGTTACGCGAGATGGAAGATAGACAAACAAGGACATGGAGGAAGACTTGCTGCTTCCATGTTCTCTTTGCTGAGTATTCGATTAACATGTCAGCAAACTTAAGGAATTTCAAGTTGTAGTGTTCTTAAAATATAAAATTAGCTTGAAAAGTGTTAATCGATGTTTATGTCCTCAACATTGTATACATTAACATCAATGAGAAATTAATGTGTGTGTGATAACTCATTGATGTCTTTATGGAGTAATTACTGATTAATTACAAGAGCACAAGACAGAATTTCTCCTTTTGATATCAACAAAATATCAAGCAGAATAGGGACGTAAAAAAAAAGTATCAATTAGGGGATTATTACATGATCCATACCAAATTCTCCACACCAGGAGGTAGTAAGGAGAATCACTAATGAGATCTTGGGAGTGAATTTGGCTAAGGCCTCAATAGTGAGTAAACATTGAATATTTAACAAGTTTTAACAAACTCCCCTCTTGACTTAATATGACAGAAAAAGGTATGGTCTGCACAAAATTTATACCTATCTAGGTTTAATTAACAATTTGCACATCAGAGCAGGGTAATCATCTGACAAGGATTCAAAATACTTTACACCACAAGCAGATTATGATTTGCCAAACTGAAGTTGACTGACTCAAAAACTCTCCAGGGCTACATGTAGTTTTAATAATAGTAGGCATAAAGAAATTTTTTTCCCTCACAGCATAAAGAAATGATATAGTTAGAATCAGTTAAACTTAAATTCAGAAGAATTATTGTGTTTATTTGTTATGAATTCTACAGTAGCTTTCAACCCTGTTGGCTCATTAATGACATCAATATCTTAACCTTTCTAGGAGCCCTTATGAGACACAGATTACCCATCCAGTACTAGCAACTGTCATGAGGAATCAACCAAATACCATACTGGTTACCTAGATCAATTAGAATACCTGTTGACAAGTCTGAATTTGTAGTTTTCTTCCAACCAAAACTCAGGCTCTGGCACATGTTAATGACTCTGACAAGTTCAAGATGATGTAATGTGATTATATAATAAATTTCCTGTTGATTCTAATCTATAAGAAGTAAAATCAAAACACAGGTTTCCACCTCTCTACCTCCCCTTTCTTGCCTAAAGTATCACATCTGACTTTAAGGTTTTTTTAAAGGTTTCCTTCCCTTTCTTTTTTATCTACTTAAAGGATCCCAGGTTTCTTAATTTCTCTTTCATTGCTGTTCTGTTGTTAACTTTTCACAGTACCATAATCAAAATTAGTAAAAGATAGCTGATACATTTACAGTGGCCTCAAGGATTTAAGTTGCCAAGTTGTCCAGAAAAACCTATTTTTGCACAGACAAAATTCATTTTTGGCCAGACAAATTCTTTACATGTGTAAAGAAGCAGGCAAAATGTTTGGCTATCCAAAAGTTGATAATACAAACCCTATGTTGCCTGGCCGCTATTTAAGCACTAGGCTAATATGAAAACTACTAAACAGTCAAATGATGCATACTAGCATAGCTATTAATAACAACTTGTTACAGACATTTATCCAAAAGAACACATTTACATTGTATTCAGTCAGTAATGTCACTGCTTTTTCTTAAATACAATGGCACATACATTTGCACAATCTACAACTGACTTTCAAAGCTAGCATGCAAGTTAATGCATGAAGGTTCCATAAATTCGATGAACCATCATGCATGTTTCTTCTTGTTTCTTTTTGCCATTAATCATCAGATGGACCCACATAATCGTCGGCTGGACCATGGGCATTGCTTCGGTCATAGCCGGTGTTTCCACCACCACCTCCTCCACCTGATTCAGTTACTGGACGCCTATAGACACCTATCTCCTTATGACAATTGGGACATAGATGAGCAACATCCTTGGCACAATCAGTACAAAATGGAATGCAACAACAACTGAAAGCAGTAAAATTTATATCATTAGGGTGAAATTCCTCATGAGCACCCATTTGCCATTAACCCTTTACATCCTAACATCAGTATGCATATTCTCCACACTGTTCTCTATACATTTCCTGAGTGCCGAAAAGGAGAATTTGTTGAACAATCAGGAGCTACTTTGGTTGGAGTTCATTCCTTTATTGCCATTACCTTAAATGTTTAATTCAGGGGTGACAGTGTAAGGAGAAATAATATTTATGCCACTCTTATGAGTTTAAGGGTTTACTTAACCCTCTAACTCCCAAGATCTGATTGTTAATTCTCCCCTGTAGCTGCTACACATGTCCTTGTAAATAAGTTATGAGAATTTGGTGCTAGATCAAGATAGCAGCTTCTACCTGATAAGTTTGAATATTCTCATTACCTGTTTGCTAAAGAATGTATGGATATTGTAGGGAGAAGTTTTATGTTAATCACTTCTGGGAGTTTAAGGGTTAAGAGTGATTAGTAACTACTTTCTCCTATCAGTATTGCCCTAAAACAAACATTGAAGTCATGAGAATAATGGAAATGATCACCAACTAAAGAAGCTCTTGATTGTTAACCAAATTCTCTTTGTCAATACCATGGGAAATAAATAGAGAACAGTATAGAGAAAATGTATACTGATGTTGGGGTGGAAAGGGTTAAAATGAACTGAATCTCTAAAAAATATAGAATTGCAATAGATTTACCTTACTAGGCTATACCAAGCCATGCTATTGGTTGAGAAAACCTGCCCCTCGCTCAACCAAACAGGTGTGATGTGAAATTTAAACCAATGGCAACTCTGTCACTTTCCTCCTCCAACACAGGAGCAGGTTAACAGGTACCATAATAATTCAAAATCTTAGTTACTTTTAGTACCACAAGAGAGGCACATATTCGAAGTAGGGAGCTTATCAGAGACAGAGCAGTTGTTTAATTTTTTTTTGAGAAAAAGCAGGATGTGCAAAACAAAGCTTTGATTTTTATTTGAGGAAGATCATGAAGACTGGAAATGGACTTCTTTTCCCAGGATCCTTCCTGGTTAGAACAACCAACCAAGCAATGTTTGCAAAATTTTAAGACAAGATCATTTGTTTAAAGGAACTGTGCACTCATGTGGATGTGTATGATTTACATATATACATGTATATATATAAACTGACAGTTGAGAGACAGAGGCCACTGTTTTGTAACAAGGCATTAACTAAGCAATTAAAGGAATATGAAACACAGTTGACCTCATTGTACATGTACTCCAATAGTGCTATTACTGAAACTGAATAGGGGCAGCTATTGGAATGAGGGTGACTAATTAATAGAGGTGCTACATGTAATTAGAGTAGGGACTCTTGTTGACCAAAATAAATTCTAGGGGATGCATATTAGAGAGGGGCGCTCATTGAAATGAAGGGGCTAAATCTATTCATTAGGGTTATAAGTGGGATTCTTATGAGCTTTTCTATATTTCCTTTATTTTAAAGAGCCCTCTTTTAGTTTGGTTTAATCCTTTGACCCTAAGAGTGACAGGCATCTAATTTCGCATTACAATATCTGCCCAAATCACAGGTTAAGGTCATTAGAATAAAGAAAATGATCATTAACTAGAGAAGCTCTTGATTGTAAAACAAATTCTCCTTTACAGAACATTAGGAAATATATAGAGGACAGAATAATATGCATACGGATGTTAGGGTGTACAGAGTAAAGAGCATTCTGGCTTAAAGCACCCTATGTATAGAATACTAAAAATCCTTACCCAAAGCAAGACAAGATAAAACAGTACAAAAAGGTTGTGTTTCCAGCACGGTGAACAAGCTGGGTAGAAATGGTAGCCCCACAGTGTGGACAGCCCATTGTTACAGGGAACTGTTTAAGAACTATGGGTTGAGGAAGCCCAACAGGCTGTTGGATCACTGTTAATGCTTGTGTCCCTGGTGCACCATATCCAGGCTAAAAGAGAGTCACATCAAGAAAGTTTGTTCATAGTTACAGAATAAGGTAGTATTTTCAACTGAGTTGATAACAAAAATTGGCCATCATAGAGAGTATCAAAGCTGAGTGTTAACCCTTCATCAGAGTGATTGACAAAGGGCTAATGTTCAAAATGTCAGCTTTAACACTCTTAACAGTGTCCAATTTACATTATCAATCCAGTTAATAATACTAAATTACCCTGTTGTATTATCCCACCAATGCAGCACCACAATAGAAACTTATCCCCTTTATTATCAGGGATGTAGCTAAAGTTTTTAACAGGCGGGAATCTTGCAATGATAGGTGGGTATTTGGGCCAAAGGCCCACTCTAGCATGCCTTTGGCACGCTATACCTAGATTTGAAGGTGTAAACAAATGAAATAAATAAATAACAATCTTCTGACAACATTTAAAAACATTTTGGAGAAAGAAGTAGTGACAGCCGGAAAAATCACATTCACAGCCAGGTAATTTTCCTGGCTTCTGGCTATTACCTACATCCCTGATTATTAGTAGTTACATTGGCACTAAAACAACTAAGGCAGCCGGTTTTCTGACAGGAAGTGACAACAACCACTAACATATACGATCATAAATTTCGTTAAACAGGACCCCTTTGATTAAACACGCTCCTTGCGGTCAGCGTTCTCCCACGTTTTGGTCGAAACAGATACATGTACTCAAGGAACACGCTACATCGTATGTCGTCGCTCAAAAAAAAAAAAATTGTCGTAAATTGTTTTCTTCTTGTGTGAATTTTGTGGACTGAAATAAAATTTCAGTATTCCCGATCACTTAACTAATAATTATACTGGGAAAAGCTTTTCTTAGCCCGATCTTTGGACGTACAGCTGAAGTTTAAAATGTCAATCGTTCGATTCGAATTCTCTTCTCTGAATTTACGTTCAATTTTTGTAAAAATAAACATACTCAATGCAGCCAGTCACAATGACTCAATGACTCTTACAAGAGGAAATAGTAATATAAGAAAACAACACAGTCTCCACTGATGGAGTAAAACTAAGCATATTTCAACATTTTTTCCCAACCTGATAGTAAGCGTGAGGAGCGTATTGACCTTGGGGTGGTGGTTGGTAATAGCCAGGTTGTTGCGGAGGATAGTAGTTTGGGGGATACTGCCCTTGATTCATTGCATAATTCTGTCCATGCGGAGCTGCCATAATTACTTGAGATCACAGTTCTGTTAACGCTGAAAACGAAAGTATAACATTACTACTGTAGTTCCAAATTCCGCATTCGTCATGTAAACACACACTGCATAGCATAACGGGAAACCTTTGAAAACAGCTGCGCCAACAGTACATGCGTGGATGTCACGTGCGGTAGGTCGCAAGGAAGTAACGATTGTACGCGTTAAGAACATGTCTCTGTAAGAATCAAACATCTTGGGAAATGAACATTTTCAACCCCCCTTCAAATTTTGCATGCAGTTAGGCGCTCAGGGGGAATACACAAAAATGCCATTTATTCATAAAAAAAATTGATCAACATTCATGAAGGACTACTCGACGTAACTACAACCATATACCTCAAATCGTGTGCATATCATCCAGATTCCGAGTGCTGCACCTTCTTTCATGGGAATTTGAGCGATCCGAAGTCCTCTGAAGATACACTGTTATACTTGCATGCCATTTAAAACATGTTGGAGTCGGCTGATCTACACGAAACTATCCTCATACCGGTCATTTGTCATAAACATGTACGTTGTGACGATGGCGTGACGCTGTATTTCTCCATGAAGTTTCCATCGGTCGCCCCAAAAAAGACGAGAAATGTACATTTTTCGATATATCAGCAGATTTCCGCGCATTCTAAGTAAAAACAACCAAAAAAAAAAAAAAAAAAACCTCGATTGAACGCTTGTAACCACCGAGAATCTGAGAGCAGAAATCGCAACTTGTCAGCGGCAGTACTATATGTAAAACCCAGTCGCCGCAATAGCAATCTGTACAACTCGCGCGAAAATCATCACAAAGTGGAGATTTTGAACTACTCAGTATCCCTGCAGTACAGCAAATGGAAGAGGGATTTCATCACAATCAATTTTTAAGAAGTTAGCTTTTTCCAGGTGGTCTTTCATGTGCTCGAACGTTATATTGGCTTTGAGCCTTGAGATTTATTTCCCTTGACAATAAAATGCTATAGAAAGTGCTTACAAAATAACAAAGGAACTATTTTTGGTGTCGCTTGGACCGAGAAATGCAGATCTGAAATAATTAATGCTGTCACTGATGAACCAAAGGGCACAATCTTCTCAGTTATTAGCTTGATAATGTCCACTTTTACGTACTTGTTTCCTACTCACGGACAGTCGTGTCAGAAGAAGACGTTATGGTGCCAGAGCCCATGAGGTACATCGAGTACTACCAGAATGACGAACCCTTTTATGTAGTGTTTACTCATGACTACTCGAATGCAATAACATGCACCGGTTGCACAAATGAGTTCCCCAAGAGAAAACAGATAGCGCCCTACGACATTGTTCTACTTCACGAGGAGCGTTATCGCTACTTAAAAAAGACGATAGCGGCAATGTTCAAATGGTTGTAACGCATAAAAAAAAGGCAAAGAGGTTTTCTTGCGTCAACCAAATACATATTGTGTGACAAGAGAATAACAGTGTATCTTCAGAGGACCTTGGATCGCTCAAATTCCCATGAAAGAAGGTGCAGCACTCGGAATCTGGATGATATGCACACGATTTGAGGTATATGGTTGTAGTTACGTCGAGTAGTCCTTCATGAAGGTTGATCAATTTTTTTTAAAAGTTGACGACCAGAAGCGAGATTTCTCTTCGGGATATTGCTCATAAGATAACATTCTTTCAAAGCCTTGCACGTTTCATTTGTCTGAAACGTTTGTTGTTGAGAACATTAGACGTAAACATCGCCAAATTATGCAATATCTGATTTTTTGAGCTTCGTTCGCGAATTGCCCCTATGGAAAGTAGAGGCAGGCCCGCAGAGATTTTTACATATTTAAAAACTAGAATATTATAACCAGCTAGGTGGGTAGTTTCAGTTCCAGAATCGATGTACTTTTGGAGAAATTCAGATAAACGTTTTCCCTGTTTCACCCGACAACAAAAATGACCGAAACTGCACCGAGATAAATAATCTATTGGTGTTTTCACATTCACTGCCAGGAAAAATTAAATATCTGAAAGTGAAGACGAATGATATCACTATGTATGGTAGAAGTGCCAATTTGTAATGTTTTATTTAGCTTGAAATAGAGAAATAAACATTTCACTCTTTTTTGCGACGTTTTCGTATGAAAATGAGGCCCTAGGCCTCGAACAAGCAGCCGTTGTTACCATGGCAAAAAGAGTGCTGCAACCTTTAAAAAGGGCATTTTTGTGCATCTCCCCCGAGTGCCTAACTACATGCAAAATTTGAAGGGGGTTGAAAATGTTCATTTCCCAAGATGTTTGATTCTTACAGAGACTTGTTAAAACTTCCCGTCATCTCCAGATCGCGTTCACCATACTACGTGAAATCATCTTACTTTGCTTGTTGTGGAGGTTACAAACCAGGACTGTTTCAGTTTGACTCTCAAGGCTGTCCTAACAAGTTCAGGGCCAACATCCAAGCTAAAACTTGGTTAATGGTAGTGGAAAAGAGTCTGACTAAGCTTGAAACCCTTAGAGACGGTTTTGACATTTTTACATTTCACACTTTGGTTTCTCTTGTTTTGACTAAAAACGAGATGACTCAAACTCTGTCTAATAGTTAGATTAGTCTACGTTAGTAGAGAAATCAACCCTCCCTCGTAGCAGGTTGCGGACTATTTTCTTAGTGTTTAGGAGACAAATCATCCATCCATCGTGGCAAGTTTCGGAATATTTTTTGTGTCTTGCAAATTGACATTAGCTACAACGGGTCGACTTCAACCTAAACAATGTCGTTCGATTCGGGTCGAATCGAGTGGATTCGACAACCTTCCCTCTCAGCCACTTGCGGAATAATTTGTTAAGTGTCTTGCAGATCGACATTCGATATGTTGACCTCAACTGAGACGAGTAGTCCGATCCGAGTCGAATTCAAGCGGCTCAAACGACAGGAGAAGAATCAAAACAGTGACATATTGCTTTTGATATAAGCTCTAGTGGTCTTCTACTACGACGATATGACGAACGTCTGCGCAAGAGAGTAGTGGAGGAGAAGGCGAAAAATTAAGTACTTCAAATCAAAAAACAAAAGATGGTTTAACACTACAAGAAAAACTGATAAAATATCTTATCAAAAAGATTATTTCCGTACCGGTTTTTAAAGTAACGGGGCAATTCCATCGCTCACTAACTTTCAGAAAAATAAACTCAATGGTGATTTATTTCAAAACAGTGTTCACACCGATCTGGTTACAACTGAAACGAATGCAATTTGCGAATGTCAATAGTTGTCTCCCTTATATAAATAAATTAAATACTTAATTAAATAATTAAATATCACAGGTACCTTAGTGTTACCTTAATTTTAGATCATTTATATTAAATAGGATTCAAAAAACGAAACTGTTTGTGTAACCTTAACTGGGGAGAATTTATGAAATATGATGAGCTTAATCGGATCAGTGTCAGCACAGGAAGACCACTCTAGGTGTTCGTGGATAATAATTGTTGACATGAGAAACTAAATCTGAGGGTTATGAATAAAGCTCTGAAAATTGCATATCTCAACAACCTGAGAAAAAGGGTCTCTCTTTCCCCTTTTAACGGCTTTCGGCCGAAATTAATTTTGTAAAACGACGCTTCAAACAGACGCTTTAAAGGCTTAAAAAACTCGGAGAGTTAAAAAAAAAAGGCTTAAAAACCACGACGCTTCAAACGACGCTTTAAAGGCTTAAAAAATATCACAAATGCGTCGATTAACATTTCATTTAACTTTACTGAGATATTCCGACTGAGATTTAATTTAGATATTTAATTTTCAGATCTTTATTCACAACCCACATAGATTTTGTTCGTCTCATGTCAACAATTATTAACCAAGAACGCATAGTGTGATCTGCCTATGGTGTCAGTATCTGAGCACACCTACCCCTCCCTTAACCCAACTTAACCTTGCCTTGTTATCAGTTGACTGTTGTTGAGTAAGGGGAGGGGAGAGTGCGCAGTTGCTAAGATACTGGTCTTGATCCATTTAATCTTGAGCAAACAACGAGTTTGTCTCACCAACAATGGAACTCAAGTTCTCTGGCCCCATCGCGCTACTTAGCAATACTGAACCTAAGTCAGTTGCATTTTCATGACTCAGCGGTCTTTCGGATAACGCATGCGTATCCTGGGTCGGGAGCGGAGGAAGTGTATCGAGTGTCAGAGGTTCCTCGACACTGAACATGGTTGGAACGAACGACGCTGAGAGTAAACTTGTTTGAGCTCGGTCCGTCAAGTGCTGTGTTGAAAAATCTCTGTCTTGCTGCTGAAAATCCTGATGGGTTTCATGTTGACTAGGATAATAATCATTATCAAGTAACTTGGAAGCAGGCCGGACGAATGACGGTGGAGAATAGCAACCTTCCAAAAGGGACGTCTCACTCGCATCCATGGGCGACAAAATGAAGTCGGTTGAAACCTCGCATGAATCAGTGGCTGTATCATTAATTGTGTGACAAGTGGTGTCCTGTGAAGTTATTCCAGTAACATCTAATTTCTCATTCTTCTTTGCGGAAGGCTTTTTGGCTCGTCTATTTTTCTTTTTCGTTTTTTTCCCTTTCGCCTGTGAATTTTGCAGCTTTTTCTGTTGTTTCTCGTGCTCTCTACAAGGAAGGTGCTTTCTAAGGCACACTCTTTGGTTGAATGTCTTTTGGCAGGTGTCACATTTAAAAGGCTTCTTGTCAGAATGAATGACTTTATGTTGCTTAAAGTGATCTGGACGCTTAAAACCTTTTCCACAGACCTAAAATGAGAATGTGCATTAATAAAAGCAGAGAATAAAACAGTTGTTATTGGTTTTAGTGTTCTTTAAGTATTCTTGAATGCATGTCATCTTCAAAATGACAACAACAAAAAAAAAAAAGGAAAAAAAATGGAGAGCTACAAAACTTTCAAAACTAACAGCAGCAAATACTCCTCAACGTCTCTAATTAAGTTTTTCTAAGTTGGCTAAATCTGTCTTGTCTTACAAAACTGCCATTTCGCACAGTCAACTAAGATACTTGAACACAAATTCTCCAGAAAGAAACCCGAATGTAGATGAAGACAAACGGAATGACAAATGGTTATGAATGATTGAAGAAAAAAATGAAAAGAAAAAATTACAAGTACCCACGTGAATCACTAAGTAGCTAACCGTTTTGTAACTGGTTTTGGTTCTTCGACATTAAATTGAACTGCTCCGTTAGCTCAGCAATGTTACTGGTATTTTAAGCAGCATTTCTTGACTTCTTCCACAAAAATATTAACAAAAGAATAAAGGATAAAAATCAACTTATAAAAAGCAAACAACAGCCTAGGTCATTACCTCGCAGACGAATGGCTTTTCGTTTGAGTGTGAAAGAGAATGCATCTTGAGTCCATATGACTTGGCAAACAGCTTGCCGCACGCTTGACATTTGTAAGGGAGAATGCCAGTGTGTTTAGTAGTGTGGGTCGTTAGACTTGAAGAATTAAAGAACGTTGCGTCGCAGTATTTACACTTGTATGGTTTTTCGCCAGTGTGTCGTCGTCTGTGTTCCTTCAGGGTACCTAAAATAGACCCACAGAGAAGAAAGTGGTTACACACCATGTAACCATCCAAAACTTTTTGAGAGTTTTGTACGCCCAAAGAGGGCCTAAAGTCTACGCGTCTGTTACTGTAATTCTGACTGAGATTATTAACCCTTTAAATCCCAGAGGTGATTAATGTAAGTATTCTCTACAATATCCATTCAGTGTCACCATAGTGAGAATATCAGGTAGAAGTTGTTGTCTTGTTCCAACACCAAATTCTCGTAACTAATTTTAAGAGAAATTATGTAACTGCCATAGGGGAGAATTAACCATCAGATCTTTGGAGTTTAAAGGTTTAAGATAGCGGCAACAAATGCGTACTTACGCTGGTGAGAAAAACGTTTGTCACAAACGTCACATTTAAAGTCCTTGACGCCACTATGTTTAATTTCATGCCGCTTGAGATAAGCCTTGTCTTTGAAAGTTGCTTTACACACTTCACACTTGTGAGGTCGCTCTTCAGAGTGAAGTTTCTTGTGCTTCTTTAGGAAGCTTGTTGTAACACAAATCTGCTCACACTGGTCGCACTGGTAGAGTTTCCGACAGTCTGTACAGACAGAAAGCTGCAGTGTCACAAGAAATTGGATAAAGGGAAAATTTAAACGTTCAGAAAAGGATGGCCAACATGGAAATGTCATGAAACGCAGTTTTGCTGTAGGTTCTCCAATACTTCCTGAAATTCACTACAAGAATATCACATGTTCTTTTAAAAAAAAATTGCTGTAACTGGTTTCATTAGTAATTTGAGCAATTTTTAATTGAGTATCGGAAGTAATCCGGAATCGCTTTGGTTTTGCTTCATTTTGTTATGTGATTGGTTCAGGAAACTCGTGTCACTTTCTGAACCAATCAGATTCAAATTTGGTCATTCGCGTTTTCCCGCGCTTCAGGTGTTCTCATTGGCTCCTCGTGATATTTTCCTTGCTATGATTGGCTCTTGGGATTGGTTTAGTTCTGGTTTTGACACTTAATCGAGACGCGTTTTATCACCAATCCCAACAACAATCGTGTTACTCTAGTTCCATCTATGTTACTGAAAAGGATCAGTCTTGACTGTAGTTCTTACGTAGCTTACATACCTGGCTTTGCAGTTAAGTGCGCTCTTAACTCACACCATCGGTGAAACCTCATTCCACAAACCTGACAACCACAGCGGAATTTTGGCAAGTCTTCCTTGCTGTCTACAAATAAAAATAAAGAACAAATAAAGCTTCACGGATAAAATAAATATTTGGAAAGAAACAGAAATCGTCACCAGACTCGTGTATACTTTAGATCAAAGTCAACTGAGCACCTACCCCTCCCCTAGGCCAAAAAAAGTCGGCTGACAACAAGAAAGGGTTAATGTTGAGTTAGGGGAAGGGGTAGGTTTCAGTTGCTCAGACACTGACATTGATCCCATACTTCTGCCAATATGCCATCAAACAGGACACAAAATAGACAATCTCAGTACTATGGTGAAAGTTGTCAATCGTTGGAAAAGCATGTGTTTTGCAAGAACAGTGACAGTAAAGTTCAAAAGCAAGAGGTTTGCAAACCTTGTTTTGAAACCTCAGCACTGTGAGTTGTAAGGCTATCAATGTCACTGATGCTGGGATCTGTGTTCACCACACTGTTAACATCTATGCAAAGCTCATCTTCTGATTCTTCAGAGCATTTCTGAATAAAGTAAATAAAGTAAACACAAATTAGCCCTTCAATTCCCAAGATCTGTTTGTTAATTCCCCCCCTCGGCTGTCAAACATCTCCTCATTAAACAGTTACAAGATTATTGGTGTTGAATCAAGATAACAACTTCTTCCTGATAAGTTTGAGTATTTTCATAACGTGTTTGCAAGATAATGTATACATATTTTAGAGAGAAGTTAAGTAACACATTACCCAATCATCACTTCTGAGATTTACAGGCCAGGTTAATTTTATGTGTAAAGGGGTTTCTACATAAAAATCATAGAAAACCAGCAAGTAATACAAGTAAGTGGATAATGTTTATGTTTGTTTAATCTCCAATTTTCTTTTCAAAGGCTAATTTAAGTGGCACAAGTTACATTCACCCCTTTTGAAACTTTTATTACTAACAAAAACACATAACATTTTCATTTTGCCACCTTTCCAGTGGTCACAAAATGAAGTCTTGTTTTTTAAAGAACTCTTTATCACTGCGAATCCTTCAAGAAGAACCCTCCCCTCAAATGCTTCATCATCATAAAAGGAGAAACCAGTTTCTTCTCTCCTTATTAACAGTAACTTATCTAGCTAGAAATTTAGACAAAATATAAATGCTGCCCTCAAATCTCAACAGTACCCTTGCCTTAGATTTTTGAAGTGCACTTGAATTTGGTCAAATAAACACCCCTTGTATTATTGCTATAATTGTTGCTATCATTAGGCCTTTTTGTGTTGTATGATTCAATTTAACCCTTTAACTCCCATAAGTGACCAAGACAGAATTTCTCCTTACAATATCAATACAATATGAAGCAGACAAGTGATGAGAATAAAGAAAAATATCAATTAGGGGATTACAAGTTGATCCAATACCAAATTCTCCAAACTAACATCACAAGAACTGTATGGCAGACAGTAAGGAGAGTTAAAAATGAGATCTTGGGAGTTAAAGGGTTAAACATCTCTTGTGTTGTAATTGATTGAATTTGTACTTTACTGATCCTAGGTAGTAATAGAAACTGCTCTCTTTAAATGAATTTTTTTCCTTGACAGGAGACTTGCCTTCAAGTCTCACACTGAGCAGTCTCTGAAATAAAATTTTCTCACCTTTTTGTTTGGACATTTTTTTGATTTGACAACTTGCTTATTCTTCCTTTTTGGTGCTGTTTTCATGTTGGGTGTGAAGTCTTCATCGCTATCATTGTCCAGAGGTTCTCCAGAATCTGAAGAGAACAACCCTTCATCTTCTTCACTGTGATCTACGACTGCACATTCTGATGGGGAAGAACCAAACCTCAGTGAGCTTTTACTACAGGATATAACTATCCCTTTACCATCTAACTCCTCAGTACTAAATTAAATGAGATCTTGGGAGTGAAAGGGTGTCAAGTATCAGAGCAGAACATTTTTTAAAACTTCAGACAAGGCTATGCAAGACTCTTGTAAAGTCCCAAGTTTGTTCTCTAAGCATCAGAAAAAAGGGCCAGCAAATAGAAGGAGTTGCCTTGAGGTACAAGCATTTAAAGTTTGCTAGCCTAATTAATTCCCAAAACCCAGCTGCTACTTACACTGATCAACTTACAACAACAGTTAACAAAAATTATTAATGGTAACTCTTAGTGGCCAGTTCCATAACTATGAAATGTCAATTTATCTAAACAACAATCGACCATGAAATATTTTATATCATAAATTAATTTTTTTTCCAACCACAATTAGGAGTAAATGATGACAAACCTTACCAGAATTATGACATTCTTTGATGTGCTGAGTGATCTCTTGTTTATTCTTACACAACACAGAGCAGAAAGGACACAAAGATGTTTCAGGAACTTGATCTATATCATCTACTACTGGGCAGTGGTACACAAATGACTCTATGTCAATAGCCAAGTCTTTCTCGCTGCTGCCACCATTGAGAGCTTTTGATAAATTTACTTCTGAATCTATATTTCTTTTTTTCTTATTCTTCTTTTCCTTGTTATCCAAATATCTTGTCTCAGGCATTTGACATTTCTTAACTAGCTGTTGTTTTCTCCATGTAGTTCTTTTCGCTGCTCTTGGATGAGAAGCCACTCTGCCTGTTGTTAAGCTTTCAGCTGATTTCAGTCCTAATTCCTGAACAAGGTTGCTGTCATTGTCACTAACCCTACCAGTAACATTAACATCTTCATCTGAAGATACATCTTCCGAATCTGATCTGTACAACTCTTCTTTGTAAACTCTTTTAACTCCATTTCTCTTTCTTTGTTTTCTATTCAGGTAAAGAAATAACACATCACTCCTTTTTTCAAGTACCCAAGTAGGCCAGAATCTTCCAGTCCTTTAATCTGATAAGCTTATTGTGTACTTGTAACAAGTTTTGGCTTTTCAAAGTATAGACCATGGTCAAGAATATTTTTTGTGCCATTCCCAGCAAAGTGGAAAAGAGCAAACCAGCTGAGGAAAATTACTAAACTTAAAATTATCTAGCAGTCTGGGTTGGTTCCAATGGGAAGTAACTGTACGGTTGACCTCAAGTACACCTACTGCGTAAGCTCCTTTAAACTCTCACATTTAACTCTTTCATTATATGTACCTCTTTCTATTGGAAGCTTTGGGTAGATGGCAATACAATAAAAGGGAAACCAACAAATGGCAGTCGGTTATAAATAGTGGATTAAAAATATTGTACACCAACCAAGAGGCATATTTACACACCTACATGAGCATGTGTAGCTCCTTTAAACTTCATAAATTCCTCTGGCTCAGCTTGAATAACCTATGCCAGTGTTACTCAACAAGCTCAAGATAGTCTGAGATTAACTACGAGCAAAATGCAGTTGGTTGCAAAGGATAGTGCTTTTTAATGCTCTTTACCTTTTTATATTTAAAACTTTTGAATTCAAGGGGACATCATCATTTTCTTCATCCTAAAAATTGGCAAGAGATCAATGAATAAATTATTAATTTACAGAGTAGTTTATTGTTTGAGGAAGTGGAAGTTTTTCGTTGACCATTTTAAACCCAGACCAGCAAAGAAACAAACCCCCAACCATAAAGACAAGGCTGGTAAGGTCACATGTCACAAGGCCAAATCAGTTCAACGCAAACAAGCCTCTTCTCAAGATGAGAGCAAACTTTTTATGGAAACAGAAATGCATAATGTTTTAATCCACCAACAAAAATTTCCCTTTTTTATCAAGTATCTTTCTTTCTAGTTTTCACAACCAAAGTGACATGTAAGATACTTTTGCCTGCAAACTGATTTGTCGTAAGATTAAATGAAAACAGTTAAGAATGTAAAAGTCAGCAGATAGCCAAGACAGATGGAAATTGGGGAAGACAATGGAAACTGAAAGGAACACAATTTTCCACAACATTTTCATCCATGTAAAGAAACCATTTCAATTTGTATCACCCATAAAGTAAACCTTGGTATGGGTAATGATTGTTGTATATACAAATGATTTATTAGGAAATGCAGTTCATCTGAAAATATATATCTTCCCAAGAAGATTCCATAAGTTTGGTTTAAAAGCAACAAGTCAGATCACCATTTAAGATCTTTAAAATATTGAAAAATAATAATTCTTCTAAACAAAAGACTAATAACCCAAGCTTATGCTTAAAAATACTACCCATTTAAAGAAAAATTGTTTAGACATGGACCCCAGCTCGAAGAGTAACAGTTTAGTTCTCAAGATCCCCTCAAAATGTCACTTTGGAAATTTCAGTTTCAACACTTCCTAGACTGTGTACACAAATTTCAGTTTCATTTTCCCTAAGGTTAAACGAAGTTTATGAACTTAATACAAGAGAAGATAGATAATTGGAAATTTTAAGCCAGTATCTAGCAAAAAGAGCAAACCTAAACCACAGCACAAAAGTCCTTGGTATTATTACTGAATAATTTTGGAGGCGTTCCCACGAGCTCAAGCTAAAATCGTCTCGCAATATAAAATTTGGTTCTAGGTAAATGTAACATTCCATGTTGAGCACACTGCTCGGGAAGACGATTTCTACTTAAAACAAAGACTCCCGAATTTAAGACATTTCTCTGCTTCATCCACAGTGGTTCTGCTTGCGTAGGGTGATAGAATAAGCTGGCCTTAAGTTTAGTAACAATATAAATGGCAAAAAGTATGGTACTACTGTACTTACGCGCGCAGGACTCTTTCTTTCGCACTGTTCAGAAAGCTTTTCAATTATTGAGTGAAGTTTTAATCTGTAAAATCATCAAATGCCTCGTTACTCCACATTAAGGCTCAAAATGTTTTGTAAACTGATACAAGACAAGCTCACCACTTACCCACGTTTTTTTCCAGTCGCCATGTTGTTGTAGTCTGACAAGATTTATGCTCAAGTACGCCTCATGAAGTGTCTCGGTCAAACCGCGTGACTCTGGTCACCATATTATTTTTAAACATGGCGGGATGAAAGAGTGAAGTGGAAACATTCAAACATATACAAGACCATGGAGAATCACAAAGCTAAACTTCTTCATATATTAGAGGATGTACTGGTAAAAATCTTTATCGCGTCTAAGTGAATTTTACCCCTTTCGCGATACACAGTTAGATCTGTATTCATCCAAGATAGCTCAGACGCTACTTGATTACTTCCGCACGAACGAAAGCGGTCAAATTTCCGCACAGTCCTATACTATTGTGAAACAGATCTGCTTTCCCAAAGGCAATCTATTGTTTTTGTCATCGTTTTCTCTATCCAATAACTGAATGCATGATGTAGTATGGGGCTGTGCGGAAATTTTACTTTTATATTTTAGAAAGTGAAAATATTTTTTTTAATGGAAATTCCTGATCTAAATTTCAAATTGGGGCTAAAACAGTGAAGGAATAAAAAATGAAGGAATCAAAAACCGAAACGTAGTACAGTTTGCTGGCCGAACTTTAGTAACGTTAAAGTGTTCAAAGGATGTGAAATCTAGAGCATACACTTTCACTTTAGGGTACTTCTCAAACAAAAACAGCTGTGAACTACAGTTGTGTGTGTTTATGTAGATCCAATTTGCACAGCTGAATGTCAATAACCCTTTAATTCTCAAGATCTGATTGACAATTCTCCCTACACATTTTTTGGTGAATTAGTTATGAGAATTTGGTGTTATATCAGGATGACTTCAACCTGATAAGTTTGGCTGAGTGGTTTGGGCACAGGACTTGTAATCTGGTGGTCCTAGGTTCAAGTCCTTCTCCCTACCACCCACTGAATTTGTTCTTGGTTGCCCTGAGTTCAACTTCTTGGCTGCGCTGTGTAAATAGCCAACTAGTCTGCCTCCTACCAGTTGGAATTTTCAAGCACTTTATGTTTATTTGGAATTTTTGTTTCTCTCTTTGCACATTTGAACATAAGTCAATGAATGTATGTGTGTTAGGTAACCGGTCATTTTGCCAATGGTAGTTTTGCAAATGTCTCTGGTCAGTTTGCAAACGTGTAGAAGTCAGTCCACAAATGTTATAAACATTTACATGTCAACCTGGGTTTAATTATACGATTCAGAATACTACATCACTGACACATTGTGTGTGTAAATTATTGGATGTGAAATCTCACAGCTTATTTCTTGCTAAAGTATATTTCATAATCAAATGGACAGTTTTTATCCCGTGTCTCAGTAGTTGTGGACCTTCCTTTAAAGAGCAAAGCTTCCTGCTAGAACACAACAACAGCAAGACCTGTTTCATATTGGTAGATTGATTTGCAGATTACAGCTACTGTACATGCAACATGCTAACGCTGTGATAGAACGAAATCAACTACAAGACTGTACAACTTAAGCTAGAAAGTTAGTTTGTTTGCTCTTGAAAATGATGACATCTCAAATCTACAAAGTGTGTGAACTGACTTCTTCACATATATTAAATGTTTATAACGTTTGCAAACTGACTTCTAAACATTTGTGAACTGACTTCTACACGTTTGCAAACTGACTAGAGGTCAAACAGATACTCTGAAAGCAAGCAAGACTCAAAAAATATTCTTCAGCATTTAATGGTTGTCTTATAATTATAAAGATCATAATAAAAATGTGATTCTAAAATTTTTATTGCTAGTCATTGTAGTTATTTTTGTTTAATTGTCATTTACATCTTTAGGGAATTGAGGCAATGGAAACTGCATTTTGTGGGTATGAATTATTTTATTGTAGTATAGACACAAATGTAAATATTTGTAATACGTTATTCTCAGCTCTACTGACTTCTTGCATGTAGAGAATTGCTTTGAATTTGTTTCATTTTTTTTTCCCAAAGAATGCTTGTCCACAATGAAGAGGATGAAGATCGAGATATCAAGGAGACTTTCCAAGGTGTTTTCAAACCTTTCTGGGCTGGTGTTCCTGTGGTAAATGATTTACTCTTACATATCAAATTACTGAGTGACAATTTCTTCATTATAGTGAAAAATGTCGAGTCTGTTCTCAAGCCTACTGCCTCTCCCTCCCTCAGCTGGAGCTTATCCCAATTTCCTTGTTTTATGAAGTGACTAGTAGTATTACTACTCCCCCTTGGGGATGGGGTGCTAGTTCATAACAAGGTTACCCCCCCCCCTTCCCTAGCATTTAATCAGGCTTTGCAGAAAATTTGCCAGCACCCATTTAAACTCCTGGGAGAGAGAGGCCTTGTGAGAGGAAAGTGTTTTGCCTAAGAACATAGCACAATGACCTGGCCAGTTCTCAAACTTGGACCTCTCGACGTGGAGTCCATTACACTGACCATTAGACCCTATGTCTCACTACTGTTGTAAAGTATTAACATTTCAAATGTTAAATATTAAATGTATGCAAAAGTAGAGCCCACATTTCTTGGCATGACCTTATGACTCAGCCTTTAGTAATTTTGATTAAGTTATTCCAGGTTACTTGACATTTACACTTTTTTTGCTTCTTTTTCCAACTCTGTTTTTTTTTATTCTAGGATGCAAGGGAACAACTTCTCCTTGACTTTGTTTCATTCATCTACAATGAAAACAACCCAAGAAGAATTGACATTGCTTTTGGTTTACTGGGAAGTTTAGTGGAAGGTTCACTAGTTCCTGCCAGGTATCCAAACCAAAATCATTCTTTTCACATTCTAATGAGTAAGAAGCAGTTTCTCAACTGTTTAAGTTTTGTGTTGCTCAGCATAACCAGTTAGAAATGGTTTGGTTGTTGTAGATGTGTTGATCTTTATACAGTGCTCTGCCCCAACTCTTTAACCTTTAACCTTTTAACTCCCATGGATGACAGAATTTCTCTTTACAATATCAATTGATACAATGTCATAGCAGACAATTGAAGAGAATAAAGAAAGATGTCATTAGTTGATCTAATACCAAATTCCCCAAACTAACATCATAAGAATTGTGTCATAGACAGTAAGGAGAATTGCTAACAAGATCTTGGGAGTGAAAGGGTTAGCTATACAGATCTGATTTATAACTAACCCCTCTAAACTCTTCACATTTCCTTGAAAACCTGTTTTATTGACTGTACCAAATTAATGCATTTGAGTGAATCTCCCATCAAATGTTTTACCTGCTATTGCATTTCCTCTCCCAGACATAATTCAGGGGTTTATGTGATTATTTGCTGCAAGTCTCTGTTCTCTAATAGTAGGTTCAAGCAATCTCTGCAAACACAAGCTGATAATAGGCTCAGTGCATAACAATCCACATGCAAATGGTTTGGTTTGCTGGTGAAGTTAGTTTATTTGGGTTAATTTATTATTGTCAACTGAGTTGATAGCATAAATTGGCCACCGTAAAGAGTTTAAAAGCTGACATTTTGAGTATTAGCCCTTTGTTATTTGCTCTGATGAAGGGCAAACACTTGAAATGTCAGCTTTTGAATTCTTTACGGTGGCCAATTTATGTTATCAATTCAGTTGGCAATACTAAATTACCCTGCTATACTCTCCCACTGATGCAGCACCACAGTTTCTTTAAAAACTTACCCCCTTTATAAGTTGGTTTATTTGCCTAGGAAAGAATGATTTACAAGACCTAATCTCTGGGAATGAGGGTAAAGGTAATTTGGAGATGGGCTCTTGAAATTTGGTGAGCTGGGTGTTGGTATTTGTACTGGGGGTATTGAATTTTTTTTCTTTTATTTACACTTATCACTATTGATCTGTAGGTCAATGTGTGAAGCTATCCTCAAGACACCTCACCTCAGTTTTCAGAAAGAAGTAATGTGGTGTAAAACATTCCAGCTTCTTTTGAAAATTGTAGGAGGGGTCGATTATAAGGTGAGTATAACTTGCTCACTAAGCTGGATTTGATTTTTCAAGAATCACACAATCATTAATGTAAGTTAATTTTAGATCAATTTTAAATCATTCTTAAATAAAAACATGTTAATGGCATTATTTCTGTCATTTGTTGCATGTTCTTAGATGTTCATACCTTTATATTCTTTATGAATTTTTTTCATCAGTATCATAACTATTGTGCATGATTATAAGATTGCTTTGACTTCCTTTTATTCTGTGGGTCATGAGTTTATCAAATATTTTATCAAATCTGCCATTTTCATCACTGCACACATTTATGGATATAAGTGGGTAATTACTATCCAGAGTTACCCTCACTGAGTTAAGTCTAAGACTAATACTAAGTGGTTTACTTTGGTTTTCATGTTGAAGAGCTGTCGTGACATTCTAAGTTTGGTGTTTCACCTATTCCGTACCATTCCAAGCACTGCTGATCCTGCATTTACAGACCGAATACAAGCTTGTGTTAAGGTATGTTCCTGTACAATATAAAGGCTCTATGACCTCAAAGTAAACATCAAAGTTAAGTAAGGCAAAGGTGATTAATGAAACTAATTGTATAACTTGTTCCACCCAATAAATGATAAATATTTTATTAAGTAGCTTTAAAAGCACTTTCTAGAGGTGAGTGATGCACTCAACTTTTCTTGTTTAAAATTTGCAGGTTGTCCGTTATATTTTAGATAGGAATACCTGTCTTCTGCCTGCCTATTTTGTCATTAATGAGGTAAGATACATCTTTCCACGTAAGTAACAAGTTTAACTGCTGAAGTTAGTCTAAGGAAACTGGTCAGTTTGGCTATTTTTCAGATATCCAAGGATCCTTGTGGGGATATTTTTGGATGTCACTTTCAGAAAACTTGGTTGTAGTTTTCAGAAAACTTCAGATCAGAATGACTTCAAAGTATTGGGATTTGTATATTTTTCTGTGCAAAATAGCTTTTCAGTGATCACAAGGAAAGAAGCTACAAAACAAACTAGGCTTACATGATTTTACTGTAAGCATCATTTTAAGCCACAACATGTAATTATTGGAGTTAAACTTCCCCATTTTCTTGTTTTAACCTCCTAACAAAGTATATCCCAACTGTCAAAATAATTTCTTGACAATGACTTGTCAATCCTCTCTCAAGCAGACCACCTCGGCCAGCTTGTCACCTTTGACCTCACTCCAAATCAAAGGCTTGGCAACTAAGTACACAACTGTAAAATGCATGGCCTATTGCCTTGCATATGGCTAGGATTAGTAGTTAGAGAAGCACTGAGTCTGCGTGATGTTTGCTGCAAAAACTGAGATCTTACTGAAAGGATAACCCTGCCCTCTTTAATTTAAAAACAAAATAATTTTTTCTTTCTAGGAAATAAGGCTAATGGCTTATGTAGTTCTAATAAGGCTCTAGGACAGGTTGATACTGACAACAATGTGCAGTTAGAAGGGTGCCACATGACCATTGATCTAACTCTAGTTAAAAGGATTTTGATGATCTTCACACCAATTGTGCTACATGGTACACATTTGGTATCTAAACTAAGGTTTGTGTAATGTAGGCATTGAGTGATTACAATTGTAATTATTTAATTAAATGATTTTTTATTTACATTTTTAGATCTACAAAAATTTTCCAGAGGGTAAAGTGAAGCCTCACTGGGTATGTTTCCAACACTGATTTAAGAGAATTGAATGTGACCGGTTCTGGTATTGGTCTTGCACAATTCCCCTCTCTACATCCAAAATTAAGGAATGTATGAATAAAAAATTAATAAACAAAATGAAGTTGTTGAGTTGATGATTGTAGAGAAACTCAGTTTCATGGATGCTAAGAAAACAGCAAAACAAATTGAGATTCAAAGCAATTTTGATAGAAGTTATATCAAATATTACATCCATTTTGAAATCACTGGCAATCCTTGCAGTCTGATTGGCTTTTATCAGAGTGATTTATTGACGAATTGCACCATTTTATGCCTAAATGGCATCTTTTTCCAAGCTAATGAGACAACTTCACAGAAACACAACTTCTAATCAAATTTCAAGGCTTGTTTAAAGGAACCAATTAAATTGCCAGAAAATGAAAGACAACTTTTGCAAGTTTTTACAAACCAGCTCAATACTGGATCAATAAAATATTTTTACAGACTGAAAAAAGTTGTATTTGAGCAACTGAATTAATATGCAATTTCAAAATAGATGTTACAATTGAAAGTGGTAATTACTAACTTAAAACAGTTAAAATGAGTGGAGTACAATTTTGGTCTAAAATCATAAGTCTTGTGATTTCATATCAAACTCATGTTGTGCACTTGTTCAATTTTAAAATCATGCATATGTATTTAGACCAAATTGCACTCCACTCACTTCAATTACCATCATGATAATAATTATAAACGATCAAGAAGGGAAATTTTTGATAGAGTTAAGCTTTTTTCGGCAGGCTATTGCAAAGCTCCTTTCAGATTTTGCTGAGACATTCCGACCACTTGCACGGACAGTGTCTGTGATAGGTAAGTGCTAGTGAAAGTCCTTCAAGCTAATTCTGTAGACATGTACATGTAGTAACTCAAGATCAATAATTAATTGGACTAAGATAAATTTGTTCTCTATACTGTGACTTCACTCTCAATCTCTTTAACTCCCAAGATCTCGTTTGTAAACTACAGATCTCCTTACTACCTGGTATACAATTCTTTTGATGCAAGTTTAAAGAATTTAATATTGGATCAACTAACAATCCCCTGATTGATATTTTCTCTATTCTTATTACTTGTCTGCTTGAGATTGTATTCATTTGACATTGTTATGAGAAGTTCTTTCTTGGTCACTCGTGACACTTAAAAGGTTAACTGGTACAAAACTGATGCTACAAGAATGAAAGGAAAGGAAGGAAAGAAGAATTAATGCAGATAATTATGTCTGCAGCTCTGTGCAGTATGTCCAATACGGCTGTAAGGAGAATAACATCTACAAATCTACATGAAGAAACTGATCATGACTATTTCTTGTCAGTCTACAAAAAAATTGAGTCTTGGTCCTATCTAGTCTCATCGTATATTCTCTGTGGGTGGCCGCACTTTGCTACAGCAAATTTTTTTGTGATAGGTGATTTACAATATTGTCCAGAAACAAGCTGAAAAGCCTTTTCAAAAAACAAAGGCCCTATTAATTGTAGCTCAGTCAGTTATTTGGTAAACAACATATCACATGTCAATGTGAAGTGATCATGAAATAACATTTGTTTTAATTTTTTTTGAAGTATTCATTTGATAATTATTGTATGATCTTGGTTTGTTTATTTACTTAACACAGGCCGCCCATCTCTTCTTCCTGTGATTGGTCATCCTGGTTCTTCTCTTAGTGTTTGGAAACTAGATCCTAACACTCTCAGTTTTCCATTAAAGGGACTTCTGCCATATGAAAAGGTACATGAAGAATGTCAGATAAAATTCTTGTCAGGAGAAAGTGCTGATTAAGATCACTGTACATGTATATCACATGTACGATAATCTAAACAAGTGTAGCTGATCTACTGGGGTGCCATATGAATTCCTAGTCAGGTTGATGTTCCTTAATTCAAAATTCAAACAAAAAAGTTCTCAGCAAATTTGATAATTGTGGGGCATCTGCTTATTGAAGGCAAGAATAATGAGTTTTATTTCTAAATGTTTCAATTTACATAATAAACAAAGATTTCTTTGTTGCCCTGTTTGGATTTCTCTGTTGTGATTGTGTGACCAATAAATTTGTTAAGATTTTCTTTCTACTTCAAATACTTCAATTTTCAGGATTTGTTGGAACCTCAGACAAAACTGTTGCAATATGTCATAGCGCAGCCTTATTCTCGTGATGTCATCTGTACCATGCTAGGACTCAATAAACAGGTCAGTTATTTTAAAGATTGTTTCTAATTAACTGGAATTAAGCTTTAAATCTAATAAGTCATGTATTACTAACAGAATAAAGAGATTAAGGCAGTGAAGAGAAGTTTTTTACCCTTTAACTCTCAAAATCCACTAAGTTATTCTCCCAACTGACTGCTATACCCTTCTTTACAAATTACTAGAGAGAATTTTAGTGATATATCAAGATAACATCAGTTTGCTGATGACCATGTCTGTTCTCATAACCTGTTTTCAGCATAACATATTGGATTCACAATGAGAAGTTGCATATTAATCACTTGAAGAAGTTGAAGAATTAAAGCAGTTTGTTTTGAGTTCAATTTTTGAGAGGTAATTTGGTCCTTTTCAGCAAAAACAAAGATGTCCAGCATTAGAAGAACTGTTGGTTGATCTGATAGTTGTAGCAATGGAAAGATCAGAGGATGATGAGGCCAGCATGAGTGAAACAGGATGTCAATTGCTCTGGCATCATGTGTCAAGCCATCTTATTTTCTTTGTGCTCTTCCAGTTTGCCAGCTTCCCACACATGGTATTATCACTCTACACCAAGGTACACTATGCAATGAGCTCAAGGTTCTCATAGGAGGCCTGACGCATGAACCAGGGAGTAAAAATTTAGTAAATGATACAAAAATGACACAGAGATCTTTTTACTAAATCATGAAAAAAAAAAGCAAATAACGTCTTATTTTTATCCTGTTTTTACATGGGTGAACTTCCCCAAGGAAACAAGGGAATGATTGAATGAAGTCAAAGTAAAAAGGATGTCTGTTCCCCATTTTTAAACTTCAATTCTAGGAAAATTTTAGCTTTTTTGAGTATGGTTCTTTAACTGGTTTGCAAAAGTTACCAACTGAATTACCATGACAGACACAAGCAAGGTGCACAAAGAATGATTTGAGTCATCTTTGGGAAGTGTTAATGCAAATCATTCTTTTTCCTTACTTTTTCTCCTGGTCAAGGACTGATCAGCATTGATCATATGTAACTAGTCAGAGTTTTAAATAAACTTTGGACACACTCTTGGTCCAAGTAAATGTAGTGAAAAGTGAAATAAAGAGTTTGACCAGTGAAAGATAAGATTGTTAACCCTTTAACCCCCTTGAGAGACTCACATCTATCTTCTCATCTAGGTATTACTGCTGAATCAGACAGTAGGCTCATGAGAATTGAGAAAATGATCACAAACATGAAAAACTCTTGATTTTTACCTTAATTCTCCCTGTCAGTGCCATAGGAAATGTATAAAGAACAGTATGGAGAATATGTATGCTGATGTTAGGGTGTCAAGGGTTAAAGGAACAGTGAGAATATTCTGCCAGGATCAATACTGCTGAGATAATTTTTCCTGAAATTGTAATAGTCTTTAAATCTTAAGCTATCAATTTTGCATTAACAGCTAAGTGGTAGAAACCTGAAGAGAGGAAGGGACCACTTGATGTGGGTTCTGTTACAGTTTATCTCTGGAAGTATTCAGAAAAATCCTGTAAGTTTATTGCTGATGGATTGTAAATGCATGTACTTACAACCTTCAAGATATTGTCTAGTCGCTGACAATACTGACCTATTTACCTACAGCTATATATGCTGCAGTGTTGTATCTTTAAAGAATGCGTTCATTATGGTAACAGATCAGCCTGACTGTATGACTGTATGTTAACTATGAGTATTAATGTTGTGAAATGAATTTAAGGGAGGAGAATATTGATTAAAGGGTGTTGTAAGTTGTAACTGGAATATTTATAGACTTTACATAGTTATGCCTTTTGATTAGATACGTTCAAACAATTATGAATTGAAAATTTTGATTCTATTGTACATTCAAATCAATATCTATTATTTTTTTGGTCTGATACTTGCAGCTCAGTGATTTCCGGCCTGTGATGAAGTTGTATGATTTACTTTACCCAGAAAAGCAGGTTGGTAAAATACAAGACGTGCACTTATGTAACATTACCAAGATCATTCTCTTTAATTTCGGGTCCCTTGAAAATGACAGCTGTCAAGGTTCAGCTAATTTCAAAATCATAAGTTGGCAACCTGAAATCATGGTTACCTGATGTAAAATTTCAGGAAGCAGCCCCAAAAATCACCTTTTACTTCAGCTCATAAGCACTAGTAAATGAAAATATTACTGTTCCCCACATGACTTCTGAACACGGGTTGCCAAATCTGCGACTTTGGTGCAAAGTTAGTCACCAAATTTTCTCTCTACTAACCATGGCAACTAAAACAGGAAAGCTAATTTTAAGCGCTTGTCATATTTTATGATGTTACATTAAATACTTGTCCTAAGTGGCATTATAGTCCTTGGTAGATACTGATACCACTACACCTTTCATTTCTTTCTCTGAAAATAATGTTATTCAAATGTCCAGTTAATTCCCAAGTGCAACGAAATCTTTGCATGAAAGGCTTCAGAGCAATGCATCTTATAGACAACAAAAAATTTAGTTTTATGTGCCTGTAAAGCTAAGATAGTTCGTCATTAACTAAAATGTCAGTATAAGATTCATCTGTTTGTGAAGATTGAAAGATGTCGGTTTGAAGCTTAGGGTTACCTGTTTGGATTTCAGTTTTTGAAGTTTGTGTTCCCCAGTGCAAAGAAAATACATATGTAATATCAAGGGTGAAGTTGAAAAAAAAGGAATGCAGGAATGCACAACCATAAATTAAGGTAGTAAGCAAATACACCAGCCAAAAATTGGATGATTTCTGCTCAATTTGAGTAAAGTTTGTATTTAAGTCTGTGTGGAGAAAACTTACTTCAGAATAGTTCTGGTAAGTTAGAGGTTTAATCTTTAATTAAATATCTTCTTTTTGCATACCTAAATTATTAATGTGACACTCTTTTTTCAGCCACTGTCAATACCAGATATAACTTCTGCTGATTCAGTACACTCCTTAGCTATGGCCTGTATATGGATTCACTTATCAAAGAAGGTTTTTATTAGCATTAATTTAAATGATACGATGTTCAAGAAAAATATTATACATACAATGTTAAGACATCAGAAGTTCCAAGAGGGTGGAAAAATCACCTTCAGTTTAACTATGTGCTTTTCTGGAAACAGCAAACTGTCATGTGATGTTAACCCTTTTACACCAATGAGTGACCAAGATAGAATTTCTCCTTACAGTATCAATACAATATTAAGCAGATAAGAGATGAAAACTAAGAAAAATATCAGTCAGGGGATTGTTAATTAGTTGATCCAATACCAAATTCTCTGAACTAGCATCATGAGCATTGTATAACAGACAGTAAGGTGAATTGCCAGCAAGATCCTGAAGGTGGAAGAATTATATTGAGTTTGAGTTTGTATCAGTCTTCCTGATAACCGTGAAATTGGAAAAGTCTGGTCTTTCAGCTTATTTCTTGTCACTCATTCCAAGCTGTCAAAGGAATGTCCATAGGACCATTTCCCTGGAGTATTGAGTTCAAGTCACTTGTTTTTTATTGGTAAAGATGTGATGATTTCCTTTGTTTTTAGGCCCAATCTGAGGATGTAACTTGGAGACCACCTGTTCCTCACATCCTTAAGGACCAAATTGAGTAAGTGGTCCTGAATCTTTATTTTATAATAGTGGACAAAATTATTGAAACCTGTGTTAGCTTAGTTAATGTATCACAAAAATTACTATAGAGTTCCAAAGTGTCTTGATTTAGGAGGGGAGGTGGCCGAGTGGGTAACTTGCTGGATGGGTCACTGTACTGATTTCCTCTATCAGTTCCTCTTAACTCTTTAACTGCCAAGATCTGAATGTTAATTCTTCCCTCTGGTTGTTTCACATTTCCTTATAAAGTAGTGACAAAAATTTGGTGTTAGATTATAACATATATTAGATGACAAGTCCTACCTGATAAGTTTGAATGTTCTCAGTACCTGTTTGCTGGATAATGTATGGATGTTATGGGGAGATGTTACTTGAGAATTACTTCTGAGAGTTTAAGGGTTAAGGAAACCTGATGATGGAGATTAATGACAGAAGATAAGCATTTTACTGGGAGAGTTTAGCTGCTGTATCACTCCTAGTTACTGCATGCTATAGAAACTGGTAGTAGCTGTGGTGGATGAGTGACTGGTCTACTAATTTCATATCCAGACACCACTGTCACCACATGTTTTCTTAAACAATTGAAAGTAACAGTTGAAAGTTGTACAATTTAAAAAAGATACAATTTATACAGGTATTCCCATAAGAGCAACAGACAGAACAACTGTAATTTTGCTTTCTTCTTTTAGATTCATACAGAACAGATCAGGGGCAGCCAGTTCATTTTCCTTGAATAATTACAAGATTCCTCTTCTGTGCAATGCATGTAAGTGTATGAGCAGCTATTAAGTGACAAAAATGCACATAGTTAGCCAAATAGTCACTTAGAAAATATTTTAGTCAAAGCAAGAATGAGGGAAAGTTTTAAAGATAATTGACAAATACACATGTCTAAGCTCATGCCAAAATAATATTTTTAAACTTTTGCTATCAATAGTTTTTGGCCATGTTCACAACATGACCAAAAACAAGACCTGTGACCTGTCTGTCACCATTGTTGCTCTGATGTGTGGTTGAGGTGGCAGGTGCCTTTCTAAAATAGGAACACAGTTTTTGTTTTAGACTTAATAGAAAAGTGCTCAGAGTATTACCCATGAAACTACTGATAACAATTCATGAAACAACAGATTTATCAACTGGAGGAGAGGAAGGGTCATGTTACTTCAGAGATGGAAATATTTTTCTGACATTTTCATTGTTCAAATACATGTATGCTGGTAGATTTATTGTTACCTCTTGCACATCATATGATAAATTGTCCAACTTCAAGTTAAGAGTGGGTGATAAATTCTGTTTTCCACTTTTTACAAATTTTTATAATTCAAGTAAAGAATTAGAAAGTGTTCTCTTCACTTCTGGCGTTCAAAGTGTCTAAAAGATCATTTACCTTTGACTCCTGTAGCAGCAGAGAGTACCTTCATTACAGACTAGGAAACACTAGACAGAATACCGAAACAAGTTTCCCCAAATAGACTTCTCTTTTTACTGTTTTCCAACAGACAGTACCAACCCAGAGTATTTCAGTATTCCAATGGCTATGTTGGTTGAGATGTGTTATGGAAACAACAAAAGTTCCACACAGCTTCCAGGCCCTTCAAACACACTGGCTGCAGCACCAACGGTTCCTTGTCCAATGAGTCTTTTGGATTCACTCACAGTCCATGCAAAAATGAGGTAAAGAGCTCCAAATATCTAATTGTAGGCTAATGCAATTATAGCTTGAGTCAGGTTCAAGGTTCAAGCAATGATTGTGTGTGGTCATTGCATACCCTTCCTCATTTTTTTTATATTATTATCATGGGCACGCAACTGCTTCAGCTCTGTCGTTGCTTAGAATTCTCCGCTACTGTACTCGTTTATTCTCTAATCTAGTTCACCATATTTATTTATACATAAGTAAGTTACAATACAGGGCTGAATTGTTAAAAGGTTGGATAAAGCCAACCAACGGATAAATTGCTATCCAGTATAATATTACTTTCTTTTAATAGGAATTATTGTATTAGGCCCTGAAACTCGAATGTTTCTGCCATGTAGTCTGTCTTCCCTTTCTTTAAGCCATTAACAAACGTTTGAGTTCTGATTTTTATGCTCAAAGATTCATTCTTAGCAAAGGCTTCAATCAAAAAGTTGTTGGATTTCAATGGTTTTCTTCGCCATACTTTATGATTTTCCTAGAAAACAGATTCTGAATGGACATCAGTACACCCACAACCCTAAAACCATCTAAGAACATTTTTCCATTCAGTTTTATTCACAGTATTGTTAATCGTATCATCAAGCTTGGTAACTCACAAGTTACACTTGCCCTGGCCCCAGCACTGGTGGAAACGTACAGCCGTCTGCTTGTCTACATGGAAATTGAGTCTCTCGGAATCAAGGGCTTCATAAGTTAGTGCACTAGTTACTCTTGTACTTTATTCACACCAGCAAAACGTGTTTAGTTAAACCGGTTTTAGCTGATTGAAAATCAGAAACGGAGAACTGGAAAACTGAATTTTCCATACGTTCCAAGTAGTCACGAAATTGTATTTTAAATGTGCTAGATTTAAAGTCTACAAACATCGTTTTAAGCAGCTTCTATGAAGAAAACAATTTTCAACCTTGTCTAACAAAGGTGCTTTAAAGCATGTTTAAGCTTTTGTGTGAATGGGTAATTGGTCTATTTACATTGTGCTTGGCTGTGAATGGTCCATCATTTTTCTAAGGCTGAAAAGATTGCAATAGGTAGCATCCGAGCACTGATACCAAGGGTAAAAATTGAAGAGAAGTTGTTATTGTTTCCAGTATAGTGTTATTATGTAAAAACATTGAGAGAAATGCGAAACTACGGAAATCAAACTGTACTCTATCAGAGCTTTAATAAGCAGCTGCCGATGGTGTGCCCCGGAGATGGGGCCGTTGAAGAAACGCAAACACAGAGCGTGCTCGTAGGCTCAACAGTCAACAGTCTTTTAGTTGGCGATAGAGCGTTGGTTTTGATTTGATTTGAAATTATTTTATTATGGGGTTAAAAAGTCAGTTTGAGAAGAAAATGAATATGTGAAAATTTACTATGGAAGTGTCTTTTTTTTTCTGACCACCAACAGGCTCGTTGCTTCCCAACGTGTTCAAAAGCCACGCATGGGGAATTCTCCACACATTACTGGAAATGTTTAGTTACCGGTTGCATCACATCCAGCCCCACTACAGAGTTACTTTGCTTTCCCATCTACACTCACTGGCTGTAGTGCCTCACACGAACCAGAATCAACTTCATTTGTGGTAATTCTGCTTCAACCGATATTGTTTTACTTTTCTTTTTCGCGTTTGTGGGAGGCACTTGGCCAAATGGTTAGTACGCCGAACTCTGGCTCGAGAGGTCTGGGTTCGAGGCCTGTGGGTCAACGTGTTGTGTTCTTGGACAAAAAAACTTCTCTCTCGCAGTGCTTCTCTCCATCAGAGAGTATAAATTGGTACTAGCGAATTGTCAGGGAAGCCTGATGAAATGCTGGAAGGGGAGGGTAACCTTGCGATGGAATGGCATCCCATCCATCCAGGGGGGAGTAGTAATACTCGTAGTCGCTTCATGCTAAGAAAACTGGGACAAACACCGGCTGGATGGGCCGATAGGCTTGAGTACAGACTTAACCTATTTTTACCTCGTGTTTGAGCCACAAATTTCACTTCGCCCAAAATTACTTGCTGGGTTCTGGGGTACACCCCTCCTTTAAAGCAGACATCTTTTATAATCCCTGTACATTTTACAGTGTCGAAAGTACAGCTCTTAGACTCATCACTGGATTGGGAAGCTCTGAAGTACAGCCACAACTGTCGCGTTTCAACCCTGAGCCTAAACAGGTAAAATGCAATCGCAGTTTATATGTATAGTGCTGGAATGAGATGATGAAGCTACATGTACATAAAACTTTTCAATTAAATCCAACCTGTATACTTGAAGTCAAATCTCCTTTCTGTTTTCTCTTCTTGTAGTGCCTGGTCTAATTCAACTTGGTAGCGAATTTTTAACATACACTCAAAAGTTGAATGAAATCATCTTTCTGGGTAATAAGCGAACACGTTGTGCATGTGATGTCTATTTATCCAGCGCCAGCCAATGCCAGATAAATTTGGAAAAGGGCTCCTGAACAATAACCGCTGATAGACACACTTGACTACATCCCTGGTCCTGGTCATGCGCAAACTAGGGCCTTAGGCCCGCCGGAAAAAATAGAAAGAGCAATAACTCTAGCGTTTCAAAAAACGTTGTTTCCAAAATGATTTTTGTCCATACTACTATTTTTGGCAACATTTTCAATGCAATATGACACGATGCCTTTAATCATTCAGTATTTTTCTCTCCTAGCTGTTGTCGGGTGAATCCGAGGAACTAAACAGGGCTCTTGTACTTACCATAGCACGTGCCATGCATATTACTTGTAAGTAGTTGTATTGTCAGTAGTAATTTAGTTCACAGCTTTCCTTTATTCTGCTGCTGTGTAGTGATTTAGTCGTTGGCCGTAACCTCTTTAGTCTTTTAAATTGAAAACTCAAAAAAGACTCAAACCCTTGTTGTTTGGTGTCAAGTGCCCTCTATGTGTTGGGCGGGGATTGGTGACAGGTTCTCTGTTTCACTCGAGCTTGCTGCTAGCCTCTTTAAGTATGATTGACACACACAACTTACATACACTCGGTTTGTAATTTTTTTCCTTTGTTTGTTTGCGTGCTGATGAATGATTACCTCTGTCATTAAAAGTTCCGTTCTGTTCTCCACTTTTCTACAATACCTTAAACACAATATAATCTTTCTTTGAAGCTGCTGAATCATCTTCTAACTGGTACGAAGGAATCCTTAGATCGCTGATTGCGAATACTCCACATAGGTAAGTGTATAAAACTAAAACCAAAGTTATCATCGCAAGCCTGAGAGCCAATCAGAACAAAGGAAAATACCTTTAAGAGCCAACAAGAACTCAAGGTTAATCAACTGACCAAACTGCTTAAAGCACGGGAAAACGCGCGCGACCAACTAGTGGTTGGTCTTTGTTTTCCATCTTGGTCGAGAGAGTGGCGCGAATTTTCTGAACCAATCACAGAGCGAAGTAAAGCGAAACCATAGCAATGCCGGATTACTTTCGACACTCTATTGGAAATTACTATGTTTTGACGTCGTTAGTTAACCTAAAAGCTTTGGGTTGGATTGTTTTTAATTTTTTTACATTTTTCACTCTGACTAGCTGGGCCAGTCACACTCTGGCGTGCTTTCCTCAGCCTCTTCAACAATTCTACGCACAAAACCCTTGCCCTCATGAAACCAAACAAGAGCTTAGACAAAGAGTCGAAGACGAGTATAGAAGATGGAAGAGTAAGTTCTAAGTCTAAATAATTCTTTCCTACATGACATAGTCAGGGTCTCAATAACTATTTCCATAAGCAGCTGCTGTTGGTGAAGAAGGCGGCTGTGCCATGAGACAAAACCTCACGAGAGCCTACTCGCAAGCTAAACAGACGGCGGTAAGAGGTGTTACCTGCGTTACCTGTGGACCGACAGTAACCGGCTTTTAACGAAATCCCGGCATAGTTATGCACAATGCAAGGAGCCAATTTCATTTGTATTACCACAATTTTAGTGGGGGTCAGGAAATGACAATAAACCTATTCAAATATTGTGGCCAAAGCCTAAATTTGAATTTTATATTCTTCTTTCAGCAAAGTCTTCAGAAAATGAAATCTTGAATCATTTTGCGGATCCATCTTCAACGAATGTTTTCATTTGGTAAGCATCACCATGACCGAGCTCTAAGAAATTTTAAATGATAAGCTGAATAATACCAAATGTTTGGTTTTTACCTGTGATCTATTGGAGGACAGACGCCTAGATGACGTCAACATTGACAGCATTTTTCTTTTGTATCATATAAAACAAATGGAATCCATGTCTCTGTGAGACTGTTCAGAAACAGATCACAGATGATATCAAAATGTGATAAGGACACCATTCAGTGACACACTCGGCTGCACCTAGTGTGCTTTTTTTTTGTTCTTACCACATTTTGACATTATCTGTGATCTGTTTCTGAACAGACTCACGGCAACATGGAATCTTTTGTTAAGTTTGAATTTTTAAAGATATATTCAGCACAGGAGCTGCTGTAAATTGTTCAGCTTAGAGCAATGTTTAGCTTTGCTAATAAAAAAGAATTTCCGATTTTCGTATTCAGCTCTGCTGACAGCTCATGCTCCACAAAACAAGGCAATGAGTCCAAAATTTTTAGGCCTTCCAACAAAGTTGATGTGTTCTTTATGATTACTCAAGACTTTGGCAAATTTATGTATTGTACATGAACTATAAGCCTAGTAAACCTTGATGATAGGTTTTCCTACTTTGCAGCATTTTGTGGAAGATGTTATTAGATTCAAACCGCCTAAGCCCAGTTTGTCACAAGTAAGTTTACTGTTCTGTATCAGGGCAGTAATTCAACGCAGGGATCAAAACCATGTTTTTGTGTTTGTAAACTTGGATTGCTCATCAGTTCATGATTCTTTTTATAATTACTGTAAAAATTGAATGGTCTTCTCTTATTTCTGTGCATTTGTTTAAGTGATTGCATCACAGTCCTGAGTGCCTACTCTAGCATTCAATAACTTTATCATCTCATTCATACAGAGTGTTGGAGCGCCTGGGAGCACGAGCTCTTTCCGCGCATGTGCGTGTATTTGCCGATTATTTGGTGTACGAGTTTTCGACATCCGCGGCAGGAAAACATATTAACAAGGTCAGAGAAGGCGCTTTATGTCTGATGGCTGTTTTACGCCATAAGAGATATAATTGTTAGTAAGTTGGTTTTTTTTTTAATGTTGATATAAATGAGGATGGTAAATTTGAGTGTGGTGATTTTAAATGAAAGATGTTGTTAGTCAGTGAATGGTTCAGGCATACTCGGAAAAAAGAACTTCGAGTGCTCCCAATGGTAGTTAAATCTACGCCCTTGCGATTAGTACTTCGAACTCTCTGCCACTGAGCTCTATGACACTCTTGGTAGGCTTGGCCGTTTAAGTTCATGGTGACATGGTTTGGTGTTCTTCACGGTTGATTCATAGGTACTGATATTTCGTGATACTTGCTGAGATTTTCAATATCTATCTAGGTTTGGTTAAACTAAGATGGTACATTTCTGCACAGCCTTTTGTTTGTGTGTGTGTATTTCTTTTTTCATAAATGGAAACCCATTTTCAGGATAATTTAACGCTAATTTGTGAAAATTGACTTGTTTCTCATCTTCAGTGCATTGTACACCTGAATGACCTAATATGGAAGTACAACGTCGTTACTTTGGACAGGCTGGTCCTCTGTCTGGTTGGTTTAGTCTCTAGTGCTTAGTCATTTGAGGTTTTTGTTTTTTTTCGTTTTGAAGCAAATATTTTCAGAATTGTTTCGAGTTGTGGTAGAATTCAAAAGAAACGAATGGCCATCTAAATCTCAGGGCCAATGAGGAACCGAAATGTAAATTGTATTTTATAATACGCATATTTGATGCATAGCTTTCAAAGATACGTGCTGAGAAAATCGGTCCGGTTTCGAAACGTTTCAAGTTAGAGGGAGATACAAGGTAACACAGAGGTCCCTGAAAGGTCGGGCATGCTCAAGGGGATTCACTTCCCGCGCGCCGATTTCCTCGCAAAATTTCAAAGGAAAACATAGGAAAAAACCACTGTCTTGCAAAATAAGCCAAAGAAAACTGAGGATAGAAATCCGTGAAAAGGAAACAATAGAAGGGGAAAGGAAAACTCAAGACTTTTCGAAGCTTTTCCAGTTACGGGTATGTTGGTGATTTACCATTCTGTTTTGAGTTTTACCGAAAAAGTTGTACGCTTCTAAAACACCATGACATGTGGTTGTTTGGAACTCGTGTGAGAAAACTTTGTCATGGGAGCGCGCCACCTGGTCATGACAACGTTAGCACATGCGCAGACTTTTGACCGCTGTGTTTAACGGGGTAGATCTGCCTTCGTAAATCCTTTTTATTTCTACTTTCATGAAAAGTAACTCTCGATTATTTTCTTATTAGGCTTTGCGAAGTCATGAAGGAAACGAAGCCCAAGTCTGCTTCTTTATCATTCAGTTGTTATTGTTGAAGCCTCAAGACTTTAGAAATCGTGTGAATTCGTTCATACGAGATGTAAGTTTGTAGTTGGCTGGCGAATGAAAGAGAGGGAATGGGAATATTAATAATAATGAGAATTTAGCAGTGGATATTCCACAAGATAGTTTTTTCTTGTCCACCGTTTCCAGGTTTGGAATTTGAATTTGGAATGTGGGTTTTTGCAGAGGGTGGAAAACTGGAGAACCCGGAGAAAAACCCTCGGAGCAAGGACGAGAACCAACAACAAACTAAACCCACATGTCACTCCGGGTCCGGGAATCAAACCCAGGCCCCTACTAGTGCGCATCCCCACTCCCCGCTAGTTCTTTAAGTATTTTAGGCGACCTTTCTTTCTGGAAGGCTACGAAGAAGACCGTGAATTTCAACGCCATATTTATAAAAGGTCCTAAGACTGGTAATAGCTAAATTATTTATTTATTGTATTTCTGTTTGCCTTTTGTTTTTGTTCTTCCGAAGCTCATAATAATTGTGAAATTCCTTTCTTCATTTAGAACTCTCCTCACCACTGGCAACAAAATGAATGGCATCAGAAACACATGAACTATCACACGGCAAGTTGTCAACTAGTTGGCCGCATGTAATCTATTACAAGGCGGTCTCAATGGGGTGATGGCTTTTACGGCTAACATTTAATTTTTGGCCATTTTTAACGATTACCTTCCTTCCTTCCTTTATGATCAAAAAAAGATAGTTTACTGATAACTTTTTTAACGACTAACAGTTAAAATTTGTCAATTTTAACGCCAATCAACCAAATTTTTTGGCCGTATTACGGCTAACAGAGAACACCATTGAAATCCTCTTACAATGCCAGCAGAAGTTCGTTTTATTTTATCTCTCAGTCAGTTCGTGTGCCATTATGGGTCAATTTTCACTGTACGGCCCTGTAAATTCAAAAGTTTGTTTAAATTGAAATATTCCACATCCATTTAAACCACAGATATACAAAACATATAACTAACCTCGTTTTCGCGGTAGATACGAGATATTTAATCTGAAAAATAACAAAGCTATTTTCCTAACAAAGTCTTGTATTTCTGAATTTGCCTATTTGTGACTTATCGGGATAGAAAAACATTTAAAGGGGGTAAGTTTCCTAACAAATAGTGGTGCTGCGTCGGTGGGAGAGTATAACAAGGTAATTAAGTATTATCAACTGAGTTGATAACGTAAATTGGCCACCATAAAGAGTTTTAAAGCTGGCGTTTCGAGTGTTTGCTCTTTATCAGAGCAAATGATAAAGGGCTAACGCTTGAAATGTCAGCTTTGAAACTCTTTCCGGTGGCCAATTTACGTTCTCGACTTAGTTGATAATACTAAATTACCAAGGAAAAAATATCTTTACTTGACGTATTAATTTTCCTTGTATAGAACTGTCGTGAAGGTTATTGACGAAATAAGTTTGCTGATGAGATGTTAAATTAACTCCTTAACTCCTTAATTCCCGAGATCCGATTGTTACTTCTCCCGTTCACCTGCCACACATTTCCTTGTAAATGAGTTACCAGAATTTGGTGTTTAATCAAGATAACAACTTCTACCTGATAAGTTTGAGTATTCTCAATAGCTGCTTGCTGGGTAATGTATCGATATTACAGGGACAAGATACATGTTTATCACTCCTGGCAGTTAAAGGGGTTATGTTAAGCGCTCATAAATCATGTGGTACAGCTTCGTGTTAAAGAAAACATTCAAACCAGAAAAAAAATGCAAACAAACCGTCAGATTTAGAATTAACACCCGTCTAATGAGTTTATTGTCCACGCTAATTATGTGGAGGATGTGTGTTTTCCCCTTTTTAATTCTTCTCATCTCGTCTAACTTTTACATCACAGACCTACCCTGAGAGGTTCTATTTCGAAGGTTTGTTGGAATCCGCAGGGACCTCAGTACCAACAGTGCAATATTTGCCTATCTACTTTGGTAATGTGTGTCTTAGGTTTTTGCCGGTAAGTTTTGAGTCATCATTAGGTTGATAACTAAATTTGAGGCCTAATATATTGTCATATTGGTGTAGAAAAGCGGTTGGCGTATCTTGAAAGATGTAGCCAAAGATTTCGACCTTTTTTAAGTGCAATATGTCCATCCTTTGTTTATTTTGTTCTCCCCATTGTGGAAGGTGTACCAAACAAATATTTCTTGGTTTCCCTCAACTCAGAGATATCGTGACTAAATAGGCCCTTGCTTTGGCATATTACACCAGAGTTACCAAACGTGTTTTGTTAATTGTTTTTATCGATCCAATTTTTTCGACCATAAAACTCACCTTTCGACAAGTGGGCGACATACTAACCCAACAGTCAAGAGACAGAGAAGACTACAACAGCGCGAGTCATTAACCTAAAAGTAAAGGCTTAATCACAAACGTTTCTCTCATAATCAAATGACAGTGAAAACTACAAGTGCGTCAGATACTGATGTAACAATCAAATGACTGAAAACTACAAGTACGGGTGAAACTCACGTAACAATCAAATGACAGAGCAAACTACAAATGCGTGACATACTGACGTAACAATCAAATGACGGTGAAAACTACAAACAATCAACAAAACTAACAGTCAAATGGCAGTGAAAACTACAAGTGCGTGAGATACTAACGTAACAATCAAATGACAGTGAAAACTACAAGTGCGTGAGATACTAACGTAACAATCAAATGACAGAGAAAACTACAAGTGCGTTAGATACTAACGTAACAATCAAATGACAGTGAAAACTACAAGTGCGTTAGATACTAACGTAACAATCAAATGACAGAGAAAACTACAAGTGCGTTAGATACTAACGTAACAATCAAATGACAGAGAAAACTACAAGTGCGTTAGATACTAACGTAACAATCAAATGACAGAGAAAACTACAAGTGCGTGAGATACTAACGTAATAATCAAATGACAGTGAAAACTACAAGTGCGTGAGATACTAACGTAATAATCAAATGACAGTGAAAACTACAAGTGCGTTAGATACTAACGTAATAATCAAATGACAGAGAAAACTACAAGATACTAACGTAACAATCAAATGACAGAAAACTACAAGTGAAAAACTACAAATGACGTTAAAACTACATACTAACGTAACAATCAAATGACAGAGAAAACTACAAACAATGCGTTAGATACTACTAAATGACAGTAAAACAATCAATATGACAGTGAAAACTACAAATCAAAATGTGCGTTAGATACTAACGTAACAATCAAATGACAGTGAAAACTACAAGTGCGTTAGATACTAACGTAATAATCAAATGACAGAGAAAAGTACAAGTGCGTTAGATACTAACGTAACAATCAAATGACAGAGAAAACTACAAGTGCGTTAGATACTAACGTAATAATCAAATGACAGAGAAAAGTACAAGTGCGTTAGATACTAACGTAACAATCAAATGACAGTGAAAACTACAAGTGCGTTAGATACTAACGTAACAATCAAATGACAGAGAAAACCACAAGTGCGTGAGATACTAACGTAACAATCAAATGACATTGAAAACTACAAGTGCGTTAGATACTAACGTAACAATCAAATGACAGAAAAAACTACAAGTGCGTGAGATACTAACATAACAATCAAATGACAGTGAAACCTTCGAGTGCGCAAGATATTAAAGAATAAAAATTACAGAGAAATTTTCGAGTGCGCGAGATATTTCCGAAACAATCAAATGACAGAGAAACCCTCGAATGCGCATCAAACGACAGAGAAACCTTCGAGTGCGCGAGGTATTAAAAAAAAAATTAAATGACAGAGAAATTTTCGAGTGCGCGAGACATTTACGAAACAATCAAATGACAGAGAAACCTTCGAGTGCGCGAGATATTAACGAAACAATAAAACGACAGAGAAAATTAAAGATGCTTGAGGTACTAACGAAACAATCAAATGACGTTTAACTGTTACGTTAGTGTTTCGCGCACTTGTAGATTTGTTTATTATTTCAACTGCCTTCTGGTTTTTAGGTTTTTGACATTGTTATTCAACGTTTTCTGGAACTTGCGCCAGTACACAAGTCATTGGAAAGTCTTCTCGATCACCTAGGCTGCCTTTACAAATTCCATGGTTTGTTGAAGTAACTTTTTGTTTATTAGCTCATAACGGAAAATTAATTTTCTTTCTAATTGAACAGCAAGTCGCCGTCGACACATGCCGATAAATTCGGTCAAAAAGAACAAAGAGAGTAAAGTTGGTATCTTAGGTCGTATTTGGTCGGGATCAGCCCCTTAAACTGGTTTACGTTAACGCGGTTGAAGTATCTCATCAGTGCACCTGAACAACCGTTTGCGGCTGAAACTCGGCAACTTAAGAAAATCAAAATAATCAGGAAGCCTAATTTAGCCTCGCTTCCCGTCGTTTTCTTTTTTTTTTACTGTGAGTTATTTCTTGTCCCTTACGAAATTTTTCTTGTTCTGATTAATCATTTAATTAAAATTGTTTTGGTTTTATAACACCCAGTCGAAATACGCCCTTTATTGAACAATATCACCAGACAAGTTCGTCTATAGCAAAATTGAAATGTACTTTACAAAGCTGAAAGTTTTTACTTGTTTTAGTTTTTAACTGTCTTCTCCTCTATGAAATACTTAACTGGTTTATCTGGGCTCGTAAACAAGGTTGTTGTGGCCAAGAAACTAGTGTACATTTACAGTTGAGTGTAGTTACTCAGTGAGTTATTAATTTTCTTCATTTGGGTTGATTATCGTGAAAAGTTTTGTAGTTGATGGTTTGCTCTAAGTAATCAAAAACAGTGAGTAGTAGAGTCGGACCCATGAAGGGAAAGCAAAAGAGATTGAAGTCGAAAGAGTCTGGAATGTTAAGGGTAAAAATAGAAGGTGATTGACCCTCAGAGAAGTAGAAATCTACCTAAGTTTGCGGGAGATTTAAGTCGTTGGGAATCAAGATTTAAACAGTTGGTTGAACCCTCAATATTTTTTTTCTTTTCTTTTTTCAACAGATCGCCCTGTGACCTACCTGTACAACACACTACACTATTACGAGCACTGCCTTCGAGACAAAGCGTCTTTGAAGAAGAAGCTTGTCGGGGCGATTACTAGTGAGTTATCTCTTTGTCTACTCGTTTAGGTTATAGCCTCTGTAGCTAACACCCTGAGGATGAAGGTAAGGTCAAGTTAAGTCTCTGTAGGCCCTCAGAATGATGTGCAGTCTGGCTGGTGAAAAGAGGGCGCTTTGCAAATCACGGACACGGAATTGCTTTGTTTTGCTCCACTAACTTTGTAACTGGCCCAGGAATATGTGGCACCTTCTCAACCAATTACATCAGTGTAAAACCAATGTAATCATAACTTGGTCACACGCGTTTTCCTGCACTTTTTATATCGCTGATGGCGGGAGGAAGAGAGATCCTGAACGAGGTTGTGATCTGAGAAGAGCGCGTCTATGTACCATTCATACATTTATTTGAGTGCGAGAAATATTCCAACCCAAACCCCCCTCGCTTTTTGACTCCTCCGCTGCTTTCGGTCATTCACCATTTCGCTCTGTTTCATTAACTGAACGCCTGGAACGGGCTGAAAATGAATATCCAACATCGATATTGATTTGATTTGAAGACACGCTCAAGTTGTGGGAGAAATACGGTAGGAAATATGTCGGACATTGTCGAAGAAGAACAGGAAAGAGGGAAAGTTAATTTCGATCCGTCAGTCGATCGAAAAAGGATATGGTACCTAGCAACCTTTACCTGTGGCTCTCTCTACGACATGGCTGTCCGTGACGGTAAAATTATAGAAATATTAAAATTTGTTTCCATTCATATTTGACAGGTGCTCAAAAAGACGTCCATCCGGAAGGCTGGTGAGTATTGCGCCGTTGTCTGTAACTTTTTGCCAACACACTTAGCCGCAGAGTAGTAATAATCTGAAGTGGTTTGACATTTTGATGAGTACAAGAGCCAGCCCCCCGGCGAAACGCATAAAGAAATGACTGAAATAAACTCCCGCTATTACGGGCTCTCGCCATTACGGAAATACGGAATCCGGACTCACATAATACAAAGCGACATCACGATAAAGGAAAATAGAGAAACCATTGTTCAATTAGGTGCGAACATGAAAATTTCCTTCCGGATCTTTTTCTGGTTCGTGGGGCCACGTAAGAAACTTTGCGTAATTGCATATTATTTCATATGTTTAGAGATTGTGTCGATATAAATCAAACGACGAGAGAAGGAAAAATTTATGAAAGGAGATAATTGCTTAGGGTTAGGGTTAGGTTGGCAAAGAAGTAAACAGTGTTGTGTATCATCAGGTGTCTGTCTAGAGGTTATTTGGAGTTCCTGTCTAAACCTGCCGGCCAAGACTCCTGGACCCCAGATCTCGCCTACTATTGTTCTTTGATTGGCAGACTTGTGGATAGTATCCTTTTTGTTCAGAAATAACTGGCCTTTTGACTTCATTTCAAATGGCCTTTTCGTTAAATAAAAGGTGAGACTACAACATTGCGACCTCCACTCGTGGCTCTTCCTACGTAATTATTACCGGGCTAACCCACGAAATGTCAGCTTCATAAACTCTCTGGCCAATTTTCAATGTCCCTTCAGTTGACAAACTAAGTAAAGGTGAGACTTGTACCAGACATTATTTATCTCTATACCCAGTAAGTTACTTTAAAACAGACGATATTGAACTTAACAACTGGAAAGCCATTGCTGGTAAAACCCCACCGCCATTTCCAGCTTGTGATTGGCGTTTCAACGAATTTCCCAATCCTGTTGCGCATGCACTTCACGTAACTTGGGTGGAACTGATGGCGTTACCTGTTAAGGGACCGGAAGTTGGTGAAGCGTTGTTTGACGTCATCTTTAAAGGAAGCTATGTGACACACGATAGTGACATTCGAGCAAATATTATGGAGTGGATCAATGCTGTCGGATTAGTTTTGTCCGCACTTCCGGTACGTTGAGAATGTTACTTCCTCTTAGAAGTTATGGCGGGGTGTGTTGCGTTTTCGGGTAGGACACTTTATTTACGCAAAACTGCTAACAACTCAGGGGTTTAAATAGGTGCCGGGAAACTTTCGGGGAAAATTGATGAATTGCGCAGGAAAGAGGTACCTGCGATAGAGTAGCGTTTCCTTCCGGTCACGTAGTTGTGGCAGTACTCCTGGCCACCTGATTGTAGCGTCAACTAATGATACAGATCCAATAGTTGTTTCTCTCTTGCACTTCGTTGCATCTACAGTTGAAGGTTCGAAAAGGCTTTATTTTTATCAATATTTTACTAAGGAATACGAACGGTGCTTCGATTTATCTCGTCTAACTCGACCTACAAACTGTTAATCTAATAAGACTATCGCTTTGGACTACCTTCCGTTATCTTTGTTTATATCTCTCATGTAATCATCAGGAACCTTACTGGAGTGTGGTGTATGATAAAATCTGTATGGCTCTCAGAAGAGAGCTCTCTGCCAAGGAAGTATCGACAACTCCTATCGTTCTCGAGGACCGTGGGAGAGCCGCCCCATTCCCCTACTCATTCTTAGAGTTCTCTACCAATGTCGCCATGCATTCAGAGACCGCCGCTGACTATGTCTTGGCAGTCGCGCATGCGGTTTGGCACCATACAAGTATCGGTCAACTGAGCCAGCTTCCACAGTACGTACAGCTGAATTGTTTGCGCCCAAATGTATTACATTTTTGGTCACTGTGAAACTTTCACCGCGTAGTGTACTTGTATTTCGACTTACTTCTATGATTATAATAAGGTATTGTTCAACAGGAATGCTTTTCTGAGTTACAAAGCATTACCCAAGTCATTTTGACCAAAGCTTTGAAGACAGTTACTTATATGTAACACAAAACACACTTCAGTTAAGTGTCGTAGAACCCGAAACAAACTATGCACTAAAACAGGGGTTTCAATAACTTTTTGCGTAAGCGGCTACCAATAGTGTAAGCGGCAATCCCCGGAAATGGGCTGTAAGACGAAACCCAAACACGAGTGCTGCTCGCAGGCTGAACAGATGGCGGTAAGAGTTCGTTTAGATGACAGTGGACCGCCGATAACTGGCTTTAATGAAACCCCTGACTAAGAGTAAACAAAGTTTTAAAAAAATACCAAACTAACCGATGCGAAATAAAAATGCATGCGTGTACCTTGTCTCAAGCCTTGGAAAACGGAACTGAACCTTGTGCATTACGAATGTCTTCAGACACTTAATTATATCACAATTCAATGTGATGTTAAAATTTGGCACTTCTTTTTTGTTTGCCTTTGTTTTATCTCTCTCTTTCTTTTTCAATCGTAGTTTTGATTGGCCTCCTGACGAACGGTTTGTTTAAAATCTCAATCTTACCGGCCATGTACAAAGTGTGGTTTTAAATGTTGAAGGACCCCTAAGCGTAGGTGCACCGTGTTACCTTCATAGACCTTAGTTTCAACTATTCAGCCTTCCTTTTTTTTCTAACTCGTGCCTTTTGTTCTTCATAGGTTTCTTCGTGACCGCGTATCTCCGCTGGTCACAAATGAGGCTCAGTTTCTTTACGTGTGTCATCTGGTTGGACCATTCCTTCAACGGTTTTCCCAAGAAAGACTCAGATGTCTACAAGAGGTATCAAGGGCGGAACACTCAGAGCGACGAGTCACTGCGTTCGCCTCGTTTGACATTAAGAATTTAGTGAAAATCTTTGTCTCTGCAGCAGAATTAAGTCGCTTCGACTTCGATCCGTAGCATGAATGTAAACTTGTTTTGGAAGCAGATCACGCCAAGTAGCTTTCCGCAGTGACCAGTCGCTGCGATATTTGCTGAGCGGGTCCCAGTCTCCCATGTGTCGTTTGTGTTTTCTCGTCATCTACCATTTCCTTTTAACAGCTTTTGTAAAGTCAGCTTCAAAACAGCTGATTTTGTCCCAAAAAAACTGAAAAAATACTTTCGGTGACCCGATATTTTGGCGTCCATGTTAAGACAAATCTCGACTAACGATTTTAGCGAAGACAAATAGAACTTATCAGAACCCTCTGTCATGAAAAAAGAGGCAAAATAATTACAAGGGCTGATGGGAACGAAGGAAACCATCACAAGCCAATCAGAGCTCGAAGTTAAAACACGTGACCAACTTTGAAGGGCAAGAAAATGCGAGATTCCAAGTAGCCTGCGAGCAGGCGCTGCAGGACGCACGTTTTTCCGCCCGCAGATTTGACCCAAGTCGAGAAGAGGTTTGCCAGAGGTCTGGTACTCATTATCAGTGCTAGACCTGATTCCAGACCTCTTTCCAGGTACTTGCCAAGGTTTTCGTGGCCAATGAAACGCTCTTGCCGAAGGGCTAATAACAACGGTCTGCTCGCGGGCTAGATGCCAAGCGGTGATTGGATGAGAAGGTGGCATGGAAAGTGAACTTTGTGCGGTTTTGTACAGTTGATAGTTGCTCCAACCGTGTACGTGAGCAATAGCTCAGCTATTGAAACTGGTGCATTTTGACTGTCTTTATTTTCATTTTAATTTGACAGGTTGTTGTGGAGCTGTATCATCTGCTGGAAAAAATTAACAGAGAAGTTCAGCATATTCACCACGTTGACACAATTTGTGACTTCTTGTATCCTGTTGTAAAGGAATATTATGGATGAATCTGTCGTAAAATGCTCTCATCTTGATTAAGAATTACTGTCAAATAAATTCGTAAAACATCTTTTTCAAATGAATTGAGGCGGTAAGTTTCTAAAGAAAATGTGGTGCTTTGTCGGTGGGGGAGTGTAACAAGGTCATTGTGTTTTCGTCAGAGTGAACAATTCGCTGTGATGAAGGGCTAACGCTCGAAACGTCAGCTTAAGAAACTCTTTATTGTGGCCAATTTATATTATCAACGCATTTGATAAAACCAAATTGCCTTTTTTTTTTCAAATGTTTTACATGTGTTAATAGAAGAAAAGGCTTATCTGTAACGGAAGTTACAGATAGATACAGCAATTCGCTGTAAATATCAAGTAATTTAGTGTTAAAAACTGAGTTGAAAACGTAAATTGGCCACCGTAAAGGATAAAAAAGCTTACGTTTCGAGCGTTAGGGCTAAAGTTCGAAACGTCAGCTTTTTTATTCTTTACTGTGGCCAATTCACGTTTTCAACTCAGTTGTTAACACTAAATTACCTACTAAACTCTCCCACCGACGCAGTACCACAGTTTCTTTAGAAACTTACCCCCTTTATTCGCTATAAATATCAGGTGATTTTAGGTAAAACTGTCGTCCCTTTCGTTAAGATCGCTCTGATACTCTGACTTAAAAGTGTTACAATTTCTTCAAAAATTACTTGAAAATCCCGTCAGATCTCCAAAATGTAGAGAACATTTATTAGTTTAAGTTCTTTAACTATATATCTAAGATACCACATAAAGTACATGTTTATAGGAGATATTATCAAAGATGAAGTACTCAAGATCATTCCTCAGCTTCGCCAGTCCTTGCAGATTCGTTTGAGATTCATGACTCAGAATGTAAAAAGAGATGATACTTCAACATTGGCTTAAACGTCACTGACCAACTCAACTCACGGACAGACATGCATTGAATAACTGCTCCAAACGAGAGCGCATTTGGGGACAAATTTGCTGTAAGGCCGGAAACGTGTGAAATAAGGAATGGATAGAAAATAACTCACTGACTCAATATTAGATGTAGTTGTTGCTTGTTGTATCGTAAATCAACGTGACTTCTGTGTTAGTCAAGATTAGGATGGATGAGGGAAGATAAATGTTGGAAGATACATTTGAAGGACCCACCCAGCGCCATCAGCTTATGGCCATGTTGTGAATAAAATGTAACCCTGTAACTTCGACGAAATCAAACTCGCCAACACAACGAGCCAACTCGCCCACATATCGGTTTTTTTGCCAACATTCTCTGTCAAATCCTTAAGTTTATGCCTAACTCGTTGACTCGAGACCTGTCATGATTTTAAGAAGATGAGATCATTATCAAGTGGTTATGAAGGATGTTATGGGCAAGTTAGTTGTCAGACAGTTTGCGTGTTGGAAAAGTGACCGGTATCAAAAGGCAAACTCGAGTTGAACTTAATGTAACTGATTAATGTAATCTTCGTAGGAGAGTTCTTTCATATATGTGGGCTGTAAACTTAGGGACTCCTAACGCTTAAATTTTTAGACTGTGTTGAAATAACAGTGTTTAGTCTACATCAAGGTACAGCCATAAAAGGCTCATTAATTTACAGATCTTCATTGTTTGAGTCTTGCTTGTTTATTCTTGACTTATGATTGTGGGTTTCCAAACTCTACGGACAGTTATGTAAACTGCTTGAAGTGCAAGTGACAAGCGTGGTCATACTTACAGCACTTTAATTAGTACTTGTGGCTGGTGATCTAGCTTTTTGACTTCCGTAGGGGTGAGGAAATTTTTGAGTTATTTTTCTTTTTGATTTCTTGTAAACAACCTGCAGGTTATCATGTATTCCACAAACAGGGGGCAGAGTTCAGATAGGCAACAACCCAAGGGGCCCCCCTTTGAAAAATGATCTTTTTCTCTTTGTTTAATACATCTTCACCTATTTGAAGAATGGAGATCGCAATATATCTTTGGTTAGAGTCTACTGGAGATTTAATTTAGAGTTTCAGTTTGCTTTCCCAAGTAAAATTACGTGGAATGACATTTTAAAGGCAACTGCAAGTGAATAATTTTTATTTCGTCTCGGACAGACGATCGGCAGTAAGCGTGGTTTCCTTCGCAACTGTTGTTTGGTCTCGTCACGTAATGCGCTCTCTAGTCCAAGGAGGGAACAAGGGCCTTGTTTGACTATAATACCAAACCTTGGCTGCAAAGGAGAATACGATAAGCGTGGCACCAACGCAATTTATTTTTGCTCAAAAGTATTCAAACAGCAGAGACAAAAGACCACAAAATACCTGCCGGTGAGTTTATTTCAGACAAACTGGACAGTTTTTTTTTTTACCCCTTCTTATCAAGGTAACGTAATGCAATATTTTCGTTCTCTTGAAAGTCATGGTCTTTTTTTTAACAAAAGTGAGAACAGCAGACACAAATTGTCCCACCTCAACTTACCCATTCAACAAAAAAAAAAACTCTTGCATGCATAGCATGCCTATGTCTAATATATGCATGAGACTTCATGAAAAAAAACAGACTGAAAAAGGGTGGCAGGAAGCTCTGTTTGCATTCCTAGAAAAGCAAATGTAGAAGAAAACATTGGTTGTGGAAGGGAGAGAAGCAGAAAAATTGGAGAAAGAAAAGAAAAGAAAGAAGAGAAGAAGAAGAAGAGAAAAAGAAAAGAAAGAAAGAAAAAGAAAGAAGAAAGAAGCAGAAAAATTGTCTTGGTAAGAAATAAAATGCAAAACTGGAGTGAGTTTTTGAAAAGTTCTTTTGATGAAAAATTAAATGAAAGACAGCTTTCCTGTATAAGGAAGGTTTTCCCTTCCTATGGGTAAATCTCGGTTAAGGTGTATTTGGCTGTCTTTGAAAATTTTTAGTTTCTCACTTGTTGCTGATTTATTTTAGCAATATTCATTTGTCAATGCTCTTTAAATAGGTACCTCCCTTGGTCACTTGCCCTGAATCAACAAGTGTACCTATAGTCTGTATAAACCACATGAGTTTTAAAAATATTTTAGAGACTTGCTCTCTTAAGTGTGGAGCCATTTCCAAAAGAACCATTTGGTACTGGTTCTAAAGGGGCCTATCATGCTGACAGTAGGCAAAATTTATCAAAGGGAACTCCATTTATCTGAAACAATATCTCATAACAAAAAACACCAAATTTTTTTACTTCATGTAATTTTCTGAGTAGCCTCTACATCTTGTGAGGCCATATGCTAGGTCATGAAGCTCTTTCCTGTCCTGCTCCTACCCATGCATAGGCACTCATACTGGGCATTTCTTTCAAAGTGTTTTTAAACAAAAGCAAACTACAGGGGGGTGGAAAGATCATATGATGACATTAGGTTATATGTTGCTCAACAATAAGAATAAATTTGTAAAAATTTGCTTCTCTTCTACAGGAAAAATGCTTTAAAAAAATTAATGTTTAGCAAACTTTAAGTAACATACTTTTCTATGAGATATCTTAAGGTGTTATTCTTAGATTGTTCATATGAAAAAATTGGTTCATAACTGAGTTGTTTTTTGGCAACTCTCCAACTTACTGTCACACCCTTACACACAGTGACCACAGAGGACCTGGTAATGGCTAAAGAGAGGTTACAAATTGGACGTAATACCCATACAATACACTCCAAAATGAAAGCAATATAAAAAATAACAACAAATGGAATCGACACATTAAGCAAATCACATCCAGTAGCTGCTAAGTAAGGTTCCACAAAGTCAAAAAAGTTACTTTCTGGAGTGTTGTCACCAATAAAAAAAGCTTTTCCAGCAATTTCCTTTGGGTTTTTCCTCAAAACATCAACTGCAAGGACATGAGCCCAGGCAGAATTACCCACATAGCATGAGTTAAATTTAGCTTTACCATCACCCATCCTGGGCAAATAACCAAACTGCTTTTTGGCAGAATCAATTACATTTGGAAGGAATGCTGTGTCTCCTTCCCCATACATCACAAGTGACCTTAATGAGCACGTAACCAGATGGGTACCATTTGCTGTCAGACTGCCATTAGCCCGTAAGACTTTCTTCTCAGCCTTCATCTTGGTAAATGCATACTGACTGAAAAGATAATCTGAGACTTTTTCACCAGGAAGGGGTGTTTCTTCATTTATATTGTTGTTATCCAACCATCCCAGAGCAACGTCTGCAGTGCTTGTGTACACTATCCTACCCACATTGCATTCCAAACAGGCCTGGATTATGTTTTCTGTTCCTCTCACATTAACATTGTGCATTTTCATCTCTGATGGGTGACTGATGTCTACTATTGCAGCTGTATGGATAACAACAGTTGCTTGTGTGAAAACATCCTTGACCTTCAAAGAGAGGAAAGAAATTTAAAAGGCACATAGTGTATTCTTTTCCCATAATGATTACACAATCCTTTCATTCTGATCAATTTGTCCAAATCATGTGATCTTACAATTGGTATTAGACTGACTGACCAACTGACTGATTTACTAAAGGATTGACTGACAGAAAGACTGACTGACTGATTCACTGATTGACTGACAGACTGACAAACACACTGATTAACTGCCTGAAGAACTAACTGATTGACTGACTGATTGACTGGCTGAAAGACTAACTGACACACTGACCAACACACTGACTGACTGACTGTTTGACTGGCTTATTGATTGATTGACTGACTGACTGACTAACTGAAAGACTGACTAACTGATTGACTGACAGACTAACTGACTGATTGACTGATCAGTCACTGACTGAATGACATTATTGACAGATGAACCCACTGACTGACTGACTGAGTGGCTGAGGTCACTGACCAACTGAGTAACTGACTAATTGACTGACCAACCCAATGACTGAATAATGAATGAATGAATGAATGAATGACTGTCTGACTTACTAATTGTATGACCTAACTGAGTTCCAGAAAGTATCTCTTGCACATTCTGAGAAAGGTCATGGAAACTTTAACATGGGTCTCAAACACCAACTCTTTCAGAGAAAGTTATGATCTCATGAAGTGTAACTGAAATATTTAGTTAACTACAAACGGTAACCCATAAATTTTCAGACATTTGTGGAATAAATAACAACTAGAGTTGAGTATACAGATATCATACAACAACAAATGTCATTTTCGAAGCTGGACATCAACCCCTGTCCGTTTCCTTAACACCTATGAGTAATTCAGTGTATAAATTCTGAACCTTCCAATTTCAACACATTGCAAACAGGCAGTGAAAAGTATTTAGATATTTTCTGCGGTTTTTTGTCTCACAATAACACCCAATTACCTGAACTAACGAAAAAATGTTTGTTATTGGTTAATTTCAAGATCTTCGAAGCAGACAAGCCTCCTTCCGGGACATGTAATCAAATTGAGCGCTTGCTTGTTCCGACGTACCCACAAGCCATGTTTTTGATCGATCATAACTCAGTCCTGGAGGAGCGCATTATCTCATTATTCTTTTTTTTTTTTCTCAGATTAGCCTACCTGTTCATAATTGCAAATGTCTCCTCGCCTGTACCTCAATCTTCCGCCCTGAGCATTTTGAAGGAAGTACGATGGCTGACTCGGACGGATGTCAACACCTCGGATCTCTTGGATGTTCATACCACGCGTATTCAACAGCTCAACTATCTTAATTCCCAAAAATCCAGCTGCACCTGTAACTACCACTATTTCGCCATTTTCACCAGAGGAAGCTGAATTAAGAGCCATTGTTTTGATAGCAAATCTTAGTGTAAAGGTCGTCCACTGCTCGCGATCTGCGTTAACAGAGGGGAGGTTGCAAGGCTCAATGTTTACTACCTCATGTAAGGTTCGTTTGAAACCTGCAGCTGATGGTTCAGTCGATAGCGATGCAACAGAGCCCTCGAACTCCGCTTACACTTTACAGATTTCTGCTGAAATGTGTGAGAAAATTACCTGAAGAGACACAGAAGCATTATAAGCACCACGTGAAGCAGGTATAGTATAGTGATGATAGACAGCTGATGCTAGTACAGTTTATAATATTGGGGTATTTCAACCTTACTGACTTGCCTTTTTGCTGCAAGAAAGATGCCATTATTGTCTATGATTATGATTTTATAGGGAGCTTTGATCAAAAGCAAAAACTTATAAATCATAAATATTCTGAGGCTGTGGATATATAATGTCCCCTAAATACCTCAAACCCCTACAGGTTTGTAAAAAAGGACTATACCTTGAAAAGGACGGGAATAATTTGTGATAACAGACAAGAGTTAAATCATCTATTGATTATAAATTGGATATTACTTTTACTATAAGTCAGCCTTCTGCATTTATCAGAGATTGTTTCTGTTTAGGCCTACGCAAGTCACTGTGATGAAACTGACCCGCAAAGAATACAACAAATAATTGACAGAGCTATACAGGATGCAGAATGGCTGATGAAAAAGGTATTGAACAAGAAACAAACTTTGGATCAATGTCGGTGTCTGAGCTACTGAGCACCTACCCCTCCCTGAATCCAACATGAACCCTAACTTGTTATCAGTTGACTGTTGTTGGATTATGGGAGGTGAAGATGTACAATTGGTCATATACTGACATTGATTTTCATCTTTTTACTTTTGTTTGCCCAATTTAGTATTGTTAGTCACTCAACTTCACAGGTAGCAAGCTGAAGGGTTGGTTATTTTGTCCACATTTATATATCAAGTACACCTCAAATAGGGATGGTAAATTTCAGATGGGAATGCATGAAGAATTTTATGTCAATAAACTTGTAAAGTTTAGTATAGTTTTCTTGCTGAGGGGTAAGAATAATTATCTCTGGTAAGTATTTACCTTAAACACCTCTATATTCAAAGATTTAACACTTGTATTCCACTAGAAAGGCTTGAAATTTCCAGTTCAAATTTCCCACTCCAGCCAGGCAATAAGGCTCAAATTCCCCACCCCCCAGTATGGACGATGATCAAGCACCTGTGAGTGGCCAAGGAGGGACATTAAAGCTTTGAACTGATTGGCACATTAGCTTTCAACAAAACAGTTATTAGCAGGGTAGAATGAGTTAACAGCGTGTAATTTTCAAGATCCATGCTTGTTTCTATGGATTCTGTGGTCCAATCAGAGGTCTTTTTTTATCTTTAAATACTTCTGGTTGGAGTTCAAAAATTGAAAGCTACTTAAAATAATTTAACTCAAGTGATCAGTGCAGTGTGATTGTTAATGGTTTCTTAAACCCTTCGACCCCTAAGATTGACCAACATTTAATTTCTCCCTACAACATCAGCCCTGTATCAAACATTTAGGTCATAAGAATAAAGGAAATGATCACCAACTAAAGAAGCTCTTGACTGTTAAAAAATTATTCTTGTCAGTACTTTGGAATATGCAAAGAGAATAATATGGAGAATATGCATATTGATGTTAGAGTGTAAAGAGGTAATGGGTGTTGCATCATTAACTGTTTTATTGTTAAATTTTTCCACAGTATCAGAAGGGAACTGTATGATGACTGAAGTGCATTTTGATTACTGATGAAAGTGAAAAAGTCGATGACTCTTCTCATCTCACCAGGAATTAACTAATTAAAAATAACTCCATCACAAGGGGTAACATGTTTGTTTGTTTTTCAGAGTATCTCTGTCGTGAATTAACAGCTGAATCCAATGTCTCATTACATCATTTGTTGGCAGTATAGTCAGCTTAGTTTTGCTGAATGCTACAATGCACAAACATTTTGCTTTTAATTTCTCCCTATGCAGCATATTGTCAGAGTTTTGGGGGTTTCAATAAAAGCAGGTTATCAGTGTTCTGCTGCTTTTTGTAATTCAGACCTCTTACTGCAATCTGTTGAGCATGTTACCAGTGTTCTACCATGGCTTTTAAGACCTCTTACCCAATCTGTTGAGTGTGAGAGCTTGCTCTTGCACTTGAGATTCACCTTACAGCCTTTTTTCTTGCCACAGCCGACTATTACAGTTAGAATAATGCAAGAATAAAAGCAAATTCTCTAATAATTGTGCATACACTGTTAACATTTGACAAAGTATCTACAGAAGGTTATCAAAACCAACCTAACATTTATGCCAATGTAGGTTTGTTTATTTCAAAACTGTTATGGCAAGCATGCATTGCTCATGTTATCATTCTTTGAAGTTGTTACAGATTGCAAATAGGACTATCCAAAAGAAAATGAGATTAGAGAACAAAATCTGGATAATTGAGGTCAATGCAATTGAGGTTTGAATGTTTTTCTTAAAGTTAGTAAAATATACTCTAAGGACACAAGCCTGTTGGTTTGTTTGTTTTTTTTTTCTGTTTTGTTTGCTCTGGTAATCTGTTACTGCCATTGTAAGATCATTAGTGCCTGTATGTTTAGTTAGCCTATTGTTTTCTATATGGGGCATGTGGAATGCACCTAGACAAGGGTAATTTATTCAAAATGCTCTCATGGCTTCAGCAGTTTTAATATCATTGTTTTGGCAGGAATGTTATGCAGTCTGTTTTAGTTTCCATGGAAACACAACTGCAGTATACAGTACAGTTTAAGTAGCCATTTCCAGGGCCATATCAAATATGTCATTTTTTAACGATTGTCAATATTTTAGGTTTTGTGTCAATTTCACCTTTGGTTTTTCTCTACTGTAAAGTTTGTTTATAAATATATTTCTTTCAGTTTTAACTGCACACTATGCTTGAGTATTGCTCTGCTGCAAGATATCTTTGCACTGCTTGTCAAGTCAATAAAGATTAAATGTGAGTTAAAATGTCATTCCTGGTGTCAGCAGCAAATCCACTGAATAGGCAGTTATAACCATTATTACCGGTTAATGCATTTTGGCTGTAGTGGAATGCTCCCACACTGATGTAAAATGTATTCCAGACACAGCTTTTAATTTTCAGTCAGACAAAATAACAATAGAGTTCAGTGAGAATATAAAACATTTGTCATCTGATAAATTTATTTTATTGTAAATGATCATTTACCAGACAGCACAGCAAATAAATAAATCAAGATCACTTCAAAAATTGTTTAAAGCACTGAAACAGTAACAGAACAATATTTTCTTTAAACATTGATTGCTAAGTTTATCAACAGAAAAATTGATGGCTGGAGAATCTGTTATATTGAGTATTCTGACAGTTCCCTCTCTTACACAAATATATAGTTTATAAAATACCTTCTATTCAAAAAAGTGACATTTTTGTAGTCTGACTACAATTTTCATGGTGATCCCTTAACGGTTTCTACACAAATAAATATCTTACTTTTCTGTCAAAATACAACTTTGTAGCTATAGAAATTACTTTACAACAAAATTTAACTGAAGTCCCCCAGCCCATTATCTTAGTTCACTGCAACTTCTGCAAAACAAGCTTGCCGTATGCTTGATTCCTGAAAAACAAAAAATACACAAATAAGGACCAGGAGAGTAATCAGGGATCAAACTTGGACACTTCTATTAACTTTTAATACCCTAACATAAGTATGTGTATTCTCCATACTGTTTTCTACATTTCCTTGGGTGCTGACAAGGAGAATTTGTTCATCAATCAAGAACTTCTTTGGTTGGTGATCATTTTCTTTATTCTCATGACCTTTATATAGGATTTGAGGGTGATATAGTAATGAGAAATTAGATGTTAGTCACTCTCAGAGGCCAAGGGCTTAAAAGAAAACAAGCTTCCTCTCACCAAATCCCCCCCTCCTCCACCTCTTTCCTGCCTAATTTTTGTTTGGAATATTGCAAATAAATGTACAAACCCATGCAAAACAAATATTAACCAGGACAATACTCAGGGATCAGACTTAGAAATTTTCATTTGGAAAGCATTAGCTGCATCCCACCCCCTCCCTCCCCCCCCTCTCCTCACACAAATACCCACTAATGATATCACAAATACCTACCCATGCATTCAGGACTGATGTAACAGAGTACTTTTCAGGCATACACTGCAGTTTTGAAGATAGCTGCCTCTGGACTTTCTGGAGAAAAGGGTTGGCATCTACAACACACAGAAATTAAACATGTTTACATGACCTAAATCTTGATGAAAAGAATGATAGCACTGAACCCAAGGTAGTCATAACAGCCAAACATAATGTCAGGAGACAGGAGCCAAAGAGGACTTGTACTAATATGCATACATGTGCTTTGTAAAAGCAGCTTTGAAAGTTGGAAAATGAGAGTGACCCTATCACCACAAACTTAAGATTTGTATGTTACTGGTTAAGGAATTGAAGTGCTGGAAGTTGCCAAGACCAGTCACAGAGCTTAGTCAAGTTACATTTTTCCACCCCAACATTGGTATTCATTTTCTCCACAATGATCTCTCTACATTTCCTGTGTTAATGACAGGGAGAATTTGCTTGACAATCAGGAGCTTCTTAAATTGGTGATCATTTTCACTTTTCTCATCATCTTTACCTTTGATTAAAAGGTGATACTGTAGAGAGAATTTGAAAGCCAGTTACACTTAGGGGTCAAATGGTCAACCCTTCACACCCTAACATTTTAAGATCATCAACCACGAACTTGTTGGTGACACCTAGATCGACGTTAAAATTTTATGGTGATTGTGCTTTTTCAGTCTGTGCCCCTAAACTTTGCAATAATCTTCCAGAGAATATAAAATATAGTTTAAATCTTACATCTTTTAAGAGCAACCTTAAAACTTATCTTTTTAAGCCCTACCTTAATTTGTAGTTTTGCTCTAACTAGTATTTTTCAAATTTATTACTCACTAAGTTACTGCTTCAAACATTTTATTGTAAAGTGCCTTAGAGCTCTAGAATAGGGCACTGTAGAAATTTTTGTATTATTATCATTATTATTATTATTTTTATTATTATATATCATGATCCAAATTCTCCATACTCTTTTCTATATGTTGCTTTTGGTGTTGACATAGAGAATTCATTTGGAGATCAAAGCTTTGTAGGTTTGGTAAGCATTAATTTTCCTTTATTCTCATTACTACTGTAAGGAGAAATGAGATCCTGGTCACTCCTAGGGTTTAAGGGATTAAATCAGTTGAATACTGGATTACAGCACTCCATAATTAAATGCACAAGACAAAGATTGTAAGAGGTGAATTTCATACACAGAGACACTTTGTAGAATGTAGAACTTACTATAATTTGCCGTCTTGCACTCAGGACTGGAGTAAGGGTAGTTCTGTGGAACACTGATTTCTATTGGTGGAACTGCAGGCAGGTTCAGGTCATCTTGGATGTAAAAGTTAGGAGAACTTAGTTAAATTTCAAGTCAAATGTACAAAATAATTAGTACATAAAAACATAACTTCTTGCATGCAATCAATATACCAATAAAACAACATTCTGTAATAGTGTAGTTTGATCATCTAGGTGAGTGTAGTCCTGAGAAGGACTGTTGTTGGTAGAGTCCACTCTGATGATGACTTCTGCTCAGGTTGTTGAAATGTCTGTCACCACTTCTGACGACAGTCCTTCTCAGGACCACACCCACCAGGACAATCAAACTACACTATTACATGTTACCCCAGGTTCAAACCATTTACTGTAAAACGACATTCTCTTTTAATTAATGCTTGCAAAAACAATTGAAATGATAAAGTAACAACCACCAGGCCAGCCCACAATAATTACTGATTTTATCTACAGCTTTAACCTTTTAACTCCCAGAATTGCTTAATAGGTAGCTTCTTTTGAGAATACTTTAACTTATCAGGTAGAAGTTGTTATCTTGATCCAACAACAAATTCTCGTATTTAACCATTTAACTCTCAAGATCTGATTGTTAAGAATTATTCTCGTCTCTAGCTGATACATATTTCCTTGTAAATTAGTTACAAGAATTTGGGGTTAGATCAGGATAACAGCTTCAACTTGATAAGTGTGAATGCTATCATCACTTGTTGGCTGGATAATGTATGGATATCAAAGGGAGAAGTTACATGTAAATCACCTCTGGGGGTTAAAAGGTTTATTTAGCAGGGAAAGTGTAGCAGCTAGAGGGGAGAATTAACTATCATATGTTAGGAGTTTAAGGGTAAAAAAATTAATATTTCAAAGCAATTGAATCTTAAAATTATTTTCTTACTTATTGAACACTCCAGAAGTGTGTTACTCTGTACTGCTCCACAGCTGACTCCTGATCTCACTTGAAATCGGTTGCACAAGCGGGCAAGTTCCCCTTGCAACACATGTGGCACAGTACACTTCTTGGGGATTTCACCAGTAACCTTGATCCTCTTGGCTGGGGGTGGGATAGGACTACAAATAAAAAAATAATAAAACATTAGCCAATCCTCTTCCTTCTATCTGTGTATATCTGTAAAACACCGTTTATCTGAAAATGATACCAAGGAACTACAAGGAATCCAACTCACATATCAAAGCATTCCTTCGTAAGTCCTGGAGACATATGAAAAAGGAGGAAATAAGGGAAATAGTGGGGTGTCCTACTACACAATTCTCAGTTATTTTTTTTTTCTATAAAAAAAACCTCTCTTTTAGCATGTAGAGTGGTATGTACTTCACACCAATCAGATTGCTGCATTAGGGTATGTATCTAACACCAATCAGATTGCCACATAAGGGTATGTATCTTGCACCAATCATATCACAGCATTTGGATATCTAGCACCAATCAAGAGTTTGGATTTTTGCTTTTTTGCAAATGATGTCATGGAATCAGGGAGCTGTGCATAAGGAATGACATTAACCAGAAATTTTGGGCTCATTTGATAAGTGTAATGATCTGTGGCCTTTGGGAGAGCCACGCTGATTAAGGGTGAGATTTATCAGGATATGAAAGGTTCACCTTTAAGGTTTTCGTACATTTTTAAGTTAAAAGTACTTTGTAAACAACCTGCATTTTAAACACATATTCTAAGCATATTGTCCAATGCCGCTGAAAAAAATTCACATGGAACTAAATGCTACAGATAATGAATTTTCCATACCATTCTATAGCATTTTGACTTTTTCTACAAATAAAATTTGCTTTTAGCTACCTTGGACTTAACCCACTGACATGTAAATTCCTTGTAAACAACCTGCATTTTATTATGTATTTCACACACAGAGGGCAAAATCTAAACAGGAAACAACCAATCAAGGAGCCCTCTTTGAAGTATTATCCCTTTCTCTTGTTCAGTGCATCTTCACTTATTTAAGATCCCATTATATCTTTGGTTAAGGTCTATTGCAGATACAACAGAGTTTCTGCTTGCTTTTTGTGGTAAAATTACATGGAATTATATTTTTGAGGCAGCTAACTGTAAACAAATAATTTTGATTTTCTGTCTGTTTGAGGAATGGCAGTAAACATAGTCTCTTTTGCAACTGTTATTTGGTCTTGTTGTGCAATGGGCTCTCTCTCCAAAGGGTATTGTATGATGAAACCAAACAATGGCTGCCAAGGAGACTACATTAAGCATGGCACTAATGTATTTTTCTTTTGCTCAAAGTATTTAGACAATAGAGACAGTTGACCATGAAATACCCGCAGGAGTTGTTTATCTTTCCCTTAAGGTGAAGTAATAGGTTATTTTCATTCTTTTGAAAGTTGTGCTCTTTTTCTGTTACAAAAATGAAAACATTACCAGTAGGTACACAGTGTCCCATCTCAACCCACCCAGCTAAAAAAATAACTCCTGCATGCTACCCATGCCTATGTTTTAACAAAATGGATCCCTCAAACCTCAAAGGATCAAGTTGTCAGGAGCCAACCATAATGCTAAACTTACAGTATGGGTGGTCCTTCCATAGCTTGCAGCAGTGGTGTAAATGTTCTCTTCAAAGTGTGGCCCAACATAGGTGACTTTGCATGCTTTGTAACTGCATCAAACAAAGGTTTGTAAATTGTCTGGATGGGAGCTGATGGTACTACTGGAACAGCTTGACTTGTAGTTGTTACAACAGACGTGGTAGAGGCTAAGGAAGTGGTGTTACCAGATGGTGTGGGAGGGGCTGGTGGTGTGGTGATTGGGATGAGCTTTTTCAGCACATTTCCACTATTTTCCAGCGCTTGCAAAGGAAGCCTGATGTAAGAAATGAAACTCTGTAATCAGCATAAGAAAATACTCCAAAAAAAAACTCAAGTTTCATTGACATTACTGCACAATCAAATTTTTCATTGTATAATCTGCCCTTTCAATCCCAAAATATCATATGTAATTCTCCTTACTGTCTGCCATACAATTCTTATGAAGTTAGTTTGGAGAATTTGGTATTGGATCAACTAATCCCCTAATTGATATTTTTCTTTATTCTCAACACTTGTCTCCTTAATATTGTATTGATGTTGTAAGGAGAAATTCTGTCTTGGTCGCTCACGGGAGTTAAAGGGTTAATTAATATTGAATAAATATAATTATGTTATGTTGTATAATGTAATCATTTGAATGAAGCTCTGTTGAAAGAAAACTTTTGTTGTTGACTCTAAGGAAATTGGTTGTCAGTCAAGTTATTTACCTCCAGCTTACTGAACCACTGAAGACAGTTTTGTCACAGTGCCAATGGGTGTAGGATTCAAGAGGAGCTTATCAGTTTCAACTGGTATGTTGTTTAAAGCCAGCTGCTATGTAAGGGTTTGTTACTGGCTTTCTTTCTTTCCTGGTACACAATTTTTCGTGCTTGTTCCCCTCCCAAGAAAGGCACCAGCACCAAATTTAATGCAATTTGGATCTCAGATTAGTTATTCTATCCCTGAAATTTGAATTTCTCTACACATCACTCTCAGTGACATTAGACTTTTGACAATGACAGCTCAGGAACAATATTTATTTACATGTACCTCGTATTTCAAATGAGTTTGCTCACCTTTTTGCTGGGTTTGTCAGGATATTGTAGAGATGCTTCAATTTGTACAAACTGCTGTGTTCTGAAAGAAACAAAAAGCTAACACTGTAGAAAATCTGTCATCTCACAACAACCCAATTCTGATCAGTTTCCTTTATTTATCATACTAGGCAAGGAGATGTCATTTTGATAAACACCTCCCTTTATTAGCTGAAAACTAAAATACCTCTACCTGTTGTTTAATTAATGTAATTCTACGTGGTAATAACTGTGTATTTGCTGAACTATTTGAAGTAAAATTCTCTCTCTCTTCATATGTTCATTCACTTTCAGTGGGAAGCTACATGTATGAAACCACTAAATAAGCTATATCACAAATAATTTTTCCAGTTGCACAGGTGCAGGCATTATAAGCTGTTCATTCCCCAAATGAAATTCAATGGGTGGAGAGAAAGAAATGTTCCAAGTGACCAAAGTTGAGACTACCTTACCAGAAAAATCTAATTTGGAAGTGCGTTTAGCCCTTTTAATGAACATGCATAATATGTAAACTAAGGTTTTTCACCCCCCCCCTAAAAAAAAAACATATTCAGAATGCCTCTTATGAAAACTACAAGTATATAACTAGAGAAGCTTAAAGTCATTGTTTTACAAGTTGATAATATTCTATATATTGTTTCCATCATCAATTGTTCCTTTTTGGTTTGCCCATATTGAAGGTAATTTCATACAATATTTATACACCAAATAAAACGACTCACGGTATCCCAACCAACTTGCCGCGAGTTGAACCAACGTTTCTTACCCAAAACACTTACCTTTCTCCCTTGAATCTCGGTTCAACTTGTTTATCATCTTGGTCAGTGGTTCAACATAGGGTTTCAGTTCATTTAGCTATGAGATGTATTAATGAGAATTTGCAAAAGTTAGACTTTTCTAGGTCCAGAAATGTGAAATGCTTTGTTTACTCAGAAGAGCACTACCTCTGAATGAAAACACCACCCATAGATGCAAAGAGGTATTTGGTCCAATACACCAAATGTTAAACCAATTCATCTTCAGGGGTATCATTTTGTAAAAGTAATCAACTAATGACCCTGATCATTCTTTGCTTGATATAATACATGCATGTAATTATTGACTGAGTACCAAAGGCCAGACGCCTAAACATTTGGCTTAGGTAGTGACGCACATCTGTTCGTAACATCCAGAGCCAAATATTTTCCCATTCCGCCAGCCTAACTTGTCATTAAGCATTTAATCATAAGCTCACTTAGTGTGGAAACCTTCCAACAACTTGTTTCAACCTACAAAGGTTGAAGTTGCATACAAAAGAAGGGCACAAACTGGACAACTTCCAGGGGTTTCAATAATTTTTAGCACAAGAGGGTACTTTAGCATAACAGGGTTTCTTAGAAGCCCCAGAGGACTTTCTTAACTAGTGGGGGACATGCTACAAGTGGGTAATCAGCTCATTACAAGTGGATAGATATACTTGCTACCTGGCTATTATTGAAACCCCTGACTTCTCTAGAAAGATAATAGTAAAAAAATTTCCTTTTTTTTTCTTTTTTTTTTTCTTGAAGCAACTTATTTTCTCACTTGTTTTATTTTTTGTTTAACTCTACAAGTTGAATTCAGGTTCTCAAAAAAATGCAAACAAGCGGTGTGACTGCAGGGCTGGCCAGCTTTTTTTCCTTGCACCCTATACATATCACCTTTCACTATTTTTTTTTTTTTAGCGATTGTGTGCACAGAGTTACACTAGTCACTTGATAAATGGTTATTAAGTAATATACTAGACACATACCTTATCCAAATAAGCCTGTTCTTCAGCTGGGTTCAGTGGAGCAGGGCTGGCTTCTGGGGGTCCCACTGAGGCAGGGTTTGGAACAGAGGCTGGTGACTGAACATTCATCGTGCTAGGAGTTGGTACTGATGTAGGGGCAGCTGGTGATGCTGGCACATAATGCTATGCAAGGAAAAAAATCAAAGCACATCCAAGAATTGGAATTAAGGTGATTCACAGTTTTTAGAGGCATGAAAAGGAAAAGTCCCCAGAACTCAGAAGAGTACCCAGGCAAGTAATAATTTGACCACCAAATACAACATGTACATCAGCTAAGCTGAAGAGAACTTGTTGCAAACAATGGACAGGTGTTATACAAGGTGCATAAGTGATGCAGCATCCTGTTGCCATAATGCTTTTGCAGATTGCATGGGAAAGAAGGTAGTAAAGGATAAAGAAAAATCTGAGTCCCACACGGAGGTTTTGAGCCCCAGCCATGTAGCTGGATGCTTACACAATGCAAGTCAAGCTATTACTTACTTGAAAAATTTAAGGCCATACTGGTGTGATCTGACAGCTTAAACTGTCATCCTGACCATGACACAGCTTGAAATAGGCACAGGGGTAAAATCTCAAATTTAATTTACAATTGACTCATTTTACTGCAAAGACAGCTTCATTGCTAAACTAAGACTGCATTGAAGCCTTGCAGCCTTACCTGAGGGGAGGGTGATGGGTGCATTGCAGGTGATGGAACAAAAGGAGCTGGTGATGGAGCAATGGTGGCCTGGCTTGTCAAACTGGATGAAGGAGTAGGTGCTCGCATGGAATTGGATGACATGTTCTGCCCTGCAGCTGGGGACGGAACATGTGGTATTCTTCCTTGAACAGTATGTTTGGTCTGTTGCACTAAAGAAAAAACAAAAAGCAATCACAATAATTGCTACTTAAATCATTAAAGCATCAACACTTCAATCAATCTATCCATTAAATTTTTCTTTTGTTCAAAATAGGTCCATAAACTAGTTTCACTGTTAATTTCCTTCAACTGAGACCTGCAGGCCACATGCCAGGAGGGCTTGGCTGGGTGTGAACCACCAAGGCCTTTTAATCCCAACACAGTTTAACCCTTTGACACCTAAGAGTGACTTGTATCTAATTTCTCCTTACAATATCACCCCTGAATCACACATTGAGGTCATAAGAATAAAGAAGTGAACACCAACTAAAGGAGCTCTCTACTGCTAAACATATTCTCTTCACCAGCCCCTTACAAAAATGTACAGAGAACAGTACGGAGAATGTGCATACTGATGTTAGGGTGTAAAGAGTTAAGATAAAATCAGTTGCCTTTACATCAGTTGCCCCAAGAGAAAAATTTCAGCTGAATTTACTTTGAAAGAGATGTTTTTTCCACAAGTCATATAATTGTAATTCAACTTTGAAATTTTGGGAGGGAACTAGTAAAGTCTTCACCTGGGCAATGAAATTGTCCTACTAAGATACTAGGAGATTTAGAGAGTGGGAGCAAAAGTTCTTTTGTGGGACAAGAGGGAAGAAAGACAAGCTATTCCATTGTTTTAAAGTTCAGCAAAATTACACCCTGAAATGCCTTCAATGTCATCATCAACTAGGGCCATCTACACATCTCTGTTATACTCCTGTTGAAAGTCAACCACAACAAGATCATGAAGATGAGACAAACCTTGATGTACAGGTTGCTGTTGAACAGGCATCGGAGATGCCCCTTGATTTGGAGAAATGTAAGACTGTGTTTGGGTTATTTGATGATGTGCCCCTTGATTCTGAGAGTTGACACTCATAGCTTGAGGCGACATCATAGCTTGAGGGGTAAGTTGATGTTGCTGAGGCGTTTGTTGCTGTTGATGCTGCTGAAGGTGCTGGGCAAGAATCTGTTCTTGGGTCATTCCTGATTTATTATAAAACACCTGCTGAGGTGCCATTGTTGGCTGTTGGACTTGACCCAATGGTACCACTTGTTGCATGGTACCCTGTGCACCCATGGTGTTCATGGCTTGTGACTTGTTGAGCTGAGCTGAATTAAATTGCAGTCCTCGATTCATACCAGGCTGATTCATGGTTGCTGCTGGTGTCTGCTGCTGCCCAGGGGCACTTGGCCCTAAATCAAATTTTAAAATCACACATCAACTCTTGTGGGTGTTATTGCGGTCTGTTAACAAGGAAGCTCGATTAACATAGTCCGGGTTTGAGCCCTTGTTATCGGTGTTGGCTGTTTTCTTAGTGAAAACATGCCTCTTTTACACTGGCTATTCCCATTGAAAGTGGCAATTATGACTGTGTGCCACAAAATTTTCAGATTATAAGAAACTTAAAAAATATCTTAAGACCATCATTTTATAGGATCTGAAAGGTTACTACATGTGCACAAGGAGAAAGATCCTAGGCATAATTATTTTGAACAAGCTTATCTTATCTGTAAACAAACTCCTCAGTCTGCAAAAGAGATCATGTTCTATGTTAACTAAAGTCCCAGTGAGAAGTTCCTTATATTTAGTGATCATGAAACCCCACCTTTGTTATGCTACCCACATAGGTCTCCTGGTCAGAGAGTCATTAAAACTCAAAATAGAACTAGAAGTTCTTAGGTGAGCAACAAGATGGATCTTACATTCAGAGCCTCCACAGATGTGATATATAGAGAGATTACTTGCTTTGAATATGCTACTTCTTGCTTATAAGAGAAAAATCATGAATCTTGTTTGATGTTAGTAATAATGTGAAATTTAACAACCATTCATGTCCCCCATATGGTCAGTGTACAACCTTTGTATTTTATTTCCATAGTCAAATTGTGGAATATTGTTTGTGATGTAGCTCTTCCTAGAAATTTTATCTCCAGGTTCTTTGAAATAATTTTTGAAAAATAAGTCTAAGTCCCTTTGGATATCAGTTTTGATATCAGTTGATGTGGACCTGATTTTATTGTGGTACATCTCACAGGATTGCTCATGTCATCATTGGTAATTCTTATTTCTTAGCTTTAATTTGCATCTTTAATTTTGTACATTTTTTCTACTCCTTTGGGTGGGTGCCTTGCATGGGTCTGAGTGTATTTTTCATGTCTTCGTTCTTTTCTTCACAAAACCAAAGCAAATATTCCTGCACTAAAGTAGAGTTTAAGCCACAACATTGCATTCAAAAATGCTAATTCATCTTGTCAGTGCTTACAAGATCAGCTTCCACTTGGGCTTTCTTGAACCCAATATTCCAGTGTACATGTATTTTACTTTAAGCGAGATTACTTACGTATGTCTCGAATATAAACCAAAAGACGAGCAACATATGCGAGGTAATCAACCTAAGAAAAGAATGTTAGGTAAAATTAGGGTTATGATTACATATCATGTTATTGAAATTAAAAAAAAAAAAAAAAAACTGTCGGAGTATAATTTTGTTTTACTTTTGACAACCTCAAATTTCAAAAAATAACTCAAGACGACTGTTGCTGGTGAACAAACTGTAATGTCAAGACCACTACAACAAGAACGTGGTTCACATATCAAGTCAAAGTACTGAAAGAAACAAGGGGACAACAGCCGTGACTTTTTTTTTTTTTTTTTCATGTTAAAGGCAATACCATGTAATGCTTCAAGCCAAAAATCTACATTAATCTTCCTGAAATTATATTTAAAATTGATTGATACAGAAATTTTATGAAACGTTTGTTTTTGAATGGATAAGCTAATATATAACGCATTTCCTATACGATACAATACACATCAATAGTATCAATGAGATACCTTGAACAAAGATTCTCATTTCAAAACGCATGGTATTGTACCGATACACAGTTTCACCCACAGGTTTACCAAGCTACTTTTAGATACCAATGACATGCCTAACAGAACTACCCTCTTCAAAAGTTTGTAACTGACTCCCGAATAACAAATTTAAGTTATCTTGCAACATCCTGTTCACTTGAGCAGAACTTTCGTGATATGACTGTTTGTATGACTTTGCGCGCATAACGTCACGAAATGTAATTTCTGTTCACTGTTCTTGTTTATTCTAAGCAGTTAAAGCCGATTGAAAGATACTAGAGGTTAAACGTATGATAAACAAAACGAAAGCAAATTTTCCCTTCTTCTAGGCAGCTTTGATTTGGCTACGAAACTGAAAACTCGTCTGAGTACAATGCGTATTGAAAATGCGTGGAAGGAAATCAAACTCTCCATTTGGTAAACTGAAAGAAGGGTGGGTTTTCTTTGATGTTCCATTTGATAATGTAATAGATAGCAATGGCTTCCAGACTAAAAACATTCTTCAATATGAGTTGGGTAGAGACATGCAGTATAATGATTACTACCGACGCGATCAAACTATGTATCAGTATTCGCATGACAAACACGTAGATCTCGAGTCATGCTAAGATATCCAATAGCGTAAAAAGTACACTCACCCTTGTTTTGGCCTTCAGAAACACTTGATTTTCCATGTCGCTAGGATTCTTCATCATCACATTGGGATTCCCAGATTTTTTTACTGCTTCTTCGCTACAAGCGGAAGTATGTGCGAAGAGTTGAAAAGGCGCATAAAACACAAAGAATGGAACGATCTCTATCGAACTAAGAAAAACACGACCGCTCTTAAATATTATAATTCGAAGAAAGGAAAAGCTGAATTACTTACATCTGTGAAATAACTTTCTGGCGGAAAGCAGGAGTACGCCAATCTTCGGTGGACGCCATATTGGTTCGCGAATTCAAAGTCGCGCCGAGACTTCTTCGGTGAGTAAGCACGCAAATATTGCCAGGGGAGGGGTAGGGGGGCGTTTATATCAGATGATGTTATATAGATATCTTGCTAGTAAGTGGATAGACAGGGGGCGGGAGAGGGCAGAAAGAAGGAGAACAGGGGGCGGGAAGCGGGAGCAGAAATAAAGGAGGCAATAGTTTGTTGTTTATTACTGGGTACTATTTAGTCAAAAACACTCATCTAGCAAAGTTTTGAAATTTCCATTTAATATCCACCAATGCTTAAAGGTAAATTTTGGACACAAGAAAACGTAAATTTGTACTCAGGCTGGAAAAACAGCATCACATCTGGTAAACTTGGAAATCCCTTCAATTTAATTACGTCATGGGTCATGAAATAGCGCAACACATGACACATGTACACTTGTACTTCAATGTCTGGTAAGCTGTAGCTGTCAAAAATCTCCAGCAAAGAAAGCAATTTAAAGTCATTCAGGTCAAATGTCATCAAAGACTATATTAATGGGCTTCAGTACTTTTCAGTGTGGCAACAAAAAATCCGTTCATGGAAGACCTTCTTGCAAGCTTGCTCTGTACAACTGCATATCCCAAATTACTAAAGATTTTACCTCATGGTGAAAATTTGTTTCAAAGTAATGCCGCTTCAGCAAGTGGGCTGGAGAGTGCAGAGTGGTTCACTTTTAAATACAATTTTGTATTTTGGACAAGGCTAAGGCACTTCCCACTAAGATAGTTTAATTAAGACATCTGACCTGTAATAACTTTCATCTGGACCCAATGATCCCCCCGCCAAAACCAAAAGGCCAGAAAATGATCAAGAATGTTAAGTTTTGGCACAGTTTGAAAGTTAATCCTGGGTTTCTAATCCTCTTGATTAGCCTGATCAATCCATAAGTTAAAATAAAACAAATAAATAAAAAATTAATATACCTGAGCCTGGGAATAACTAGGTATAAACATATCACAAGCATCATTTAGATGCTTTCCATTACACAACTCTTGCGGCAGGTCAGAGTTTCTGAGTTCCTTTTCAATCCTAGCTTGACAAAAACACAGAGCTTACAACTCTCAAACAATTATTAAAACTTAACTGGAAAATGAAACCCCACCAGACAGACGATAAAATGTCATTATTTATGGCAAACAAAAAGAAAGTTTTAATGTTATTTATGATTTTAATGTTTTAATATTATTTAGTCCTTCTATTTGTTTGTACAAGTGAGTCTTTTCATCTATGTTTGGTTGTTCATCAGGTCTTCTACAGACATATCAACTCCTGTGGGTGATAATGTGGTCTGTTAGCAAGGAAGCTTGATTAACATAATCCAAGTTTGAGCCCTAGCTTGTTATCAGTGTTTGCTGTTTCCTTAAAGAAAACATGTCTCTTTTACACTGACTGTTCCCATCAAAAGTGACAATTATGACTGTGTGCCACAAAATTATCAGATTACAAGAAACCTAAAATTATCTTGAGACTGCCATTTTTTTAGGATCCAAAAGGTTACTGTATGTGCTCCACCTTCTTGGAAATTATTATTGAAAAATAAGTATAAGTCCCTTCAGATATCAGTTTTGATAGCAGTTGATGTGGACCTGATTTGATTGTGGTACATATCACAGGATTGCTCTTATTTCTTAGCTTTAATTTGTATCTTTAATTTTGTACATTTTTTCTACTCCTTTGGGTGGGTGCCTTGCATGGGTCTGAGTGTATTTTTCATGTCTTTGTTCTTTTTTTCACAAAACCAAAGCAAATATTCCTGCACTAAAGTAGAGTTTAAGCCACAAAATTGCATGCAAAAATGCTTATTCATCTTGTCAGTGCTTACAAGATCAGCTTCCACTTGGATTTTCTTAAACCTAATATTCCAGTAAACATGTATGTTACTTTAAGCAAGTTTACTTACGTTTGTCACGAATATAAACCAAAACACGAGCAACATATAAAAGGTAATTAGCCTAAGAAAAGAATGTTAAGTAAAATTAGGGTTATGATTACATATCATGCTATTTGAAATTTAAAAAAAAAAAAATTCAGAGTATAATTTTGTTTTACTTTTGACATCCTTGAATTTCAATAAATAACTCAAGATGACTGCTGCTGGTGAACAAACTGTAATTTCAAGACCACTACAACAAGAACACAGTCCACATATTGACACAAAGTACTGAGAGAAACAAGGGGACAACAATTGTGACATTTTTTTTTTTTCATGTTGAAGGCAATACCATGTAATGCTTCATGCCAAAAATGTACATTGATCTTCCTGAAATTATATTTTAAAGTGATTGATACAGAAATTTATGAAATGTTTGTTTTTGAATGCATAAGCTAATGTTTATTGCATTTTCCATAACCATATGATACAATTTACACACCAATAGTATCTTAGATATGAGATAACTTATAGGTTCTCATTTCAAACACATCCTATATATGAGATAACTTATAGGTTCTCATTTCAAACACATGGTATTGTACTGATGTACAGTTTCACCCACAGGTTTACCAAGCTACCTTAAGTCTACCAATGACATGCCTTACAGAACTACTGTTATCAAAAGTTTTTAAATGACTCCCAAATAACAAATTTAAATCATCTTGCAACATCCTGTTCACTCGACCACAAAATTCATGATCACGAAATGTAACTTCTGTTCACTACTCTTGTTTATTCTGAACAGTTGTAGTTGAACAAATGAACAACTGAAAGATACTGGAGGTTTAACATAAGACAAATAAAACGAAAGCAAATTTTCCTTTTTTCTTGGCAGCTTTGATTTGGCTACGAATCTGAAAACTCGTCTGAGTACAATGCGTATTGAAAATGCGTGGAAGGAAATCAAACTCTCCATTTGGTAAACTGAAAGAAGGATGGGTTTTCTTTGATGTTCCAATTGATAATGTAATAGATAGCAATGACTTCCAAACTAAAAACACTCTTCAAGATGACTTAGGTAGAGACATGCAGTATAACGATTAGTACGTGATCAAATTGTGTATCAGACTATTCGCATGACAAACACGAAGATCTCGAGTCATGCCAAGATATCCAATAGCGTAAAAAGTACACTCACCCTTGTTTCGGCCTTCAGAAACAATTGATTTTCCATGTCGCTGGGGTTACTCATCATCATATTGGGATTCCCAGATCTTTTTAATGCTTCTTCGCTACAAGCGGAAGTATGTGCGAAGAGTTGAAAAGGCGCATATCGAACTAAGAAAAAACACGACCGCTCTTAAATACGGTAAAATTTCTGCACAGCCCCATAGTATATTGTGCATTCAGTTCTTGGATAGAGAAAACAACGACAAAAACAATACATTACCATTGGGAAAACAGATTTGTTTAACAATAGTATGGGGCTGTGCGGAAATTTTACCTTAAATACTATAACTTGAAGAAAGGAAAAGCTGAAATACTTACATCTGTAAAATAACTTTCTGACGGTAAGTAGGAGTACGCCAATCTTCGGTGGACGCCATATTGGTTCGCGAATTCAAAGTCGCGCCGAGACTTCTTCGGTGAGTAGGCTCGCAAATACTGCCAAGGGAGGGGTAGGGGACGTTTATTTCATATGATGTTTATTCAGATTTTTTGCCAGTGACAATATTCCATTTTTCAATTTACATTAAATAAGTTTCCAAACACGTAAGATTACAGAATTACACCCCTTGACAAAGATTTTCATCCTGTTCAAGCACTTAAGTTTGTTGTTGTTGTTGTTGTTGTTGTTGTTGTTGTTGTTGTTGTTGTTGTCACAAGCACATTATGTTGTCGTTTCTTGCCGTGACACTACGGAAGACAGCTGAAGACGCTAAACATGGTAAAAACAAAAGTTTCCTTGAAGAAGCATTATTAGGTGTGTAAACATTGGGGAATCATAAGGCTTTTGAGCTAGTCCCTTTAAATTATTATCAAATTACTATTGTTATCATTGTTATATTGTTAATATAATTATTTGTTACCATTTAATTATTGGTTGAAAGTCAATTAGACCCAGAGAATAATACATGAACGTGCGTTCCGTATTTTGAGTTTCTTTCCCTTCTAGGAAAGTTTGAACGTCATTGTCTGTAAGCGATACGAATTTTTCAGTGTTTTAACAGCCATAATCAGAAAAAATTACGACAAACGACCTAGGATTGAGAAAAAATACGATACTTTTTCAGGTGTGTTGTTAAGGCTTTTGTCAGGGCTGGAGTCCTTGTATAGCGCCGTACTTTATATGATAAAATATATTCTTGAATTTTCTCTCCCTTGTGGAACAGGGTACTCATTAATATGTGTGGGATGCGGCAGGTTTTATATTTTGCATTTGAGACAAACACTATGAAACACTACCTTCTAGCCTCATTATAGAATCTCTAGTTCTTTTCAATGCCATAAAATTGTGCTTTACCAATAGCCACATGCAGTCTTTAACTGTCTATTTTTCCTTAAGTTTAGGGCTTGACGATTGTATAGCGGAGCATCATCCAGCGAAAAAACGCGAGTGAAGCCCCATACCTTAGAAAATATGGTTCACTTCATCAACTTAAAAAAATTCGGTTGTGACTAATTGTCTTGGGCAGACTCCAAATCTAAGACCCGATTTTTACTTCCCGCAGCTACTGATATAGCAATACTGTGGCTTTTTTTGCTTGATCCGTTGCCCTAATATGGTAAATTGGCGTAACAGTGGAATAACAAAAGTTGTAAACCACTGCTATTATTTAATGTTAAAAGCGTTTATTGGAGATTGAATTTCCCTTTAATCTCCCGAAAATACATTTATAAGGGACATACTAATGCAAGGAAAGAAAATGAGACACAAACCTCTCTGTACAAATTTTATTCATTCAAATACAGCCATATACATCTTTCAAGGACTAGATTTCCGAGTGTTAAACACAGCATGACTAGGTAGATTAAAACTAGTAGTAAACGGTTTCATCTGATGAAACCAACGCTTCAAATGGACTACGTACTCATTACCCAGGAGGAGTCGACAATATTTTAGGTGCTTTCAGATCTTTCTCTTGTTTGATATTACACATTCTCCGTACGAGACTCTGCCAGTTTAATGTAAGACTCCCCCTGGGGACTTATAGCCTATACTTTTCTACACTAATTCGCTCTTAGCATGGTTTATGGTGAGAGCTGCAATGAACTATTTCAGTGGCACTTTAAATTTTAACACTAGGACAAGCAATTGACACTACAGATTGATTTTCCTCCCATATAGATTTCAATGGACGAACATAAAACAAATCGTCCCACTATACCAAACTATCATTTGCTCTGTAAGTAACGAAGAAACTGGTCAAACTTTTCTCAAGTCGTCTACAATTTCATACCTTTAACGTGCCTTATAATTTTAGAAAAATAAAAGAGCAACTGGGGTGAAACATGACAGTTTTATAGCATCAAAATCTTGCCTAGTGTATGATATCAATATTGCCTGTACAATTCACCGCCAAAGGTGAAGATCTTCTGTTTCTACGCGCGGCACCATTTAAACCACTACCCACTAAAGATCGCAACACATACAAAACATCTCACTTGCATCAAGATTTCTCTCAAAGTTTTGAACGATTTTAAGAAACCTTTGAAAATATATACTTACTCTCCATTTTTGAATAAAATACGTTCAATAATCTCTTATCACAAACTTGTGTTCCAGCGTAAGACAGTCAACAAGGTAAAACAGTGGTGCTAACCAATAAGTCCTCCTATATTTAGATGTAATACAATTCTGACATCTCTAAGATTCTCGCGATATAACTTTGGTCAGTCTCTTTTGTTGACTGTTTTAAGCGGGAAAACTATAAGTACAAACATGTGGTAAAAGATAAAATTTTTATAAAATTACGCATTTGAATGGTATTACGTTTTAAAAATCTTCTACTTATTATCGGTACTCTTAACAAGCAATACTGGTTATAATCTAACTAGTCAAATAAAATTCAGTGGGGAGATACTGTGATCGAAAAGTCACGCAATGCTCCCATAAGGAGGGTAACGTTGCGTGACACCTTACGAGACTGAGGCTGTCGTTTGAGTAATTATCACACAAATTCCGTCATATCAGTGATTTAGCCACTACATTTCAAAATGTTTCAATGACATGCAGGTTCAGGTAAGCCGGGGTTTCTGGTAACTATTGAAAAGAACGCACTTACACGTTCTGCAGTGTTAACATCATTAAAAAAAAAAAAGAAAACATTCGGGCCAAATATCGAAAAACGCACTAGTGGGTTCTAGGTTCATGATTTTTGCAGCAAGGACTTGTTCTATAGCAATGACAAAACGTTTTGATAGTCACAGCACATTCTCCTTTAAGGATAAAAAGTCACACCCCCTTAAATGTTGACATTGAGGAATTTTTTTCTCCTCGTTTCGGTTCGCTCTAGCGAGATAAAGAAAAGAAATAGATTTGATAATGAGATTTAATTCTTAAGTATTAGTTGTTTTCTTTCTTAAATTTCCATGGTTCATGCGATAAAAATGAATGAATCCAGTGAATACATTTTTCTTGAGAACAATTTGCGTGACAAATTAAGTTGCAATCGAATTTGCCATTTTCTGATTTGAAATGATTATCCCTTATTCCACCGTGAAAGAAAGAGGAACTCTGCCTCTTTAAAACAGACAACCGCGCTCCTCTGAATTTTATGATGAAAGTGGACTAAGAGATATATCTGTAAAGCAAATGGCCTTGTAACTACAGTATATGGATTGTCAAATAATAAAATGTTAATATAATTTAGAAATAATAGATTATCAAGAAAATAGAAGATAAGAATAAATACATGGTACTCGAATTCTTTGTGAGTACGCTTTCAATTTTCGCTTTTGAATGGTGAATCAATTGATTGTTTATCAGCCAGGCATCTAACGGTTGGCTCCAGCTAATATTCCTACCAAGTCCTAGTCATTTTATCACTTGAAGTTCAGAGTACGAAAAAACATTTTTGGCAACGAGATAAGATCAAGTGGATCCTTCTTTGTTACCGGTAAATGCGACTGGAAAATAAACGTGGGAGGTTTAAATTGTAAATGATAACATAATGAAAATAATCTCCTTGTGATAAACATGAAAAATTGTACAAATAATTTAAATGAGCAGGACCTGACGAGTGCACTATCTGCTGACTTCACGCTCTAGTTTGGCCACTTTGAAATATCTACAGCACGTTGATATTTGGTTACCCTGTGAGACAGCGATCGGCTCTGACTGATAAGTTAGTGGGATACGATGACGTATCAAGTATCACATTCTCGTCCCGAAACAATCTCGCGAGCCAAGGGTCATCACGGCTTCTTCTCAGCGGCATGGACCATACCGCTGACAAGGGACCGAAATGACCCTGGGCTCGAGACTGGTCCAGAGATGGTTGTGTCGAACTCGCGCAAGGGCAATGCGTTTAGGGGTTCCTCTTGTAGGCGAGAGGAAAGACAAGAGGACCTCAATCTCGCAGGGTAAGATTTCATAAGTTATTAGAGTGGCAAAACCTTTAAATCGTTCCGCATTCTTGGCTGTGCTTGGTGCATGCTCACGAATAAAACCTTTGGATTTATTATTAATTTTCTTTTGAGAAAACTTAAATAACTTAACTCATTCGTTGTTTGAAACTTTCTAAAACACTATCTGTGCACTACTTTTTTCTCAGTCTTGCAGCCGTCACTTATAAAGTGGCGTCACAATTGATAATGAATTTCCCTCACAAAATCAGCCACAAAATGCTGATGTCTAAGTTTTCTCAAAGTAACAAGGAGAAGATGAAGGCAAGCTGCTGTGCGTGAGTTATATGTTGGAAAAAAAAAGAACAAACAACGGAGAAACAAAACAGTAATATAAACAAACTAGCCTTAACATCGACCATTGGAGTAACGTATCAGCTCAAGGGAACCGGTTCTAGTGCAATACTCTGCGTAACTAATTAATGAACAAATCTAGGAGAGCGTTAGCATTCCTCTTCAATCTCTTTCTCTCTAGGGGAAATCAGCGAGCACCTTCTATCAACAGACGAGTTTTCACCGTGCGGAAATTTCATGCGTCTTTGTTTTTTTTTTAAGATGGAAAACTTAGGAGGTCTTTCACGACCTCAAAGAAGTTAAAAATAGAAAAATGAATTGAACCTCGACCAAAACCTCTCGTTTGCCTTCATCTACTCCTTACAAAAGGCCAGTTTTTGAAACTGACAAACCAAAAAAGTAAATAGTTTTCATACCACAAATCAGATCACGAAAGAAGAGAAAATAAAACGAATTCGAGATTGACATTTGATGTCCCTTACATACATAGAATATGAAATACTCTGGGGGGCGTGAGAGAACAGCTAACCCTTCATTTTTTTCTAGTCCTATGTCGCTATACACTGCAGTTTAACTTGAAACCCAAATATACCTTTACTATTCCATACCTTACTTTTGCAGAACCGTGCTTACCTATCTTCACTGCGTCGACTCGCACATTCTACGTTAACTCTAAATGTAATAGTTTCTCTTTCGAATTTACCCACAAATGCAGTACTAAACGGAAATCTAGACATCGTCTCTACATACGGAGACTTTTCAAGAAAAAATAAAAAGAAGAATTCTTTAGGTCTCAGACTCTTGGTGCACGATGGAAGTTGTAGTATATATTGCTGTGATGATGCGAAATAAAATACCGGGGCGCTCTGTAATTTTGGTTTCTTATTTTCACATTTGAGTCTAAACAGTATGTAAGTTGTTTTGAAGCAGTCCAATCAAAATGAACCTAAATCCCTTTCTGATAAAAAACATTCTTCATTCTCAAACGATTAAACTTCGCCCCGAAAACCAAATCTTCATTTCCAACCCCTCCCTCTTACTTCCTGTTTAGCTCGTGGGTTTTCCAATCGACCGCAATACGCCACCAAAATGTCATACAACTGGAAAATTCTCTCATTCTAGTAAATCACTACAACAAAAGATAATCAACCCGTGCTACTTAAATACTTTCTTTGAATGAAACCGTGACCCCGAGTCGCCAAACCTCTGAACTCTTTTAAATGAGAGATGGGTTGACTTTTTCACCGAATAATCATATGTATTTTTTGTAACTATCCACTGCAAAGAAATCTACACACACTGAGCCATTGTAAATAACTGCTAACTACTTCTACCAATGAACAAAAGATGTGACTAGCCTGCCTTGTTACTAAAATGGTCATGTAAATCAAGTTATATGTAAACTAGAAATATCTCTACAACAGAAGTCATTAAATTTCATTTTGACCATCAAAAAATGTTTCACCTTTGTCTAGGTGGATAATAAAATCGAGATTAATTGTCTCGTAATCGAGACAGTATCATGGTTTTGTACCTCCAAAGTCGAAATTCATCAAAAGCAAAAATTCGACCTGAAACAACTTGGCAAGTTCTTCAGTCAATCAGCGTCTCATGCCTTTGAAAGAGATGAAAAAATAAGAAGTTAGAGGGGAATAGAAAGATTAGAAAGAAGAGAGAAGGAAAGGAAAGAAAGAAAAGGAAAGAAGATTGTTGACGACAAAAATAAAATTCAGGAACTTTGTAAGCGTTGGACTTGGGACAAGAGGAATGCTCGCCCCAGATCTCTGTCAATAAATAATGAATTCGCATTGAATTCTAGAATCTCACACGTTTAAGAGCGAACGCATGGGTCTACAGGCGACCAATTCGTACTTACCGATGATTCTTTAGTGGCCAACGGAAATCTAGGAAAAAAGGAAAGTGTAAGGTAAACTTGAAAATGTAGTTTTTTAATTATTCATGACAGCTTCGGCGGGAATGTATTTACAAATGTATAAGTTGAATTACCGCGCGCATTTTGAAGCTCATTAACGATAGTTAAATTCCCCTCGTGACGGTTTTAAAATTTCAGGTAGGGTGAGGTCCTGTCAAGCTACATCTTGGAGAGCAGCTAGATTAGCTTTCATTGTTATGAGAGGTGAAGATTTTACTGAGTTTAAGTTTAGAGTCAGTTTTTTGGCGAAGATTTGTTTTCGAGAACCTTTATTTCTCCCTACTTTTCTGGTATCTGATGATTCATTTTCTTTTTCGAGTTTAAGTATGGTATGTTTGATTAAATTCAGGTTCCCAGCGTACGTTATTTATTGCCCTAATTTAAAGTTGTCTTATCTTTGTTTAAAATTATGAATTAAAAATCCCATTATCCTGCAGTAAGTTAATTTCTTTTGCTTAGACACTTTTATGGCGAAGGTAAACCATTAATCAAATATGGGAGGTGACTAAGGAAAGAAAAAGATATTTGACAATTATTCATCAAAGATGGTACGTATTCACCACTTTCACCGACATTGAGGTGAATAATTGTTTTAGTACCGTATTTCTTCACCCTAAAAGTTACAGACCTTCCAACAGACTGTGCTGTCCGAAAAAGAAAGCAAAACCATCGACTATAAGCCTAGAGCGAAATTCTAGACTGTAACCAGCCATTTGAGTGAGCGAACCTCATGGAAACAATGGGAAATGGCTCACTGAACACAAAAGCTAATGAATTAAAATAAACAGAAAAGAAAAAGGCGAATCAATGAAGATATAAATACTACGAAGCGACTTCAGAAACACAACAATACTCTCAGTTACTGTAACCTAACAAACGTTTCAATCGAGTATCTCTTTCGTTGCTGTTATTTTTCTCATCATGCCAAAAGCACGCCGCTCTTCGTATACAATGGCTTTCAAGATAAAAGTTGTCGCAGAAGCTACTTGTACTTGCTTTTGAATCCAAACCCTTGGCTATTATCAAGCTGAACCCTGTTTCTTGTGAGAAATATCCCAAACTTTTGTGTCAACTACTGAAAAATCACACGGCTTATAGGTGAAGAAATACGGTATATACCAGACAGATACCAAAACATTCGTTTATTTCTTTCAATATACCGAAAAATGGAGAGAAATTCAACTCATGACTTTAAGAGTTTGTCTCATCGGCTGCTCAGAGGTGAACAGTACTCACTATTCACTTCTAAATTAGCCATTCGGCTTGCATGAAAAGCCCTATTCACTTGTGTGGTATATACCAATTCAAGATATAGTTACATAGTGCCATAAAAATCTGCTACATTTGCCTTGTTGTTAACTGTGTTTGTATGGACTGAATGAAAACAGAAATAGGTTATAAAATTGGAACAAAATTTAGCATTTTACATTTTAAATTGGTATTAAACTTGTTAAAGGACACTCACTAAAATAGTTGATGATAGCATAACATTTTGGTTAAGTATTTAATGCAGCACTTAGTTTCTAAGACTTAACAACCAAAACCTAGCATCTGTGTAAAAAACTGAATACCAAGGCTTAATCCTTAGATATTAATAAGTACTTACAATGATGCTCTCCTCCTTCAGAACTGTCAAAATAAATTGGAATGTTAATTAATCAATTTGATTGCATAATTTATGATTGGGAATAATTTCTGTTCTCTTTGTTTCATGTTGGTTGTCAGTTTGTTTATTGTAGTTTTTTTATCATTTGAAGTTAAATTTGGTCATTTTCTGTAAGTTTTACCCCTAAATTTAACACATCAATCTATAATTATAATGATATTTTAGATTTGTGTGATAAACTTGGCTACTAGTTTAAGGAGGTGAGAAGACATTTAGCTTTTAAGGTAATTTTAAAATGTGCCTTTTTATTATAAAACTATTCACCTGTACTGATTCAGTTGCTGTTGAAGGTTAAAAAGTTGTAACTGAAGTGGCAATAGAAATGAGTTTTCCCTATATCCCTACTATTTAGAAAGTGAGGGGGGGGGGGGGGGGGGCTTGTTTGACATTATGCCCAAGGGGAAGGGCACTTATTGGTGTGTTGGTGCTTATCCGAGGAAATAACATTTTGAACTGTTCAAAGTTTGTTTAATTATGATATGATACAAACTGTCCAATTAGTTACCACTGAGTACAGCTAAGTTTACACTAACTTTTCTAGAGTTGTAATGTGTATTTACATTGTTGATGTTAAACTGTTCAAGAAATTCTACCAAATTCATTTGAAACATAATGAAATAAACTCTGTAGCTTAACCATAAATGAACATGTCAGTAAGGGAAATAAAATCATTATCATTGTTTTCAGGTGACTTACCGCCATGGCATGACCAAAGCCTGTAGGCTGAGGACTGGTGGCTGTGTACCCCAAACCATCTGCTGAAGTATTTGCAGCAGAGTTGATGTAGCTGCCGAGATCCTGAACAGGTCCTGGACTGGTTGCAGCCGTGGCAAATGCCCTGGATACTGGAGAGGGTGGTGGTGGACCAAATTGTTGGGTATGATGGTAATTCATGCCTGTAAAAATTCATCACAAACTTAATGCTGTGAATTTGTAGGACTTTAATGTTCACCAAAAGGATTGTGCATTTGAATAATTAATTGCCAATTTTAGCTGGGGGAAATCTGTTGTTTATGGTTCTAAAAGGATAAAGCAATAACAAATTTCTACAAATAAGTGAAGCTTAATTTATGTTTTGCGTTAATCATTTAATGTCCTATCCTTTTCAGGACAAGGGAAAAAGCCACAAGTTCCCCATTGTGTAGATATCAAACATACTTTGTCGAATGTAAGTGATGTATACAATGCAACAAAGCCAATGGTCAAATGTTTGTCAACCTCTACCTTGGCTAAAGCCAAGGAAGGCTGATATACAATACTTATTTCATTTCAGGTGTGATTCATAAAGTGAGTGATTTGAAATAAGTTGCTTTTAACCCAGTTAAAACTTTTAAAGCCAGGATGAAAAAAACAGCAAACTTAGCTAAATGTAATTTCAAGTCATGGAATTAAACCCAGGCCTAAGGAGAGGGAGACAAGTACTCCCACCCCTGCATCAATCTTTCTCCCTTGATAGAATTGCAAGGATAAGGATGAGAGGAAAGAAGGCAAGCAAGAAAATTGAGGGACATGATGTGCAGGGTAAGATGGTACCTCTCTTTACAGCTCACCACAGACAGAAAATATGAGATGCCTCAACCAAAACCTTCCCTTTTTGGTTTATTTACCTTTACGGAGTAGAACAACCCTTGTTTTCCTCTCTCCCATTGACTGCTGCCTGCCTCCCCTCTTCCTTATTCAATTGCTGGCCAATTTCATAAATTTTGACACAGGGGTATACCATGGAAAGAATTTAAACACACTGGGAAATGACTGATATACATGACAAAAGCAGACATATTACCATACCCTGATAGTCAGCATATTCCGGCATGGCTGGGTTAACTTGTGGGATGTCAGGTGGTCTGTTAGGTCCTGAACGGCCTCCCTGATTACTTATGGTGGCATAGTCTGCATAATACTGACCTCCTGCTGTTCGTCGTTGGTCAGGGGGATTCATGAAGCCAGAAGGATAGCCAGTAAAACCTAAAAAAGTTTCATAATTACCAGTATTTAAGAAGAGCTGCAAAAACTTGCCACAGCTTTAGTAAAGGGATACACATGCCAGGCATAAAGTTATTTGAAACACAGAACCAAAAATAAGTGATGAGATGGAAGCTCAAGTCTAAGTGGTCAAAGCACACCCCTTGTGGAATATGAGGCAACTTTAAACCATGTTTCAGGATAATTTGACCCTCATAATATATTTTGCACATTTCTTCTTAGGCTTTAAATTGTATGTATGTATGAAGAAAAATATAATCCAGATTGCAAAGGGTGTAATTTTCCATCAAATGAAAGGGGTCATATCTTTCAATAACCTGATTTTGGACTTCAAACATGTCACAATAATAAAAGTTGTGGTAAAAGTAACAGTGCAGATTGATGGATCTCGCAGAGATGCAAAGAGTTAAGAAGAAATACTGGTAATCATGATTTCAAAGACTTTCAGTAAGCCACAGTGGTGAATGCTTCACTTGTGTCACTTCTTTGTTTCAAAACATTAGTTGATACACTGATTCAGGTTTTTCTAAACAAAGAAAGCCATCATATTCTACATGAACGCACAATGTGCAAGCTTGTCCTTTGTTTTGAAATAATTCTCTGAATGTTAGCATTGTGAACCCTTAATAATTCTTCTGGCTGTTTGCCATATTATTCTTATAATGTTGGATTGGAGAATTCTGTATTGGATCAACTAATAATCACCAAATTGTTTTTATTCTCATCTCTTGTGTGCTTGATATAGTATGTATTTGGGCATAACTCGATCTTGCCTTTCCCAAAATAATAGAGATCACAGTGTAGTTAGCTTCTCTTACCAAGCATTCCTGGATAGTTTCCCAAGTAACCACGTCCTTTGCCTCTTACTGGCCTGTTCTGTGCTGCAAATGCTGCAAATGCTGCAGCAGGACTGTACCCGCCTACATGCAATCAAAAGGGGAAGAAATTCAGATGGAACCATGGCAAATGAATAGTTTCACAGCATATTGTGTAGCTCTAGAAAAGTAACCATGACTGTAAGCACAAGCCAATGATTGTGTCGTCCATCAGTCTTATTTTGACCATTTCCAATCTTTGACTGATTTCCTAGTTGGTGCAATTGTGACAACATTTGGATAAGTTTCTTAACACAGTATTTAAGCAAGGAAACAATTGCCTAGTTTCTATATGTCTTGAATAGAAAACATATGTAACAGTGTGGGAGGTGAAGTTTATGGACTGACTAAGGGTGAATTACAAAGTACATAGCACGAGAGGTGGAAGTTAAATATAATCCACTGTTCAACTTCTAACCCCTCTGTGTGTGAGAGGCCTCCTTCTGGCATACTTGTGGATCTTTTTTCCTCATCAACTAATAGTACTTCCTGGTGATTGGAACAACATGCCAAAGTCGTCTAGAATTTTATTTTGGTTCCCTGCATCACTCCATCCCTAAATCTCTTTGGCTTGAACTTAGGTCATAGCTAATATAAAATATTTTTTTACCTTGAAATGGGCCACCAAAGTTACCAAAACCAGGGCCAAAGCCTGATGGAGGAAAGCCTCGAAACCCAGGAGGGAAAGGATACACTAAGAGCAAAGTGGAATTAGTGTTAGAACTTTTGAGTGTAGTTTGAGTGATGAGAACTCTCAAGCTGATTTGTTGACCCTCTATGCCCCAACATTAACATGCATATTCTCCATATTTTTGTCTATACATTTCCCAAGGTGCTAACACAGAAAATCTGTTTAACAATAAAGAGCTTCTTCAGTTGGTGATCATTTCCTTTGTTCTTGTGACCATAATGCATGATTCAGAGGTGACATAAAGAGAAATTACCGGGGTATTACAAAAGTTCATGTGAAGTATAGGTGGACATAACAAATTTTAATGCCATGAATGTCAACAACTGTGCTGGTAAACCTTACTGTGGTGCAGCAGTGAGACTGTAACTCTGTCATGTGTGACCATAACTCTACCACATGATCATACATTTACAGTTTCCAGGAGATTGCATGAAATGTTAGTTATGTGGCCAAATAACAAAGAAGTTCTGTACTTACAGAACCCTCGTCCAGCCAAGGCCCTACCAGCCCTACCACGCCCACCTTGCAAACTTTGCATCACTTCTCGAGGTTGTGCTTTCTTAACTTCAGTCTGCAAAATGAAGTGCACCATGTGGATTAATTATAAAGGACTGGAATACAGATTATCATCTCCATTGTATCATTCTCACTTGCTGCAGTTTTTATTCATGACTAGTAAATGATGAAAATTGGCATCACCAATAAGGGGATAAAACTTAAGAAACATGCCGGTTGTTTGAGGGCATAGAAACTTTACTGCAGGGACAATCTGTTTCCACAAAAAACAGCAAAAAGTGAAACAAACAGAAAAACCAAACAAAACAATGCATTGAGAGGAAACTGAGCAGAGATCGTCTTGTGTTTACTTAACATCCCATTCTTAAAGGAAAAATATTGTGAGATTTTGTCTTTGGTTTATATATTCATAGGAGATTTGAAAACAAAGAATATTTGCCACTTGATAACTCCTGCCCATATTTATTACTGTGGGATATTTGCATACTGTATGTCACTGCGGTAGTGGTATGTAGTTGTACCTCCTGAAATGTAATCAGACTGGAGAAAAAAAAAGCTCACCAGTTTGTGAATTGAATGTTTATGAAAATGTCTATGTAGAGGGATCATTTTGAGAGTGTACAATTTATGGGTAACTATCTATCAGCAAATACATGTATTAGCAGCTTAGAATACCTTCTTGTCATTGATCAGGTGGAACTGTTCCTCACAAGCACTCTCAGCTGCATCTTCAGTTTCAAATGTTACAAAACCAAATCCTTAAAAATGTCAATAAGAAAACATTCTCATTGCAATGTGAACATGAAAAGAACTGCAAAAGCTTTACCCTCAAATTTAGGGTTTAAATCTTAGCTGTATGATATAGACAAAAGCCAACTAATGATGGACTGATAACTATCTTATAAACAAATTTTTCAGTTTGAATGGAGTTGAAAATTGTTTGGAAACTCAGGGATTTGGTGGGAGGCAATTTTGCTCTTCTTAAACAAGAACGGCTGGAGCAGTGGGGGGAAGTTACACATGGACATTCTCCTGTGGACATTTTTAGAACCACAAATTGTTATCCAGTGTCCATATTTTGTAGGGTATGTGATTAATATTTGGTCTACTGTCTCATTATAGAACCCAACTTGGATTATACAAATTTTGGATTATCCAAACTCACTTCTCTGATCTCATTTTTTCATGAATATTAATTTGTCACATTTGAGATTCATAACAACTTTTATCCATCAAACAAAGCAGAATGATGCTCTGAGATAATGTGGATGCTATGCCATTAATGCAGCTTTAAAGAATGATAAAATTGGCACATGCACTGTAACAGCTTGGAACACACTAATTTACAGTAGTATTTTAGGTAGTAAAACGTTTTTAAAAGTTTTTGTGGATGCCTTGGCATAATTTGGCAATGAAGAATGTACTTAAATACTTAGGTAATATTAATTAGGTAAGATGTATCAAGTTTTACTTTGTGGCTCATTAATATTCATATTTTGACTATCCTGACTCTGGATTATGCTGACTTTTCAGACTATTCCCCACAGGTCTGCATAGTCAGGGTTTAAATGTAGTTATTAATTACTAAAAGGGGGTAGGCTTCTAAAGAAACTGTGGTACTGTGTTGGTGGGGAAGTATAACAGGGTAATTTTGTATTATCAACTAAGTTGATGTAAATTGGCCACCATAAAAGAGTTTAAAAGGAGACATTTCGAGCATCAACCCTTCATCAGAAAGAGTATTTATTATCCTTCTGAGTCTGGCCATTTTTGACCAACAAAATAAATTACCAGACGGAATGTTTAAAACACAACAAAATGAAATCTTAAACTTTAACCAGATGAAACCGCAGTACTCAAATCTTTCACTAAGCTGTCTGTATAGTGCATTTTTCATGTAACTAAAGCTTGATCCTAATTTTGGAGTGGACATGTGCTTAATAAAGGCATCTGGTGAATGCAGGTTAGTTAAATGTTAGATGTGAGAGGAATAATGTGAGTTGTATGCTGAGGTGTGCCTCATTCAGGGTGTGTGCTAATTTCCTTCTGCTGTGAGGAAGAAGTTTCTAAACAATTGAGACCAGGTTTGACTATGGAAAGAATAAATGATCACAAAATCACAAATTACATTTTTTAAATATTTCCTTACTACAAATATGACCTTGGGAAAGTCATAGAAGAGTGGGTGCGGTCAAATATTTGGACTGATTTGACGGATTAGATGCTATGAAGAAAACAGTAATTATTCCTAATGTTATTATTCTTTACTTTAAAATGGATTGCTTGGCGCAAGAAGAAAAAAGAAGGAAGTCTGAACTTGACTTGAAGAAATCAGTATTCTTGAAGTTATTTTTAGCAGGCAACTTCACAATCTGTTATTTTTGGATTGGTCTGATTTTAACCAGGCTTTGTGAACCATGGGTCTGGCAAGCACAGGTTTATTTTATGGTTGATGCAAGGGAGAAAATTTGGACAGTACGCTCTTGTGTGATTAATTAAGAGTGCTTGTTTTTTTTCCCCACAATTCTGCTGTGAGGAAATTGTACTTAAAAATTGGTATAAGTTGGAGTGAATTATGTATAAATGATCACATTAAAAACACCATTTTGAGAAATTTCCTGACCTAGAATTTTTTTTACTTGGAAATATTAGAGTGATGTGGGCATATTCAAATATTTGGATAGACTGGATGGATTAGAGCATATTTGGAAAACAATAAATAGTTTCTAATGTTGTCTTATACTGACTTTTAAATAAACTGCACCCTCCAGGATGGAAAAGAAAATCTAAAGGTAATAAAAGTAGCTAGCATTTCCAACCTGTTATTTATAGCAACCAGTTTCATTTCCCTTACTTTTGTATTGGTTTGATTTGAAACAGATATTGTGAAATGCAGATCTTTTTGATAACTTGCAAATCCTGCTCACTTCTTTGTGTGGTGTTGATAATGGTATTAATTAATAGTAAATGTACACACTAATGGTCATAAAAGAGGGCATATTTCACTGGAATTTCCTTTTTAGGATTTTCTGACAATAAAGATTGATTAAAGTTACCTCTATGTCTGTGTGTGACTTTATCAAACATAAGCTTGGATTCTGCTACCTAGAGATTAAAAGGATATAACTGTTAGTTACTAATAATTTTGCCACAGAGTGTTGAGATTTTTGTGTCTTATAGGTTAGTTAACACTCTACATAAGCCAAACATATGAGAAGATATGGCCATAGACACTATTGTGTCCCTTTGTTGTCGCACTTGCCAAACATATGAGAAGATATGGCCATGGACAATATTGTGTCCCTTTGTTGTCGCTCTCATGCTTTGTTCAAGTCCCTGTCTACTACTGAAAAATATGTTCATGCTATTAATAAGCATGAAAAGGGAAACCAAAAGAAAGGCAAATAAAAAGCAGCCATCTAGGAAACTAAGATGTGATGGAAATACCATTGGTTTATCAAGGGTGCACAATAATTTTAGGGATAAACATATGAGCCCATGTGTTGTTGTGCAATGTGAGTTTTTTCAATTACTTTAACCTTTTTAGCATTTTATCCCAAATTGTTTTCTTCTAACTCCTTGTGTGTTAGGCTGCTTTCTTTAAGTTTTCCAAGACCAGACAAAATGTACATGCACAATACAAAACTACTATTTTCTCTAAAGCCTGTTAATATCACAAGTCATATATGATTGCAGAATCCCAAGTCAAAGATACTTATTCTCATACAATTTTCCCCAAAGTGTCACCAAGGACAGACAATTGTAGAGGATAACAGAAAATAGTAATGTTCACATCACAAAGAATATCAAACACATTTTTCTTCAGTAGACCTGGCAATTGTCATGGTGCCATTGTACAAGAAATGGAAGGAAGTTATCAAATTCGTTGTTTTAATAAGAAAAAAGGTGTTGAAAAATTCTCAAAATCTTGAGAATTTTTCTAAAATCTTTTTTCAACTATGGTTCCCATTACAATGTAAATTGATTTGAAACAAAATTAAAAGTAAGTGCTTAATGGTAAACTAGAGATTGATATGCAACTCACCTCTCCATATTGTTTAAAAAAATTAGTCAAGTCTTCTTCAGTGGTAGAAGCAGACACACCACCTACAAATATCTTCTTTGTTTTTGTTACCAGCTGAAAATCAGAAATATAATAACTGCTCTAAGCAAGATGTGGCAACAACTTACTAAATAGACTAGTAACACAATTTAGTGACTAGAGAAGTAGTGTTATGTAGCAGTATTTTGTTAAACTTTTCATTGAAAGTCCTGCTTTCAACAACATTATGCGGTGGCAGTCACAGATCACCTGTCAACTCATAGGTCATGCAGATAGTAAGGAAAAAATATGTACTTTTGCCCTCAAATACTGGATTCAAATCAACAAAGACCCTTTTTCATAACTTTGCTATGACTTCCTTTATTCATTATTTTGCTTACAAAATTAATTATGATAACCTCCCCTCTCCAGCTTTTGCCTCAATGCTAGTTCTAGTTATCATTTGCTGTGCTTGCTGTGCTTACCTAAGTATTAGTTAATTAACTTTAAACTTGCAACTGCATGGTAACTGTATCTTTTAGTTTAATGTGACTCATACACATCAGCATCCTTTTCAGATCACTCTAACTGACTAACCATATTTACCACAAATTACATTTTTCAGTCTTGGAGAGGTTGGAGCATGCAGTCAGACATAAGTTGTTACTACCAGCAACTGTGTCACAGAAGTTTATTCTGAATTGAATTCTTGTGGCTGGTTCTCTCCCATAAAATGAAAAACTGAACAAATAACATGGAGTATGTGACATGTGCTGAAAAAGGCCTAATCAAAGGTATGATTTCTTGCATTTTTATGTAAAGCTCGTCATTTGATAACTTAAAAATTGCCCCCAAATAGAATGGCAAGTAAAGGTTATTTTCTGAAATAATTCAGCTTTGCTTGTACATACAAAGCTACTGCCAGCCAGAGTGGGAGTAGTTCTCAAGCCACTTTAATCTGTTTCTCCCCCAGTGGGTTAACAAGTTAAAAAATGCACAAATTAAGTTTTTTTTTTTTTTTTTCATCTTGACACAAGTGTGAACCAAAGAAAAAGTTATGAGTTATCATGTGGAATCTATACTCTACAAACCTTTGGATTTCACACTTCAATGCTCTACCTGAACTACAGAGACTTGATGATATGTTAGGCTAGTAATATGTTGACAATCTTAGATTCATAAGTCAAAAATTGGTGTCTGAAAATTAGTATTTGGTGGTGATAGATTTTTGCTTTGCAAACTAAAAATTTTGTATTTGTTACCCATCAATAAAAATGGGACAATTGTAATTAAAGCTGTGTCAGAAAAAGTTGAACACAGCCTGGTCAACATATTGGTTGATATAACATTCAGTTATAATCAATATGTCAGGTAGTCAACCGACAGTGGACCAATGGGCACCAATGTCTTAGTTGAGATGTCTACTGGCTAGAGATATTGGTCAGCTTGCTGTCAAGTATCAGCTGTTCATTGGTCGATTATGTGCTGGCTATTTTCTGATTATGAACTATCCACAGTCGGGGTGATATACAGCTGGACTATCAAACAATATGCTAATTGATTTTATCAATAAATGCTAGACTTCACTAACCAAAATACATGATCTAGATAGTGTAGAGGTTTCAACACTGGCTCTCTTCATTACTTCTTGAATATCACTTTGTTTTCTAATGAGACAAATGGCTTTACATTTTTTTTGTGAAACAATGACAATGTGTGGAAAAGGGAACTGAGGAAGAAGAGAAATTTTGTGAGCATGTGCACAGAAGTTGATTTTTCCATGATATTGTTTGTTAGACTATTAGTGTTACTGAAAGGCCAATTCAAAACCAGGTCATATCTTATTAATTGTTTCCTGTTTGTAAAGCAGGTTTGTAGTGAAAATAGTAATAAGTCTACTAGAGAGCTCATCAAAGGAAGAAAACATTTCAAAAAGAGAAAATACACTTGTTTTACTTTCTAGCTTAGAAATGTTCTCCAGACATCAACAGCATATATCAGTACATAACTGATTTGCTCATTGTCATTAGCAAATCTTGCTTTTGAAATAAATAGCTTAGCTAATATTTCAACGCAACAATAGGTTGTTATAAATTCCTTCTACCCGAGGGTCAAAGTTCAGCTAGATGAGGCTTGTTTTTCTTTGGAATAGAATTCAAATAGAAAAACAAGGTACATATATAAAAATGACATCATTGTGAATATTAAATAATCTGAAATGAAAAAAGGAGTGGTATCAAAAGTAGCATATTATATGACTCATAGAAAATAAATTTCACAAAGATAGTGCAATCCTATACTTTCCTTGTGTTTGGTGTTTACTGTACACAATGTCAATCAGACAGTGGTGTGATTTCAGAGAATTATTGAAATTCAAGATGTTGAAACAATGTGATATGCATCTAGCTTTTTATAGAGATGATCTGTTCTCTTGTATCTGCATATAAATTAGCTCAAGGCTATGCTCCACAGCAGGCAAGCCAAATGCACTTGTACTTATCAAATCCACAAAATTGGTGCTATGCTACTTTATACTGTTGTATTTTACTGTTATGCCTTTGTTTGGCTATTAAAAGGGAACCACTTACAGTCTGAGCAAGCTTATTACTGAATAAGCTTTGGTGAAATAAAACTCAAATTACAATCTTGTGTCTCCTTAAGGTGAAACACTTTCCTCTGACTCAGTTTGTTTTAGCAGCTATTCACAAATCATTTATTTAGGTGAAAAGCAGAGTTAAAGAACTGGACAATTGGTGTAGAACAGTGGTCTGCACAGAGCAGTTAAAGATGGTTCAATACATATTGCATCATCTGTTTATTTAAGGTTCGCTAATTATGATAAGAGCAAGAAAGGAAAAACGCTGTATTTATGGAAATCAAATGATCCAGAAATTGTCTTGTGAAACGGTATTTCAAGAAGAGTTCATAAAAACATGAGCAATTAGAGTTGGGATTAAACCATGCACCTCCATAACACTACTTTGAATATTCATCACACAACTTGCTTAACACACCGATAAAAAGCATTTTGGGGGGAAGATAGGCAGGGATCCACTTGTTAATGGATTTTATCAAGTCACACAACATACAAGAGAATGTTTATCCGCTTCCCAAATCGAACTTTACTCGATGCCTACATTGTATCTTTCACAAGCAGGAAGTTTTGAATAGGTCTCTCAGGAAGCAATAATTTAAATGTATTTACTTTCGCATCAAATAGGTGTGAAGGACTTTCAGAGACACGAGAAAAGCATTCAATGGCCAAATTTGTGTCTTGAAGAAGGTATTCTTCAGAAGAAATTGAGATAAATTGGTGGTAGTGTTGTCGTCAAGGATGCGCGTCGATTTACTAGGCTTGTGTGACACCACCGTTCTGGGAGTCACAAAATGACTAATGAGCGGATGCGAGAGCAATATTATTTAAACTTACGATATTAAAATGAAACCTGAATTGCACTGCGTCCGTAACGTAAAACAAAACAACTATTTGAGACAATTTCGCATTTTTTTTTGTCTGAAAAGAATAAATAGCCGACGACATCGATTCATGGACGTTCGGGTGGCAACGCTTGTCGGGGAAGTATTTTCTTTAGAATTACCATTTTGTACCTGCGTTCAAGGTGCTGAAGACATGGCAGCTCAAGCGTGTATGTAGCAAGCAATAATTTATAAGCTCCTTTTGTGGCTCCGCACCTAAGTCTGACTTGCGTTGAACCCGACACAAACACTGGCGAATAACAAAGTCTCGGGTAGCCGCACTCTCACGAAAATATGTTTGTTTAACATCGGATAAATTGTAAAACCGGTCCTCTCCAAGTTGACATGCTAAACTACTCTGTTAAACGCAATAAAACATGTGCGACTGAACCTGCACTATTCACCTGAAGTGTCGCTCAACTGATCTACTTGGAAAGGGTGGCAAAACACGGTACGCAAACCGAATCACTGCTCTACTAGTAGCTTCCTTTGTTGTCTTTATTGAAATGGACTTTGAGAACCTGTAATTATTCAATTTTACAGAAAACAAACTAGAAAAAAGATATAGTCTGTAACACACAACGAGTCGCTGCGGCAAAGTAATGGCTCGGGAAAACCCCCAAAATATCGCGTGTTTGTTAGAATATAAACTCGGCTCTCGACCGCTCTGCCCGCCGTAGGAGGTGAGCGGCTTCTTCGGGCCCTTGCACTCACTCGCTCAATTTATTTTGGAGTGGGCGTACTGACGATACAAACAATTTAGAATGGCATTTTCACTTAAGATGGGGTCCGATCCGTTATCCTGATACAAAACTGGAGAAACAGATTCGCATCTTAACACGGAACTAAAGCGTTTGGCGACCAATGAAACTGCCCTTCTCGTTTACAAGCTGGCTTCCGAACGTTATATTTCCGTTTAGGGCGGCCTTGAAAAGACTAACGCTTTGCAAATTACGCTCAAAATACTAGCTTAACAGCATGAAACCATGAGGAATTACAATTCTTAGAAGGACAGTTTGATAAAAAAAATTCACAAGTATAAATGGAAAGCCACTGCCATGCTGTTGTCAAGCAAACAATTCGAAGTCCTGATCTTTTGATCGAGCTATATGCATCACACGATATTTAAACACCCTTCCACGCTAAATTTAACGCACTTAAAAGTAACAAGTCTTACCTTCGGTTGAGGTCTTTTGGGCACAGCGACTTTCGGATCGATCTGCATTAGCGTTAAACATATGTACAAGGTGTTAGCATAGATGTGGTTAAGCTCGCTAAAGTTGAAGCTCAGAGTACATCTTAACATTACAATGGCTTCGTCGTGTGAATTTAATTTCCCCAGGCACGAACATCACTTAAAGCGAAAATGCACCCCCTTTTCGGCTAAAATACGGCAAATTGAAAATAAAGGCTTTGCAAGTAAACGTTGGAAGTTTAATTCATTGAAAGAGTTTATTTCAAGCTTTAGGTACCTTGATCGTATTAAAATACGGACACGCCAGACGTTTGCAGATGGAGCGTGAAAATTAGTCTTGAACGAATCCATCTCTATGGCGCGCGCAAAAAAATAATCTCAAAATTTTCCGTACAAACCTTCTTGTGGTCAAGTTCGTGTGGGCATGCTTTCAACACCGCATCTACAGCAGTTGGATCCTCAAAAGTAACAAACCCAAACCCCCTGGAATATGGATACAAAAACAGAATTTAAGCCACCATCATTATGTTGCATATTGCATATTCTTCAGACATGCCATTTACAATACAAAGCTCATCGCGCAACGGTGTCTAAGGTGGAAGCAAGGTCGGTGTTTCCTACACCAGCCTCTGGCTTTTACCTCGATTGTTTTGTGTTAGGATCCCTCATCACTAAGCACTCCTTTAGATCTCCAAACTTGCTAAAGTATTCCTGCAGACCCTCTGAAACAGACGACAAAAACGGACCGTTACGGAACCGTGAACTTAACCACAACCGATTGTTCCAAACGTGACTCATCTCAGCTCATTTTGTCGGCGTAGGAAAACCAACTCCACGGCCCTTTTTTTGCGGAAGAAAACGATTTACGACTGCAACAATATCCAAACTTATACAAGGATCAACAAAATTCCCAACCTGCCGTTGTTTCCCAACTCAGGCCTCCGACGAACATCTTCCTGTTGGAGAGGAGAAGAACGGACGACATAAGAAATTTATGCTTACAACAAAATTTGCTACCAGCTAAGTCACACCATCATTTCGTGCTAATAAAACACGAAGCCGGCTGGCAGAAATTCGGCTGGCGGAAGCGAGCAACTTACCCAGGATCGTTCGGGAGGTCGACTTTGGAGGCACCAGAGGTCTGTGGACTATCCGCCTCCATTTTTCCTACAACTACAACTAAACAAGAGATAGACTAACGAATGCCGACACGTGGATATTATATTCGGATTGGTTCGTGATGGGTGGTAATTTGGCGCCATTTGGAACTGGCACCTATGCTCTTGATTGATTGTGAGCTGTGGGCTTCTGTGATTGGTCCACGAAAGTCTCCCTCGCAACGCTGTTAGAAGCCGTGAGTGATGTGACACATGTTCGAATGTGGCCCGCCTTTCCTTTTGTCCTTCTCCAAGCCTATCCATTCTTCTTCCCTTTCATTGGATCAAAGTGACGAGACCCTCGAGAAACTGCCAATCAATTTGACAGCTGATTTGGATCGAAAGACGAATAAATTACCTCTGTAGACTAAGGACATTGTGAGTCTTTCTAATTTTAAGGTTCGGTGAGACAATCGCAGCGCGTATAAAAATAAACTACCGTTTGCATCTGATGACAGGAACACGATCGCAGCCAAGAAAGAATTGCCAAAGCTTGGCGACGTCTGAGTTACCTAATATTCAAACTCTGTTTTACAGGTCAGATCTTAAGTTTAAAACTTTCATGAAGAGGGTAGAATAAGCAATTTTGTTTACAATGGACATGTAAACACAAAAAAAATACTTAGCGAACCTTTAGGGAAAGTCGACAATTTCCGTGTAGTCTAGCGAAGCCTTTCGAAAACTTGATTAAACAGGTATTGCAGGTTAGCTTCTTGTAGTGTATGGGAAGGTTTTGGTGTAACTCTTGTGGAGAAAACGAATTTAGAAATAGAGAGAAAACGTACTTGATCTGTAACTTTGCGGGACAAAACATGTAGCATCAACATAAATACACTCTACAGTATGGCGGCGTTATTATCCTTTTGTGACAAGGGTCTTATTGTCACACAACCCAATAACAACATTATCTATTCAAATAACGTGGTTTGCTGAGGAAAATGAGACCACCATAAATGAAAAATGAACAATCCAAGAGATTGTTCCTTGACTTCGTAAACATAGAATTAAAAGCAGAGCTCAGTGGCTGTTTGTGTCCCACACCCCTAGACCCTCTTATCTCCATCACGCCCACTTCCTGTGTGTAATTTTTCACACGTTCAAGTCTTCCCGTGGTTCTATATATACTCCTTACTGAGTGCACATACGAGGTCGCTGAATTGACGAAGAGGATACGATTGAGGCGAGCTCACTTCAAAAATAATTGAAAGACCGTGTGGGAATTGACTCGCTCGTGAAGTGTTGACTTTTTGTATCGACTAAGTAGATGTCTTTCCTCGAGCAAATACTTACTACTTAGCTCAACTTAACTAATTTTAAGGACCCTTGTTAATATCACCTCAGTTCTGGGATTTTTAACCCAACTTAAAGCAACGGGGAGGGAAAGAATTAATTGAGCATGAGACTCACAAAGAAAACTCACAACAGGCTGAAACGGGGTTGAATTTCTTAGTGCAACAAATACAGATTATGTTCATTTATCAAGCTTGTGGTTTACCGACAGAGCTTCATAGATAACACCTCGAAGGCGTGAAATTATGTCTAGAGATATTCTTGTTTGTATAATATTGTAATTCATCGGCAGTCTTTGCCATTTGAGCATTCCGGGAAAGGAAAAGGCTTGGATTATGAAAGCAGAAGCCAACAACTTCTGATGCATGTTGATTATTCTCTCGCTTAAGAATTGATGGAATGTCTGACGGTTTTCTTAAGACCCTTTCGCTCTGTCGAGCAAAACGTGCTAGCGTTAGAATATACATTCTCAGATTAGTATTAATTGTAGGATGAATGTTTTCACACAAAAGGAAAAGATATCTCTGAGCCATTCCTCATATGCAGCAGTCTATGAGTAGTTGGTGCCTCACTGAAGTCATTAGTTACCATAATTATTCGGTGGAATATTATGTCTACTTTGCTCTTTTTTTCTGTGAATGTTCCTAGTGTTATTATCTTTTTTTTTTATCAAAATAAGCATTAACAGTAAAATTTTCCCTCAGGCCTTAGCTCGGGTCTTGCCAGAAAGCTCTTGTTTTAAACTAAGCCGGCGCGGTTGTAACTACAAGAAGAGATGGCTTCGACATTAAACGCTCAGGTAACATGAGTTTCTCAAGCACATTTGTACTCCATTTTAAAGTAACGTCAATACTCTTCGCAGTCTACTTACAGGCTGTTTCATCTTTAGTTCAAGTTACCTTTGATTGGCTGGCAAAGTAACTTCTGTGCAAGAATTCCTGTGACTTCGTTCATCTTTTCTCTTTGAAGAACTGTACATCAATGATATCGATCAGATTTTACCAAGAAAGAGCGAACAAGAAACTACACAACTGATGCTGGAGTACAAAATCCCAATGTGAAACCGCATTAAGCAAAATCGTTAAAGGAAAGTGCTGCTCCTAGGCAGTAATTTCCTAATGCAAGGAGTCTATGGACTTTCCAGTTTTAGGATGATGAGAGCCCAATCTTTGTTGCAATAAAAACTATTGGCACCCATTTTAATCTTCACTGAAGGCCACTCGCAGATTTACTTTAAAAGATCACAAGTCTAACTATTTTATAAAAGAACTTAAGGAAAAATTATAGACAGACATAGGAATGGTTGATGCATCGGGGAGAAATGCCTCTATTTATTGTCAGGTACGGAGCTGCAGCAATTGGAATTGTTACGCCAAGAGGCGGTGGATCTCACATTTCCGTGGCGGTTGCAACAAACTCCAGGATGGGACCAATTCAGTGGTAAAGGCCGGGGTCTTTTTGTTTCTGGGCCGCGTCCGTTATAAATAGTTAACTCTACCCAAATTGACTTGTTTACTGGAAGTCTTAGACAGTCGTCTAGAGGGAACGAAGCCATGCTCTTTACCAAGCCCTTCGTGTATAAGACCTCTTTGTTTAATGGAATAAGGCAGACAGCAGTCATGTGATGGCGTCATGGTCGACACGGGTTTTATCTCACCTTTTATCGTGGAGATCATCTAACGCTAAGACCGGTGTTTTGTTCAAAGAAGGCCGGTTGGGGATACATTGTGTTTGTGAATGTCTATGTGGATCTTGGCTGGTATGTTTGCAGTTACTTTTGAATCGAGTTTGTTGGTCTTTGTTCTGAAATGTATATGGCAGTGTACATTGGTTAGCAGAAATTATCGCTTGCCGGAACTTGAATAATGTTGCAGGGACTTGTTTCTCTATGATGTACTGAATCTTCGTTTCTTTAAAATTATTGGAGAAATCATGGCCTTATTTATCCAGAACACTAAGTCTGAGCTCGGTTGTACGTCTGAAAGCACTTTTAGTGTCCGTTTATGTGCTATCATTACCGCGATTGAGCACAGAAGGGACTGAATTATAACCAGAAACCTTCCTTCCCCGGTTAGAGAGGCCTTCAAGTCTACAAACAAAGTTAACACTCCTGATGTGAAGAGACGGGGTCACACTGCCAAACTGCCATGGTTTGAAAAGCGCGAAACAGAGCTTGTAACTGTAACTGAAACTTGTGCCCTACAAGCGGGCAAGTTCAAGGGAAAAAATCTGAACTTGGAAACGCATTTGCGTAAGAAAGCTCCGAAGAGCTTGCTTCAAGAGGACAAACAACGATCACAAACACGAAGAGTTATTGTCGAAAGTTAAGACAGTCTTTGTGGATAATTGGTTTTTTAAGCTGTGGCTGATGCTCTTCGAACTGAACGCTCTGTCGCTGGTCAGCGAATTAAATGTAATGTTTATCATCTTTAAACGATCCCTAGTATTAAATAGCAAGTTCGTGTTTGTTATTGTAACCAGAATTTGCTCAGGTAGTTTCAAGAGGTATTTCAGGTTTATTCTTACAAAATTTTTAGAAGTCTCGAAAAATGTGATGCTAGAAACTGCAACATGTTGTTAAATACAAACATTAACTGGTTAAGAAGATTGAACTATTTGCAAAACTTTTCATGCATTAGTTGGGGTAAAAATGAATGAATCGACCTCTTCTTGTGATGATCCGCGGAATTTTGCTATTGTAAAAGGCACATTGCACTGTCTTAGAACAACATGACATTACGTGAGTCATCGAATAGCGACGGTAAGGTGGTAATGCTAGGGAATAAGCTGAAAATATTACGGAAAGATTTTGAAATTTTATTGCGAAATTAACCAACCGAGCGGAAAATTCTATTATTTCCTATGGAGAGAGTCTGAAATATGAAGGTTACAACTTTGACATAGAAGCCCGAAGGACGTTATGTTGAGTGTAAAAGAAAACAGTCTTAAATTTAAGTGTGCGTGACCTATTCCTAGGTTGACGCAGTATTGGAAAAAAGATCTGTTATTGTTTCCCAAACATTGCACCTGAATATCAAGGAATGTTTGAGGCTAACGCTGGACATATTGAAGGCTAACAAGGTGATTACTATTGGAGCAAACGTTGCGAATAATTACTGAAATTTTGGAAGGTTGATTTAACCAAAAGGTGCCAAACAACTTTCCTTTGAAATAATATGACAAAATTTTGAAAGGTTGATTTAACCAAAAGGTGCCAAACAACTTTCCTTTGAAATAATATGACAAATGATATACATTTGCCCTGCAGCAAAAATGCCTCACAAGTAAACATTTAAAAAAAACAATCTAATAAGTAAGGACAGCTTGGACACCTTCCGGAAACAACAGTTTACCTGTCGTAAGGCTACTAGGAAAGGCTTCAAAGGGAGAGATGTCTAGCTGGACATTAAGGCCATTTTCCCTTTTAAAATTCCTGTTTTTTTCCCCAGTTTCATGCAACCAAGGTAGTAAGTTTATTCTGCCTGTTGGCAGAAATGATTCTAATCTCAGGAAAAAAAAAACAATAAACGTAAAGATTCTGGCACCAAAACAATATAAAAATTTCATCACAGCCCTGGTGTGAAGAGCCAGCATTCCACAAGACACGAAGCTTCACGGGTGACCCGCCTCCTGTACATAGCTAAACAGCTGTGTGGAAATAACTAAGAGATGTTGAAATGAACCCAGTACAAGACTGGACTGAAGAAGCAACGAG